TATATGCATTTTTTATATTTGAAGCCCCCCCATATATAGGGAAATAGTCTGATTTAAAAAAACAGTATGTCAAATGAAAGATGTATATAAATACTACTTCTCATGAAAAAATTGTATTGATCCATACATTTTTTAAAAAGTTATAGCACTTTAAAGTAAAAAATGTAAATTATAAAATCGAAAATTTTCACACAAAAATAGCATTCGGTAGCCGTTTTCACCATGAAGACAAGTCCAGAGGTCAAATTTTTTTTTTTCAAATTAAAGTATATTACATTAGCTTTAATTTAAGATATATATAAAAGTGTCAGACCTTCCGGAACATTTTCAAAAGTTAAGTTGAAAAAGTTAATTTTTTGTGAAAAAGTTGTCTTTTTAAATTCCCCCCTGTGGACAGATGAAGGGTCAAATTTACAAAAAAAATATATCAAATGATAGGTAAAGACATCAAGCATCTATATAAAAAAAAATTATATTGATACGTTCATTTTTGANATTATTTGATATTTTATAAGGATGTCATCTCATTAAAAACTATTGTTTTTGTAATTTGAATTGATTAAATGTTATAGATTATTTGTAAAGTTCCAAAAATGTTTTGTGGTAAAAATAAAACGAAAATTAGAAGTACTTGCTAAGGTTTATCGGTATTAAACTATTTTTAAGTTTAATAATATTATTTTTTTTAAAAAAAAAAAAAAAAAATGTTTTCTATTATTATTAAACGTCAATGTTATTGAAAACAATTTCCTTCTTGAAAAAATCGAGATTACTATTCAATATTACAATAGGGGAAAACAGATTATTTTTATTCTACTGTATAATTGGAATCCGGTATAAATTACATTTAAATTGACATGCTGATGTTTTAGAAATACTTAAGTAAATATAAAAAAAGTATACTATATTCATTTTGATATCATATATCATAGTGTTTTTCAAGGAGTAAATTTTTAATAATTTTTAAATAATTCATTTTGTATTTTGCAAAACTTGAGTAGCAAAAAAATTTAATTACTTAATAAAAGTGACTATAAAAAAACTTATATTCCCTTTGTAGACCACAATATTTTACCTACTATTAATATATTTTATTTTATTTTTTAATAAACCTTAGTAAGATTTGTTAAGTTAGCATAAATTAATTAGGTATTTAAAAAATAATACAATTATACAAAACACATCAAATTGATTTTATTTAATATTCACCAAAAGACTATATATTTCATAAATTCAAAAAATTAAAAATATTTTTAAATATTTTATAAATAAAAATTATTTGAGAGATATTTTGTTACGTTCAAATAAATATTTAAATACTGTAAATTGGTCGGGTTTGGGTTTAAAATTAATAATATATATTGTTTACTGTTATTATTAATTATGATAAACTATAGTAATATCTTAAATTCAACGCAGTAGAAAAGATATTACCCGTGTAAAATGTTACAAATTTAATATATATAAATTTTTTTGTAATTAAATATATAATTTAAAAAATACTGATATTATTTTCATTGTTTATTTTTTAGAAATATAATTAATAAACTATATTAAATATTATGTGGAGCAAATTGCTCTCTTAACACGAATGTTAAAACAAATGTAAAATATTTTTTTTAAATGAATTAGTATGAATAAAATTAAATATTCATGTATTATAATTTATTAATGATTACATCTACCTTAGATAATGATGGATTATCTTCATGATCTGCTTTAGAAAACTTCAGGAATATAGGTAGCAAAAACAAAATTAACAAACTGTAGATATTCAGAAGAAAATTTGATGAACCAAACATGATGAACTTGTCGCTTAAAGGTATGTGAAGTTAATGACGATGGGTTCTATTCTTTAGGGTGTTTGAGAAAACTATGTGATTCAGCGAAAAATCAATATCAAATGAACCATTAAAAACATAGGATTTGAGTGATACAAACGTTTTCATAAAACTATTGAACTATTTTCTTATATTTCGCCAGTGGTACTAATTGTGCTTTTTACGCCTTATATTGCTAATTACAGATTGGAAAGAAATTGTCTTCTACTATCTATAAGAAATCTATCTTAATGTAACACAATGGAAAAAAATCAGTCTTCAAACATCCGATCTTTATTGACCTGGTCGGATGATTTTGAAATTAATTCTTTAATAACATGCGTTAGTAATAGCTGAGGTTTAAAAAATAGTGAAAACCAAAAACAGTATTATGTTCGAACAAGCGTATGGTATTGATTTTCAACAGTAAACATATTGCTGATAGAAATTTAAGAAGCCTGACCAGACACGCATACTACAATCGGCTCGAGTCTAATGAGTACAAAACAAAAGCAATAAAAAATTTCATCGAAAATCTCGCGGCCGTGACAATTAATTTCCTGCAGTGATCTATACACTCCCTCACTTCCCCCATGACACACATAAGATTATGCAGAATCACTTTTCATTTACTATTACCTAAAAACAATTTCCAACTATATGTGTCTCGATGCGGTGTTTTTTTGCAAATCGCTTATACGGGGATTTCTCTCTCCTACTCTTTCCTTATATTTTTCTTTAGGGTTTTGTCCATCTACTTTTAATTGTTTTATTTTACGGACATATAAAAACTGCCCACGCGCTGTCGGACAACTTTAGTTATTAACATAGATCTGATCCTACAACAGATTTATCGAATACGGTACGAATACAATCATGTGGCGCCGATTACGATGTGTTGTGCTATTTGTGGCTTTTTTCGCGTCATATTTGTTGTCAGAAGTTAAAGGACATGTAGAACTTTATCCAGAAAAAGACAGCTTGGATAATAAAATTCAAAATAATTCAAATGATTACATAAAAAATGATACTTTTGTAGCAGATATACTTAAACAGGTGATAACTTGAACATATTTTTATTTACACATGACGTTTAAAAATTGCTTCATTCGTAATTTCTGAAAATAATAAAAAGATGTATTGATAAATTTCGATATCGCCATTTTGTATCTATTAGAAATCTTTAAAAACAAAATTCTAAGATTTCAATTTATAAATAAATCTTACAAATAAAATTATTTTTTTTTCAATTCATATTTGTCTAAGTAATATTGTACACAGTGTTACTTAACTAGTCGATTTCCTACCATTTATATTAAAATAAATTATATATAGCCACTTAATAAAGGATAAAGATGTCATAGAACTATTTAAAAACCTACTATTGAATTATAAATTTGATTTTAAACAGAAAAATGTACAATTTTATTTTATGACCCTAAAGTCTATAAGACTGCATTTAACTATGTTAAAATTTTACTTTAATTTACCTATTATTTGTATAACTTAGTTTCTTTAGAAACTTCTCTATGATTATTATTTAATTGTTTTATTCATTAGAACTACAAAAATTGAAATAGTAGTTATTCTGTACTCAAATTAAACAATTAATCTTCAAATAAATTAAAATATTAAATAATTATATTTATTGGTACAATTTTTCATATTGGTGAATACTTCACTTAAAACAGTTTTAATAACCAAAAAAATAATAAATAATTCATAAAATAAAAGTGTTCACATTTTTAAAAATTTATTTAAAATATAATTTAGTAGATAAGTAAAAAATTTTTTAATTCTAGCACATGCATAATGCATTCAATTTTTAATATTTTTAAATGTTAATCTTCAAAAAAAAATCTTCCCAGGAAAAATCATATTTAAAATATTTTAGGTTAAAATTTAAATATTTAGTCCACAAATTTGATCGATTATAATTTTGTTTTGTACTTATTAAATAATGCTTCAAAGTATAACTCAAATTAATTTTTTACTATACTATTAAAATATTTACATCGAATATATTAAAAAAATTTTTTAATTATATGCGTAGATTTTTAATCAATTGTTTGCGTACATTTTTAGGTTGTAACAAAAAAATGTTCTCATCATTATTCTATGACCTGTTTAAAATTGGATCTGGTTCGTTTGGTTGATCGCTTGGGAACAAAAAAGGTTTTTCAGTTATTTCCCGGCATCTCTATTGTAAGGTCCACTAATGATAACGAAACAAATGATAACCACCAGAAATACCAACATATTCCTTTAGATATAGTTAGATCTTTAGTAAAGAACAACGATTCAAATGAATTACTCGATGGATTTCTTGTAGAAAAGATAGATGAATACCTGAATTCGTTGTCATTTAGTGTGAAACTAGTCGATTCCACTCTTGTTGACAACATTCGAAAGATGAGCAGTAGAATGTTGATCAATATTATGCCCAGTAATTTACTGCAAACTGGTAACTATTTCTTCCAGATTTATCTATAAATTAATCGATGTATGATTTACATTAAGTAAACTTTTATTTTATTTTAAGGACGTGGAAAGAAACATGGAATGCACGCTGCATTATGGTCGGCTGGTACTTTAGCCGCTATAGGATTTGCAGCCTTAGCCGCCTTGTCCGGAAAAGCATTGATGACTGCAATGTTAGCGTTAGTTTTGGCGGCTATAAGTGCGATGAGGGGCCAGGGTGGAGGAATGGGCGGTGGTGGTTGGGGTGGTAAAACCTCACATTATGAGATCATAACTAAGCCGGCTGCGGTTTACGACCACGATCATCTCGTACACGGAGCCACATATTCTTCAGCGCCATACAGTTACGCCAGACATTTAATCATGGAAGAAGGAGGTCGCAGTAGTGACTTAGGAAATGGTAGTGGCTCTCCTTCTGGAACACCTCAACAAATTAATATTATTCGAAATTTTGAGTCAATAGATTCAACTGGATCTGCCTTACCTTTGGATGACGGCGAAGAGCCAATAGAGTCATACCCATTGACTCCAATTACTTATATACCAACAAACAACACTTAATAGTATATTATTGAATATCATTAAATTATTTTTATTTATTAATTAACAATAAATATTACATGCATTTTTAAATGACTATTTATTAATATATTAGACTTGATTATTTATTACAGAAAATTCGTTTAACAATCATAGTATATAATCATGTTATTGTGAAAGATCTCAACATTTCAGTATAAACAAACATAAAACAAATATTTTAATTATGGAATTCTAATTCTACATGTGTAGACCAAAAAATCAAAAACATAAAATGATGTACAACGAATTTTTTTATTATTATTTCTTCACCGCAGTTTAATAAAAAATTAATCAGGTAAATAATGACAAAATAAGTATTGATTTGGGATACAAGTTGTCATGTTTTTTGTATAGAATTATAATTTAATAAAATACTTATGTAATGATAGACAAAAAAAATAAAGTTTTGATTTTAATATAAAGGGTTTTATTAAAAAATAAACAAAATAAAAAGTTAAAATGATATTTTTAGTTGAACATAACATTTTTTTTATTTTTTAGATTTTGGCACATTTGAATAATAGGGGAAACAGTTTTTTAATAATTAAATTTTATTTTCTAAATATTCTATAATTCAAAACTATATTATAATATCCTAAAATGTATTCAAGAGTATTTTTAATAGTTTATTCAATTTTTTAGGTTTTTTGTAATTCATAAGAGTTTAATCAATGAGTGCTATAAACTTTTATGTAATTAAAATATGAATGAATAATTTATAATTTCTTTTGTATTAAATAAATTATAATTTTATATTATTAAAATAACTATGAAGTTATAGATTGATTTTTTATAATATGAATATTAGCAGGTGCGGTTATTTTTATGGTAATTTATATCAGTTTAAATACAATAAATTCAAAAACCACGTTTTTTACTTAAGAAAATTTATTACAAAATAATTAAGATATTAACATAGTCTTTTTGTATGATATATTTTATGATATCTTGTAAATACTTATATTTAAAATAAATTCTTAGAAATTAAGAATAATATTTACAAATTAAACTTATAATAAAATATATATATATATTTGTTGATTAATTTTAATATTGAAGCTACATTGAAAGTATATTATTATTAACTTGTATTATATCAAGGAACTTTTTTACATAATTTGAATAATAACTTCGTAGTTTTCATAAAACATAATATATAAAAAATAATTTATACAATAATTGATCTTCGCGTTATACAAAGGAAATCAAATAATACATTTAATGTTTAAATAAATAATATAATAATAATTAAAAAATTATTTTAATAACACTAAGTTAAACAAAATTCTAAAATTAAGTAGTCCTTAAATTGATATCACAAAATATATTATTAAAAGTAATGTTAAACAATTATTTCTATCATTATATGGTAACCCCAATATATGTAGAAAAAAAAGGTCAAAGTGATATGGTACTCAAACAATTAAAAACATTTCTTATGAAAGCTTTTTCGAGTGTTATAATTTTTATTTTTTTATGGATATGATTAAATATTCACGTTATTGTTGACGCTTGTATGCACTGTACGCTTGGTCATGTGCTTCCTCTCTAAAAGCAACGGAACTCGAAGGACGGAAACTATTAGGATCCACGGATTCTTGAGCTCGAGCTGGTCTATTATAAGGCTGGCCGTAAGCTTCTTCTTGTAAATATTGTGGTGGTTCTTGTTCACGATAAGGAGTATAAATAGGGCCGGAAGGTGGACCGGAGTTTGAAGGTCTTTTATAGAAACTGCTATGGCCAAAAGTTCCATAGTTGTGTTGCAAATCAGGCTTACAGAGTTTAAAAAATCCGATCAGTCCAGGTACAACTAAAGCCATGAATCCTAAAAACTTCTTAAAGGAAGCCAATCCAAGAATAAGAGGAAGGAACAATAATAACTTCAATTTGAACAATTTCAACACAATTAACAATGGAACCAAAAGTTTCTTAACTTTTTTCTTACCTATAAAAAAAATTATTTTTAAGTTTTTGAAATTTTACCTATATTAAAAACATTTATATTTAAATATTTAATTAGTGCAACATTTTCCATGATTATCTATTTGTTTATGGAAAACAAATTATTAAAAAAAAAAAAAAATTTTTTCTAAATAAATATTATGCCTTTTATACATTATACATTATTAGTGTCGAAATTTGTTATAAAATACTTGAAAATTTACTTTTATTTATATAAACTTTAATTTACTTAAAAACAAACTCATTGCTTATTTTGTTGGTTATATTCACAGGACAAGTTAAGTTTATAAAAATTATTTCGCTTAAATTAAGTTATCATAAATAAGCACATTTAAAATCTATTTCCTCAGCAACTATTATGTAAAATATAGCGATGATTATTTTAGTTAAAGTATTTGCACGACTTCCGAGATTTATATTTAGTTAACTAGAAAGTTCATTGAGGGCAAGTTATGCATTTTGCGGAAGTAAATTATTGCAAATATAATCGCTATCGTAATATTATGTGATAAATTTAATAATAATTCATTTAGATTAACTATAGACTAGATCATCCAAAGTAGTAATACATATTAAATTTGAGTATCAAAATAAATAAAATAAAATAAAAAAAAAATCATATATTTTACCTTTGCATGATATAATAAGTTCATAATATATTTTGTGTACCTTGAAAAATCATCATACATAAAAATTAATAAACTTTTGTTTCATTTTTTAATATTCAATTAATCTATTTCAATTATGCTAAAAAATATTACTTTAGACAAATCTATTTATATTAGCCTACAAACGTGTATTGACTTAAATTTTAAAAGGAAAACGATCAAGGAAAATAATGTAACTAATAGATAATTCTAGATGATTGTCTAAGAGAAAGTCGTATGTTAGGGGACACTGAACTGTTTAAATACGAATAAAAAATGATCAAATGTTCTTGGCACACTTGCAATACTATGAATGTAAAAATACCAAGACAGATTTGTACCCAAAAGTTACAAACTAAAAGTATTTATGCAAACATATCAATTGTTGATATTTTGTAGTACAATAATTTACAACTAGCATAACATATTATACGACTTAAAACAAATATTTTTTTAATAATAGTTTATTTTAAAAAAAATTACGTTTCTTAGGTTTTTAGTGAAAAATATTTTTTTCGACCTATATTAATGTTATTAATTTTATACAAGCGTCTATGAATAAGAAGAAAATTAAAATAAATTGTTAAAAATGATCTTTGTATGATAAATAAATTAAAATAATTATGTCAAAGTGCAAGACTTGTATTGAAAAAGAATGATCTAAAGAAATTTCACCTACAATATTTATTTATGCATTTCTGCTAATAAAACATATACTTCAAGTAGCTCGTTACTGTTGTTGAACTAACATATTTTTGAGGTTAAATCACTCGTAATGCCGCATCATATATTATATTTTACCGCTACATCCATATATTAGTGTTTATAGCTTATTATATTTAATTAATACTATAATATCAAGATTATAATACTAGTTCACAATAACCTCTTTTTAAGTTTAATTAAATACTGTTAATTTATATATTATTTAAGAAGTAATCAAAGAGTTTATCGTTATAATTTATGTCTTTTATACTTTTCGATAAATTTCAAAAAAAAATTTGTTATATGATTTCTATAACTTTTAATAAATGATTTTTTTTTACAAAAATTAATACAAAATTGTTATAATAACGTTATAAATCTTAATTTAGAATTTTCTTAAGTTTTCTGATAAAGTTTGTATAACAAAAATATTGTTACTTACTTATATAGCTGCCTTTTTTGTCTTCTATGGTATCTAACTCGGACGATATTTCATCAATAAACCTTGGTGAGTACCTTCCTCCTTCAGTGAGTTCATCGGGTACGTTAACTTCAACTGCTGTAGACCTAAGGAATTTTTCAACTTTTCGCATTGCAAATTTAACTAACTTGTCCCATTCAGAGTCCTCAACTCGTTGTTCCGAAGAGAACTCAAATGCTCTATTTGAACGATATTCACTATCATCGGGTGCCATACGTATTACTCGTACATTATCATTTAATCGATAAGAATCTTTGACAAAAAACTCATCAAGACCAGACAAAGCTCTAGCTTTGAAACATTCAGTCATATCACCTTGTAAACATGCTCCATTAGCCATAGACAGATAAGGATCTGCGCCTTCATCAGCAAAACTGCCCAGCCAATTGAACAAGTTCTTGCCACTCCTATTTCCCGAAGATTCCGTTCCATTAGTGGTTTCTTCATTTTCCGGGAACAACATTGACTGTCCATTAGCAAAGGCGATACATATACAAGTCGCACATAAAATACACAAAATATAATTCATGATGTTGACTCGAATTAACGGAATATAAACAACTTTTCTTGATGATTAACACTAATGTACTGAATACACTGGTCTCGTATGACGACTACAGGTGTACTGGTGCAAACACCGTGTACCGTTAGTTATACCTACACACGGCGTGGCCGTATCTTGTCCATCGAACGTTCGGATGTCACTAACCGTCTGCTAGTTTAGCTTCAGTCGTTTTATATTATAGTCCGTTTACCGAATGAACGAGAACACGTAACCACTATGGTTACCTAACCGTCGGAAAGCAGTACCCTTTGTTTGACACCAAAGAAACCAAAACAAACGTACGCAACTAGAGCTATAAAATACTATACGGACTTTAAAGCTTATTGGACGTGTTGGACAAAAAGTGAAACATGTAAAACAAGGTCAAACGTGTTAGTTATTAATTTTTTTATACTATTATTGTTTTCGTTTACGGAAGAACAAGAAAACACCCACTCAGTTCATATGATGTTATAATAATACTGTCCAGAGAAAGTGGACACCCCCGTGGTAGTCAGGTCATTTACATTGCATAACAACATAATACAACAATATTATGTATTAATGATGTTATTATGTTAGTTATGAGTCACTTTTTGGAGATCCCAGTATCGAACGTGACTACACTTTAAAAACAGATAACTGTGTTAAATCAGCATCTTCGGGTAGCGGACCAAAACATAAATGATCCAAATAGTTTTGTAATAATAAATCTAAATGACGCATGGAAATTTTTCATAGATCCGTGTTTTAGGTCAACGGTTTATTGTTAAGTTTTAAAAAAATAATACAATTTAGATGAGTTCGTCAAAAAACGTGAAACAAATTAATAAATAATTAACTGTTATCACATATTCATATATCCATTATCAATATATAAAATAACATAACCCCAAACCAAACCAAAATATTAGAAGTACAAAATTAGTCGATTTTACACATTTTCCATGAAATCTTTCAAACGAAATAGATTAAAAAAACTATCGAATCATATTTTATAAAATTTTGAAAAAGATTTCTTAAGTCAAATGTGCCTTGGAGCTAATTTTTGGAAAAATTAAAAAAAGCCCTGACTTTCATAAAAATATTTATAGATCTTTACTATGTAAAATTATGTAATATTTTTTTACGTGTGCTCAGTTTAGATGATTTCAAAATTTTACTCAAGTATATTAAACTTATAAATATTGTAATCTAAATAAAAAGAAATACAAAGTTGAACCTTATGAAAGTTGGAGTGAAAAGTTTCATTCGATTGTTTTCATAGAAATCGTATTTTATTATTAAGAAAATAAAAATTTTCCTATAGTTTTCATTATCCCTCTAAAATGTTTAAAAAGTATCATTTTGTGCAATAGTATTATTCTCGTAGATTTTATATGAATTGTCAAATTTCAAACATTATAAGAGTCTGTCAGCCTCTTCAAATTATTTTAATTAATATATGTATAAGAGCACAAAATTAAAAAAATTAATTTGTATAAGAATAATTTTTATAAATATTCGCTTGATAATTTCTTATAACAGTTACTGGAAAGCACAAAGACTATTAATTATCTTTCATATTTTAAGACCTTAAGTAACTAAATTCATATTTTATAATCAAACAAAATAGACAATTTTTTAGCTTCGATGCAAAGCTGAGAAGGTATTAATTTTACTATAATGTGTTTTTTTTTTATTTAAATTTTTTTTCAAAATTTTAATGTTCACGATTCTTGAAAATAAATTATAAATAAGGCTATAACAATTTTAAAACAAATATTTATTGAGTTATAAGCATTTTAATACATAGAGTGGGTATTTTGTGTGGGTGGTTACAACTCGTACTGGTGTATACTTATCACATTATTCTACTCGCACCACATAACCACTTTATATATAAAAACCCAGCACAGGGGGGTCGCGGCACAGTGGTGACGTGGTATAGATGGATCAAGTATAATGATATCTGACAGTGATTAAAATCACTATCAAAAATAAACGCTTCGATGCAAATTTTTAGACTGTGTTTAATTTTTAAAAATTTGTGTATTATTCCAAAAGCTACATGATCTGCTAGTTCATTATTAATATCTTAATTAAGATAAAGTATGTCGAATGAAAAAGGGGTTTTTAAAAAATATTATTTCTCATAAAAAAATAATGTTGATCCATACACTTTTCAATATGTCATAGCATTATAAAGTTAAAAATGTAAAAAATAAAATCGAGAATTTTCACACAATAATAGCATTTGGTAGCCATTTTCACCTTGAAGATAAAATAAAGTCCGAAATTTTTTTTTTCCATGATAAAGTATATTACATTAGCTTTAATTTAAGATATATATAAAAGTGTCAGACTTTCCGGAACACTTTCAAAATTTAAGTTGAAAAAGTCAATTTTTTGTGAAAAAGTTGTCATTTTGAATCCCCCCCTGTAGGCAGGTAAAAAGTCAGATTTATAAAAAAAATATACCAAATGATAGGTAAAGACATCATGCATCTACAAAAAAAAGAATTATATTGATCCATACATCTTTCGAGAAGTTATAGCATTATAAAGTTAAAAATATAAAAAAGAATTTTTTTACAAAAATCGTATTTTTTTTATTAAGTTTAATGTCTGTTTTCACCATGAAGATAAAATAAAGTCCGAAATTTTTTTTTTCCATGATAAAGTATATTACATTAGCTTTAATTTAAGATATATATAAAAGTGTCAGACTTTCCGGAACACTTTCAAAATTTAAGTTGAAAAAGTCAATTTTTTGTGAAAAAGTTGTCATTTTGAATCCCCCCCTGTAGGCAGGTAAAAAGTCAGATTTATAAAAAAAATATACCAAATGATAGGTAAAGACATCATGCATCTACAAAAAAAAGAATTATATTGATCCATACATCTTTCAAAAAGTTATAGCATTATAAAGTTAAAAATATAAAAAAGAATTTTTTTACAAAAATCGTATTTTTTTTATAAGTTTAATGTCTGTTTTCACCATGAAGATAAAATAAAGTCCGAAATTTTTTTTTACTATTATAAAGTATATTACATTAGCTTTAATTTAAGATATATATAAAAGTGTCAGACCTTCCGAAACACTTTCAAAAGTTAAGTTGAAAAAATTAATTTTTTGTGAAAAAGTTGTCATTTTAAATCCCCCCCTGTGGGCAAGTAAAGAGTCACATATAAAAAAAAAATATACCAAATAAAATATAACGATATCATAAATCTATATAAAAAAGAATTATATTGATATGTTCATTTTTGAAAAAGTTATAACACTTTTAAGTAAAAAAAATTTCGAAAATTTCGAAAATTAGCGATTTTTAAATTTGTAATTTTTTTGGAGGTTTCCCCCATTTACGGGGAACGAGGGAATTTTTTTCAATTTTTGAGGGTAATGTCTTCGACTAGATACAATTTGTGATCTTTTGACGTATCATTGAAAGAAATCGGTTCGGTGAGAGCTGAGAAAAAGTGGTAACAGACACAAAAAAAAAAAAACACATCTTAGTAAAACCAATACCTTCTTAGCTTCGCATCGAAGCTAAAATTATAGTGAAATGATTATAGGATCATAAAATATAACAGATGAAAGTTAGATCTATTCCACTCTTTATAAAGTCTGTATGGATATTATAAAAATTTATATGCCTAAAAAAAGATTTTAAAATTATTAAAAAACGCGTGATGATAAATATGTTTTTTTATAATAATAAAAATTCTTAGTCAAAAATGATACAATATGATATTTATCCAAACTTCTATTTAAATTTTTCTTTATTTAAATTTACTTTATAATTTTAAACAAGACGAATTAAATAACAGTTATAATTTACAATAATACAACATAGAAAAATAATTTTACAGCTGAACTACAAAATAATTTTAACATTGACAATGATATAAATATATTTAGTATTGAATTAAAAAGAAAGGGTTACTATATGTTCTAGCTACTGAATGATACTATTTCAAAAGAATCTAATATTAAAACTTATTGGTAATTTGTAATATATTACGAATTAGAATGATTATGGGACAAAATAATACAACGATTGTTAATTTTTTAAATGTTTTCAAATTTTGTAAACTGAAATTATATCTTATAAAATAAAATAACTCAATAAGCGTCACAAATTTTGAATGTCGTAAAAAAAATAAAAAAACTCAATCACAACACTTTTGTAATACGTCATTAATGTCTTGTGCTTAATAATTTTTATTTGAAATATTATAACTTTTTTAGCATAGTAGGAAAATATTAAGGTCACTTATTAGTTGCTTCATTTTTACCATCAAGTATGTTGTGCAGTATTTGACCCCTTGTTTTACAAAAAATAAATCATACATAAAAATGCACAACTCTTTTAGATAGAATATTATGGAGTAAGTTGAAGACCTAAAATTTTCTTTAAGATATTTCTTGATTATTTTTAAAGTATACCCTATCTTATTTTTAATTTAGATTTCATCGCCCATATCCCATAGATAATCATAAAACATTTTCAGAAATAGACATTTTTTATTTTAAGTTAAGGTCTCACTTAAAATAACCATAATAAATTCTAATATTCTAAATATTATAGCAAGTATTAAATTTGTATTAATGAAGTTTATAAATTTATATAACCTTAATAACATCTGATTTATCAGTATAATTAAAAAATAAATAAAAGATCATATATTTTTAATAATAAAAATTATATAATATATTAGAATAACTATAATCATAAGAGTCAATTTAAATTGAAAAAAAAAAAATGAAATAATTTGTAAATGTGTTTTTGTCAAAAGATTAAAAATAAAATATTAAATTAAAAAAATAATCACAATTGAGTTAATATAAATGGTAGAAAAATTAATGTTTAAAAATAAATCATTAATAAAAACTATTAATACAATATTCCACCCAAAGGAGAACTTTAACATACTAGGTCGATAAAAGCTGAAGTATTATAAGTCTGAACACATTTTACTCAAACACAATCTGAAACAAAAAGAAGAAAAAAATTTGGAGTATGTTAGGAGTTTTTTTTATTAATTCAAAACATTACTAATTAAAATAATTCAAAATAAATTAAAAATACTCATCAAAGAGAGTATTTGATTTAGATAGAATTTTGCCACATTAGAATAAAAAAAAATCTGCCATAATCTTTTGGGAATATGTTTTTACCAAATATTGATTTTGAAAATTAAATAATCTCATAACCATATAAATAAGAATCTTAAAATATAATCAAGTAAAAAAATTAAATTAAATTTACCGCAAAAAAGACCACAAACTTTTGAGCCACAATTTGATAATTTTTTAATTGCATATCGATAAGACCTTCTTAGTGAGTTACCAAGAACCATAACAGGCTTCAAAATTCTTGTGTACCGACGATCTTTAGATTTAATTTTTTTAGGAACATTAACTTTATATTCTATTTCTGATGCTAAACAATTTGCATTTGTTTGTTGTAGGCTATCGGTTAAACAATGATCATCTACTTGTACTTCCTCTTTTGTCAAACATTGAATACTTTTTTGAATTATATTCTCTGATGATTTATTACCAGATAAATAATAATCAACTTTTTTTGGTGGGTCTAGATCACTACTATTCCACAATTCTTGTAAAATATTTTCTGGTATACTTTTAGGCGACCAAACCATTAAATACCTAGGTTGATCCAAATTTTCTATTGATATAATAGATGATGTTTCATTTAACCTACACGGAGTAGGGTAGACTATAGTGATTATAACCTCTTTGCCAAATGTACTTCTACCCCAACACTTAACTGACGTAGTGCTATTTAGAGTATTTAATAAACTTGACGATACTTTAATTTTGGGCATTAATTTTAATAGTTGAAGATTGGCATTGCACAAAGAACAACCGGAGAAAATGAAGTTTTTGTTATTCTTAATGTCATCCCAGACATTAAAGTTATCGCCTATCTGAAACATATTGCACTCTAACATGTTCAGTTCAGTTGGCCAAGGCTGTTGTTCTGAATCTTTTTTAATCGAATCCAAGAAAGCATTTGTTTGTTTTAACGATACAAACCTCAATATCATTCCCGGGGAATTAAACCTTGCGTTTACTAAAGCGTTTAATAAATTTTTGCATGGTATTTCATAATTTTCAGAAATTTTTTTCAGAACTACTATTGGTGGAACTTCATCCAAATCTTTTATTAGCTCTTTTATTTTGCATAATCCGTTTATTGACAGATAATTAGTAGGAATAAGTTTCGGATATTTCTTAAATATTGTTGTATTTGTTGTTGCCATAGAGTTCAACAAAACAATATCAATTTCTAATTCTTTAGAACATGAAGTCTTAATAATATCACATAAATAAAAATTGATTTTTAATTGCAAGTCTTGGGGCGAGAATTGGTCATCATTTTTCTGTCCGTTTGTTTTAACAGTATGATCATCTGTTTGTGATATTTCATCTGTTAAATATTTCTTTACTGTTTTTAATTTTTTTCCCGTAACAACAACTTTCTTAGTTAATGATTTTTTCAGATCAATTTTCCAAGAACTTTTCAGTGAACTTACAGAAACATTCGTACACCAAATCATTAAATACCTTGGAGAGCCCAATTTACTTAATGACATGTCTGTTAAAGCCCTGCGACATAACTTCTTTGGGACCCTGTAAGCTAGAATAGTAATTACATGTTCTCCAAAGGTGCTCCTTTTCCAGCATTCCACTGATTCAGTGCTTTCCAAGGCATTTTCAACACTGGACGAAACTTTAATTTTACCCACAAGTTTCATCAAGTGTACATTTACTTCGTACAACGGGCATCCAAAAAAAACAAAGCGTTTGTTATTTTGAATATCATCGGAGACATCAATATGATGACCAATGTTGAACAAAGCAAAGTCAAATCCTTTATATGCATCCGATAATGAAGTAACGTCGTTCTTTTTTAAATTGTACTGCAGAAACAATTCAGCCAACTCAGTCGGTATTAGTTTTAAGACAGTTTCGGGTGAATTAAATCTCATGTTTATTAAGTCATTGAATAAACTTTTCCAAGGTATTGTACAACGTTCTGACGCTCCTAACTTCTCAACCACAATAGAGATTGGTGGAATTTTATCCAAATCTTCTAATAGGTCTTCCATGTTAAGCGATCCGATGTCTGATGTAGTATAACTTGAAGGAAACAAATTAGNTGATCCGTTGTCTGATGTAGTATAACTTGAAGGAAACAAATTAGGATACTTCGAGTAAAATGAGACATTATTGACAAGCGTCGACTTTAGTAAGCTAATATCGATTTCGAGTTCTCTCCAACATGAAGTCTGAAGAATTCTCCGTAAGCAAAAAACATTAATAGACATTTTATACTTATTAGAAAATCACTTTTAAAGTTAACAAAAATATTACTTTTCGCCGTTTTAGAGAAAGTAGTATTGAATTCAACTGTAAACAAACTTTTATACTGAGTTTTTGTTTGTAGTGCCTAGCGCCAAAGTATTAAATTTAGCCAACGTTGTGAATAATTTTAAAATTAATAAAAAATTTAGTATAATTTTAAATAGTTTTATTTAAAATTGTTTAATTTCAAAATCTTGGTCTAATATCAATACATTTATAAGTAACAGTAATGAGATACAAAAAAAAAAATTTAGTAGGTCTAAATAATATTTTTCAGCATTCATGAATAAAATAGATAAATTAAATTATTGAATAAAAAAAATAGTTAATTATCTAAAAATGATGGGCTTTAGTCATTTTTACTACCCAAAACCATTTTCAGGATTGGAAATTTCGATTTTTTTTTCAAATGTAGTGATAGAAAAAAAGAGATACGTGTACATGTGGAAATTAACAAAATACAGCTTCAAAATTAAGTTTTGAACCTTCAAATGATTTTCAACCGAAAAAACGTTGTTAAAAATGCACATATATATTTTTTTAAATATTTAAGAGAGAAATTTATAAAACTTGTCTGTTGTCTATATAAAAATATTTAATTAAAACAATCCTAAACAGATTTGTAATTCATTATTTTATAATTTTGTATACATTTTCACTAACATTTGTCTCGTTTTTTATTGTTGTCCCTGAGCGCTATAAAATATAATATTGTACAGATTTAACCATGTTGAATTTATTTAAATTATTATCAACTCGTAAAAATATTAATGATACAAGTATTAATTATCATTTTTTTAAAATAAAAATATAATTTAATAATTTTTTATACTTTCTAACACTTTTGAAACCCTATTTAAAAATGTGTAACGATTATTTTGTATTAATAGTTCAAGATATGTCACTTATAGTTATTTTAAAAAATAGTTATACATAGAAAATCAGTTATTTAAATTATTTTGAGATATCAATATAAGATTACTTGGATTTATGTTACAGATACTAGAAGATCCTCAAAAACAATTTCAACACCATAGGGATGACGATTTTTAATGCACTTTACGGAATTTTCAGAAGCAGGTGTTAAATAACGGCACCATGTAGTACTTCAGTAGGTTAAAGATATTTTTTCTAGGCAAATAATACAGTTTGTGTCGATTTACAGTATGTGGGAACAAACCTTCTTATTTGTGTTTCTAATAATAACAGGAAGTTTTATTATCACCGAATACATTAATTAAAGAGAATTATTAAGAAGATGAGTAACCAGGACCGCATTTTGATCCAATTAATATTTGATATTTAAATACAATATTTCGCGTAACGACGTGCTCAGGATTTCTATACGTATGAAAAATGTTTACTACCTTCTCAAAGTCGTACCTTACAATATTTAAAATCACGCCAACACAATTATTATCGTTATAAATGAATATCACAGTTCCTCTTGTGTTCTTTATAATAAATCTTTTGATAAAAACTCGAATTACGTTTTCGCGTCATTTTATTAAAAATGTGCAAGATTGAAATATCGTACCAGGAATGCATGAGTAATTGTACAAAATTTATTATTATATTTTAAGCCGGTATCGATATTTTATGACAAATATGAAAATTTAGTACCAGGAATTCATAAGGACTAATGTGTGCGATTAAACGTCTTGACGTACAGCGTCTCGCAATCGATTATCATGTTGTGACCAATTGATGTCCATTTATATTACAAATAATGATGCTCCTCTCATGAGTTCCTGGTGCTAAAATTTTATATTTCACCTGAAATTATGTGTTATCAAGTTTCAAGACAGTACGACCGCTGAAGAATGACGTACGGTGAGCACTAGCATTAACTCACGAGAAAAAGTTTGGTGCTGCGGGATTTGATCAGCCGCATAAGGTGTCGCTTCGAATTGCCAGATCGTACCGTGAACTTTAATCAAGTGTTTCATATTTTCCGTTTTAGGTAAGTAGTATGCTATGCACTACTAGTATGTAGCGCTATGGCACTTATATTCCAACAACTGGTTGATTTACTTCAAAATACAATTATTTTAATTTCATACACAGATTGGATTAAGGTGTACTGAAATTTCGGGAACCCGTAATTAACAGCTTTTAAAAGTAAATTTTTATTTTTTTTTACTTAAATTATGAAATAATAAGTTAAAAAAATAATCAATTGTTTATGAGCCCTGTCCATACCCAAATAGCCTCCTTTTATATGGACCTGGTTATTGAGACGATTGATGCAACTAGACTAAAATTTAGGTAGTGCTGGCGTATTTTTACAGTACATTGGCTAGACTGTGTACACTTTTAGATCTACAGTATAAGGAACTAAAATTCTTATTCGCATTTTTGATGATTTACCAACACAGCATTTTATAACTCTATTAAACTAAAATAAAGTCAATTGGATATCTAGAAGACATTTCCAGAAGGAATCACATTTTATTATTTTTAATTTGTAATAAACCCAAGAAAAATATCATGCCCCAAGTGTTAACTTGCCCCGCTTTCTCTTGGTGGAAATTAATAAAGTCTAATACACGTTTTTCGGGAAACCTTATTATTTTTTAAATAAAAATAAAAACTTTCTTTGATTGCCACTATGTTTTCAGAATAACATGTATTAGGCCAGTCAACGAAGGAGTAATTTTGGCGAATGGCGGAAAAAATTCCCAACTAAATTTTTTTTTTTTAAAAAGTTGAATTAAGATATGTATAATGACATACTAAAAGTCCTCATCGATTGGACTTGAGCTTTTTTTTTTACAGCCTCGCAAAAGTTCAAAAATATAAGCTTTTTTAATTTTCTCAAAAAATATTTAACTTACAAAAAAAAGTTTCGTACAAAAGTTATTTAAAAAACAATTTTAAACAAAAAAGGTATCTTATATTTTTTCATTTAAACAAATATTTTTCGAGATACATTACATTTAATATGAGTACTAAAATTTATTTTCCAATTTTTTTCATTTTACGGTTACTTTTTATCATGTTATACTTACATTAGACAAAATGTTATAAATGCATATGTGTGTATGTGTAAGTTTATTTATTTATAGTATCATTAAAGTGTAGTGTATAATAAGATACAACCGATAGAGTAAGTAATTGATTTGACGCTATATTGTTTAAACCCAACTAAACGCTAAATTGTACATTCCTAAAAAACATTTATATTATGTCAATTGCCACCAGAATTTTTGCTAATCTTTTTCTTTTTCTTTGCCCTAATCCCAACTACTTGGGGTCGGCCACCCTCATCCTAAACTTCCACTTGACACGATCTCCAACATCTTCTACGCTCACATCAACTGTCCTCAAATTGCATTCAATAGCATCCCTCCATCTCTTTTTTGGTCTTCCTCTACCTCTTCTTCCTTCAACATTAATTTCTATAACTGTTCTTACAGCTTCCGATTCTTCTCTCCTCATAACATATTCAAACCATCTAAGTCTATTTTCTCTCATCTTATACACAATTGACGCTACACTTACATTCTCTCTAATATGCTCGTTCCTTTTCTATCTTTTCTTGTCACTCCACTCAACCAACTAAGCATTCTTCTCTGCTACACTCATTCTCTGCTCTACTTTCTTATCAACCGCCCAACACTCTGAACCATACATCATAGCTGGCCTCACAATTTCATACTAAATTTAAAAACTATAATTAGTATTTATTCATATATTATATTTTAAAATCAAAGAACTACTAATCAGGATATAATTAAAGAAATAAGAGTTNTCTCTACTTCAACCACCCGCACTTAAACCTGTGTCTTACATTCTCGTCAATACCATCGCTCTTTTGCACTATTGATCCTAAATACTTAAAACTTTCTACCTCCCCATTCACACTCTCGCTTATTGTCACTGATTTCCTCATTTCACCTACCTCATGTTCTCTTTTGTCAACCCAGCCAGACCTTTGCAATGTTCACATATAATAGAACATTGAAGCTCTGTTTTTCGGCAGCTTTTAAGTTTTAAACAGTTGAAAAAAATGAAAAAAATTGGAAAATAAATTTTAGTACTCATATTAAATGTAATGTATCTCGAAAAATATTTGTTTAAATGAAAAAATATAAGATACCTTTTTTGTTTAAAATTGTTTTTTAAATAACTTTTGTACGAAACTTTTTTTTGTAAGTTAAATATTTTTTGAGAAAATTAAAAAAGCTTATATTTTTGAACTTTTGCGAGGCTGTAAAAAAAAAAGCTCAAGTCCAATCGATGAGGACTTTTAGTATGTCATTATACATATCTTAATTCAACTTTTTAAAAAAAAAAAATTGGTTGGGAATTTTTTCCGCCATTTTTCCTTCGTTGACTGGCCTATATAGCAAAATTCTAATGTTAAGACTTTATAAAGTACAGATTTTGATGATATTTTTTGAGTAAGTAACACTACATATATAAGAGTTCTATATTTTGAAATAAATTTAAATTAAAGACAAACAACTCAATAATATGGCTGGTATATAAATACTGTCAAAGTATTATTAGTAAATTAAATTTCAAACATTATGAATAATACAAAATTGAATTAAATTTTAGAAAGACAAAATAAGTAAATAAATGGGATATATTAAATCAATATACTTAAAAAACTTTTATAATAAAGTTATAATTTAAAAATTCTTGAGTACATCAATTTTCGATTAAATAAATAAATTAATAAATTAACAAAAAAAAAAAAAAAATGAAAACTATTTACAATTAACACCAATTATATGCTTATACGCAGTATATCAGAAACTGCTAAACTACCCAAATTTTATACAAAAAAAAAAAAAAAAAATATGGACACTTTTTCGAAAAAAATTTGTATTCTAAATTAACTTACAAAAAATGTTTAATTTAGCTGACTTCAAAATTCTAAATCACTAAGATTGAATTCACTATACAAAAATACGTCATAAAATATTAAATAAATAACGTTTAAAGAAAAATACAAATAATTATTCATATCAATGTGAGTAAATTTAAATGGCTTTCAAAATAAATAAATTATACTCAAAACAATATTGATACAATTTAATGTTAACATAACATACATTTGATAGCATTATATTATGCTTATAATTTATATTATACTATTTAATAACTAGTAACTACATGTTATTTTGAGCTTGACGAGGTTTTTCATTCATTTATATTTGGTTATCTCATACATGAATCTTGATTCTAAAATGACATCTCTTGCATTTATCTAAAACAAAAATATGTTCCCTATGTTAATAATGAAATTAATTTAAAATAATTATTATAATCCAAATAAGGGAATTTAAGAAGTTTAATTATTAAATTTCATAAAATACTTTATTAATTTATACAATACCTATGTAAAACAACTCGGTAAAATAAATTTAAAAATAGAATAAAAAAATAAATAAGAGTTAGCTATTTAAAATGTATATATTTAAAATATCAAATTGATAGTTATTCGACTCTAAACGCATAATATATGTTAATTTCAAAAATTCATATTCATAAAACTTTTTCTAAAAAATTTTACAGACAATTATTTTTCAATAAAGTTTAATAGTTTATTTTTACATACTCAGAAATATAAAAAAGTTGTTCTTTTTTACGAAAATACATTAACATTGTATTAAATAAAGTCATATTACCTTGTGCCGAGAGTAGATGAAATTTCTGCAGAATTAGTTGAATGCTCTAGCATTGTTTGTTTAGCATGTCTGGCCTGAACCAATTTGTTTATTTCATTGTAAGTAGTCATCATTGGCACAGAATCGTCTGGAGACCTTTGTGTAGCACAACCAGAGAAAACTAATTCACAGTTTTGCCCATCTTGCCCATCTTTGGCAGCCTTCATATATTTGAAAAATCTAAGTATTTCTGGATTTTCTGTGGAAGGCTTACGAAGTTCGTTCAACTCTCTACAAAATATATACATTTAAATAAAATCGCTCATAAATATATTTAATTTAATTTTAAAATCATATATTTTAGTTAAAATTAATAAATTCAACCAAGGAAAATTTATATTATTAAACATGAAAATTCAAGACTAATTAAATCATTTTTATCACTTTTAGATTAATATTTGTTCATATCATATGGCTTGTTGCTTTTTAGACGTCTTAGTTATTGGTACTATTCCATAGTTGAGTTGCCACTAGGTTTTTTAAAATTTTTATATGTCTACGTACAAACCGAGTGACTTCATCTGCTACGATTGACAACATCTTATCGCGATAAATTACATTAATTCTATCATTCGGTAAGCCGCGATGATCGTACAAAGAGCAATATTTTGACAGAGTTGTATAACCTCTATGTTGGACTTATTAGTACAAACCCCACAATTGAATTCTGTAAGTCTAGATGGATTTTATGATCATTACGTATAACAGACATTTGTTCTCTAGTGATACCTCAGAATGTTTTCTAATTAGCCAATAGTGTTTGCGCAGTTAATCTTTTATCTGCAGTCTTTTCTAGCGAACATGGTGGTTCCAGTTAAGGCATATGAGGTGCATAATTTCCAGATATTTAACTGAATCAAATTTTGGGATAATTTGTTGATTTAGAAATATAGGAATGTCTCATATTTTACGTAACGTAAAGTTTACGTGCATTGACTATTCATTATTAAACTTGATATTCCAACGTTTGAATCAATTAGAATTGTTGTTTATGATTATTTGGATTTGATCAGAAGCTATCCGTTGCTATTTATGAGTTTTTAGTATTACAGTATCATCTGGAAACATAGCGGTTGTTAAGTTAATGTTGTCGGTATGTCAGCTGTGTAGAGTAGATACAATATAGTAATCAATATATTGCCTTGAGGAGCTTCAACTGCTACATTTTTCCAATCAGTTAAAAAATTCTTCATGTATGGCACGGAACTGTTTTTAGTCAAAGGACTCAAGAAGTATACACCTTGAGTTTGATAGTTAAAGTAATTTTCTTAGCAAATCTTTGTGTCAGACTTTATTGAAAAACTATGTCAAAAAATATTCCGCAATGATAATTTTTTGCTTTGAACGCATTATATATTACGTTTGTAATACGATGAATTTGGTCTGTGATTGAATGTTTGTTTCTAAAACCAATTTGATGATCTGGTATAAGTTGTTTTTCTTCTATTAATAGTTGTAGGCACTTCAAGAGAAACTTTTCTAAAAGTTTGATTAATTTATTTTTAGTTTATGATTTTTAGACTTAAATTGATTACTTTCTAACTTATCAAGTCTACATGTCATATTTGTTAAAGATTTTGTAATACTTTCAAGGATTGATAAAATTTCCATTGAAGTGGAGTTATCACTTTTAACCGGCTTTATTGACTGTTTGTTAAGAATAACGTTATTTACATTGGAAATACTTTAGCGTAGAAAACATTTGATGATATATTTTTCGCAGGTTTCTATTGGAGACGTTGCACTTCAAATGTTATTTATGGATGAATTTTGTCTTCTGCTTTCCTATAAATTGAACAGCCTTTCCAATTTATGAGATGGGCTTCTCCAAAAATAGCGCATTTCGATTTTGAGCAATTTTCTGTTTTATGTTCTTCATTAAATTTTACACAGATAGAATTTTTTTAACAATAATTTTGAGTATGTCCAAAGGCTTGACAGTTTTTACACTGTGACACACCTTTTTTTTCTTCGAATGTTCTACTTTAATTTATGATAACATAAACTATATCTAAGTTGTATACATTGCTATTGTTATCTCGAAGATATAGGCCTACGAAAAATAGAAATAATTCTATTATTGCCTTTTCATTCACTAATTAGTCATTAAGATTTATTTTTCCCTAATTTGGGTGCTATTGAATAAATTAACTAACAAATTATTAGAAAAATAATATAGTAAATTTTGTGAATGAAGAATTTCAGTATTAAAAAATATTTGAAAAAAGTATTTTGATAGAAATAAGATTTAAGAAGTATGAAATGTAGAACCGAACTTAAATCATATTGCACTACTAATAAACTAAAATTTGTAATCTTTCCTTACTTCCGTTACAATAATTGTATATATGATAAAACTTTCACATTTAACCTCAATTATTTATTAATAGCTTAATTATATTTTTAATTCATTTTCAAGGTTGAAATTTAAGATTTCATGAAAATTAGTTTCACATTTTTATAAAACTAATTTTTAAAAGTTAATTTACTAACACAGAAAAATTCTAATTTACATAATTTTACAAGTGCATGATTTGGAGAAAAATTTATCTATAATTTAAATTTTTTATCACAAAAATTAGAGATATCGAATTATCTTCAGACATTCTTTTATACTACTATTTCTATCTATTAGAGCTTTTTATGGGTCTGGTTGACTGGACTCGAGCCCATACCCGACCCGGTCTATGGACAGACAGCACAGTTGAACCTTGACGGGTACAAAACTTAAGTGATTGGTAATGGTTTGACCAGACTTAAAAAAGATCTTTTAGCCCGAGTGAAAATAAATAAAATATTAGAACACCTAGGTTTTAAGCTAATTAGCGTTCTGTAAACGATTAGATAAGCTACACTAGATATGTGTGTAAATATTAACGCGCTATAATCTAATGAACCGGGCTTAGAACTTAAAATAAATTTAACTGATGGGCCTGGAATGGACTAAAGTTTGTCAACTGTTAATAGGTAACTGGTCAAAAATTACTCTAAGTTAATTTTTTGTCAAAGTAAATAAAAAAGTTTTAACTAAATTACAATGATTAATTTTACAAACAAACGTTTCAAGTCTGCTTTCCAAAATTAGCTATTATAATAAAATCAGGCATTATGCAAACTATAATGATTAAATATTTATTTACATGATAATCATTCATCTTGAATTATACGAACAACTTTAAATTATTCATAAATTAGAGTGTATTAATAGTTGTTTGATTTATTTCAATAATAAACGCAATTTGAATATTTTCGTTTTAAATACATACATTTAAAATCTCGATTATTGAAAAATGAATAAAAATATATCCTAGTTCAATTAAAAACATTTTCACCAAAAAAAAAAAAAAATACAAAAATTCTTTTATTTTAATCCTAACAATGTTTTTTTATTAAGCCAATAATATTTATTATATACTTTTATACACTAGATTAGCTATAAGATTCGTTGCCAATTCATGTCTTCAAAATAGTATTCAAGAAAATATTTAGATTTAGAAGAAAACATGACTAATTACTACAAACACTACATAATGTTCGTGACAGTGACAGTGTAAGTTAAATACAAATTATATTAACTTGCTTTTGCTTCTTATTCTTTCATCCAATACTGTAACAACATATTTACCTAATAGTCTTAACAAGATGTTTTTTTTTTTGCATTGACCCACATTGTTGTTAGCACTCGCAAAACAATAGGCGCTGTTATGGCACTTTTAAACAAACATAATGTGGAAGTGAAAGGAACACGATTGGACATTATATGTATATAAAGCACATACCGAAAATAGTCATCGACGTGTGAATATGCTACTACTTAAAAAATTATTATTAAATTCTACGATTAGTGCACAAATATGATCTATCAAAAAACTATTATTTGTAGTCAAGTGAGTTAAAATTAAGTTATTAACTAAAACCTGACTATGCTATCAAATATGATAACATTTTTGCACTCAAACTCTAAATAAAATATAAAGAACCAATTGATTTCATTATTAATTAAAACTTACAACAATTTTTAAATACAAATCTATTACAGGCTAGATACATAGCAAGGATTATTATAAAATTTTTAATTCTTTAAATGACAAATAACAATAATTTTGTGATTATTTCAAATATCAATTTTTACTGAAATCCAAAAAGTCGTAAAAATTGAAATAAATGTTTAAATATCTAATACAATAAATGTATAATGTATTTTTAAACATTTATTTTAACCTAAAAATCTAAAATATTAAGCGTTATCCAAGAAGTGTAATTATACCAAAAATATATATTTGAATATTCATTTATATTCTAATTATGGGATTACCTGCTTAATTGTGCCGATATCAAGTTACTGTATGGAGCAAACTTAGCTGGACTTTTATACATCTGACACACTAGTCGTTCTCGACACGGTTCGGTAGTATATCCCAATTGTTTAAATACGGTGTCAATCCGTGAGAGCAAAGGACTATAAAATGGATCATAGTTTGCCAACAGATGAGAGCTAGCTGGAATATTATGGAACACTTTAAAATCTTCAGTCTTATCCTTAGTATAATAATTTCCTGCTTGTAATTTAGTATTGGATATCGATCCACCACCATACTTATTTGTATATCTGTAACACAAAAGTCGTATTAATTATTCTTTCAATGTATTAAAATAAGTAATAACGTGGTATCAAATTTATAACAAAATTAAAAATTTTAAGAGTCAAAGAATTTAAATAAATAAATTTAAATTTGTCATTAAATGAATTTTATAATTCAAAGAAACAAAATAAACAAACAAATTTAAGTGTTAACCAAAAATTTAAGACTACATACATTTTGTTCTTAAGTATGTTGTACTGTATTTATATATTGGTATTTATATATTAAGAGCTATGTATATTGTGGTGTATTTACTTATTACATGTTAATAGATCTTTACGGGACACAAGTATCGTTTAATAACATTTGAATAATATAACTTTAGATTCAATTCAAGTTATGAACCTTATAAATAAGTTCCATTAACTTGAGTTAAACTATTGTAAATTATTTTATAAAAAAATACTTTTAAAGCTTTCTATAGAAACTTATACAGTTTAAAAGTTACACGAAATCCAATCAAACAGCTTTATACCAGATTTGATAGATTATAGCTACTTAAATTTACAGGTTAGTCACTTATACTGTTTTATGATAAAATGTAATCTAATGTAGTCAATATTTGCTTTAACATTTGAAAATTTAAAACATGAACCAATATCTAATACAATATATATATATATATAACAGGATCATATATATATATTATTGTATATCATATATCATCGGTTAAAGGCTATTTTGTGTTAAACGATTTTATGATCTATTGTTATTGAATTAGTACGCATTATATTTATACTCTAGGATCCAATTCAACAAATCTGTAATAAAATTAAGTTTAAAGGTACACAGAACGTTTTTATAGAACACATATAGTATAACCGATTGAATACTTATAAATATTTTCAATATAATGGTAATACATAAAAACGCTAATGTCAACGAGCTGATAACTTACCTAAATGTAATGCATAAAATGGGTCAAGTTGCGACATTCTAGCGTTAGCACCCGCTATACCCTAGTTCACCGGTACGGAATAACCGGAAAGTGTGTAATTACTTCTGCAGATAAACGAGGCTTTACACTTTCACGGGTACACATTTGAATTCTTGAATTCAGGAATACAATAAAATGATGTATTCGAAAAACAAACTGAATTTAATGAATTTTCAATTTATCATATGATTTTCGCTATCGTCAAGTTTTGAGTTTGGCCTATTGCAAGTGGGGTCAGAGAAGTAACAACTTTTTACACACACAGAAGACGAGCCAATTATAAACCATACTCCTGACATACATTCCATCAAGAAACTAATGAATTTCTCTCTCGAAACATCAATTGGCGGCCGGTACGAACGGACATAAACTTCGAAACGCGACCTTGACTGGCGTTCAACAATCGTCACGGAAGTACAATCCAGTCGTTATTATTCTATAGCTAATATTACTTTTCTTTTCTCGCGTTTCATTGTTATTAAAATTCGTTTATTTATTATTTTTTCAATCAGTTATTAACTACACAGCTCAAATAACCGATGTTAAAGTCTCTTCAAAAGTGACTTTAACGGGCGTCTTGACAATAACGAAATACCTTGCGAATTTTTTATATGTTCCTAATTTAATATAACAATATCTTATTTTATTTCAAAAATAATTTTAATTACATTAAATTAATTTACATACTTATATGAATACTGTGAACAAATTCTGATTCAGTAAGTATTTATAAATTGTAAAATGAGTAACAGAAGGTAAAGTAACCAATTGCACCTTATGGGGAAATATAATGATTTTTATTAATTTTCCAAAAAAAATTTTTTGGGACTTGGTTCTGATACGCCTCAATTATACTTGAGCTGTTTTAAAAACTATGATCATTTTGAAATTTTAAATGCGTTCTTAATAACGAGATAATGTAGTCTGGGTGCATAAATTTGCTATTATTTCAATACTTAAATTATCCATTGGTCTGGAATTATTTTAAAAAATTTAATTTTTTCCGACATTAAAAATATTTTAATTGATTAATATACAACTAAATTATTAGCCTTAAAACTTACACAAAATATATTTTATTAATTGCAGGATTAATATATAAAATGATTCTTTTAATGCTAGCCATATTATTTTTCTTAAAGTAATAATTATGTAAAGAAAATTACCTTTGGTATTTTTTACTTTCATATATTTATCGATTTATTAATTATAAATAATTTTTTTAGTTCATCGTTTATACCTTATAAAGATATCAACTTTATTTTTTTTAAATAATAACATACATATTTCATTAACTTATAAAATAAAAAATAATCTAATTAAAAAAAAAACTGGTGTATAACAACTTTAAACCTATTATTTCAAAATTTATTACCATTTTAAAATATAAGGTGATCTTTATAGTAACCCACTCAATTACTTACAAAATAAAAATAATTTCACACAGGTTTTTTTTAGTTACCTTTATTTATATATTATTTTTGAATTATAAGCTATGTAAATCATTTTAAGTTCATCCTTTATATTTTGTATATTATTCAAATGAGAACTTATATTTTGAATTTAATAAAATGTATAAGTTTTTATTTTAATAGTAAATGAAATTTGAATTTTCAACATAATTTTATTCGTTTATTAAATATAAAACTTTAAAGTATCAAATTTTAAAATTAATATATATGTATAATACACGAGGTATTACAAATACAAGTAGTTAATTGTTTGTTTATAACTTCGTTATTCGCTGCGTTTATTATCATAATAGATAATAAACGCTTTATTATCAATTATGACTTTATCAATAGATACGTTTTATGTATGGTAGTAAGGCACATTGTTGAGAGATTTAAAAAAATTCAAATGGCAATACAGAGAGTATTTATAGGTTAGGGGTAAAGTTCGATAAAATTAATCATTAGATATTAATCAGCCGTACCCCTCCATTTTGCTGCCTAAGTATAATAATGTTAATCATTTTCTTAATTAGGTCATTTTTTATTTTAAAAGCTAGTTAAATATGTTTATTGCTATTTAAAAAATACATTTGATATGCCTATAAAGTATAAGGGACGAATTAAAAAAAAAATACTTAATAATTAATAAATCAAAAAATATGAAAATATAAAATGCCAAAAATAACTTTAACATAATTATTATTTTAAGAGAAATCGGATGGCTAGAGTTAAAAGAATCACCTCTATGTCATAGAGCTAAAATGTTTAATTGTTGGAAAATACAAATGACAATATAGTTTTTTTGATGAAAACTTTAAAAGATTTCGCTCTCTTTGGACTAAACACGAATACCAACTAGTCAGTTGGCAGGAATATTGAGGTTAAAATAGCTTCAATTTATTTCTATAAGTTATTATTTTTTTATTACGACTCAGCGGAATTCATGTACCGGCATCGTTGATCACATTGGTCACGTACAAAACCAAAAACTGGTTCCACACACACGCTAACTCATCTGTAATCGAGCACTCTCTCTCTCTTCCCTTTGTGTCTTTTTGGAGAGCACAGCAAAGGAAGAAGTCATAAGTTATAATAGGTCGTCTCATTTTGCGTGACGTTCGACGGAAATATCAATGGCATTCGAACGAAAACAATAGTTATAACAAAATAATTCTCATTTCCTACAAACGTCGCGTGCCCCTATACGAGCACGTGCTCAACATGAACCGTCGCGTGAATATATACCAAGCATCCATTTCTTCACTAGCTCTAATAACCGAAACGTTTCCATATTTTTGAAATCGATTATGTTCACTTTTATTTACAAAAAAAATTAAAACACGATTCCAACAATAGTAAATGAAAAATAGATAAACAATAAACTCAAAGACTAAAATACTTTTCTCTAATTGAAAAAAAAAAAATTACTAAACAACTAATTATTGAGAAATGTATTTTAAGGAGTTAATTGATCTGTTTAATATTTGTATGGCCACTTACCACCATATATTATAAAATCATTTATCCTTGAATGTTTCTACGTGTTCGGGCAAAAGGGGATAAATATAAAATCAAAATTTTTTCACATGTGAAAAATGGCATTGCGTTTAATATAAATTAAATGTAAACTGTAAGTTTTAATTTTGTTTTTCTAAGTTAAAATTTTACACTATTAATTTTACTCTCCTATTAACTGAATAACACAGATCTGTATGAGAAATATTTCAATAGACTTAGTGAGAATCATAAGAAAATATTATTAAGAATGCTTATGAATAAAATGAGAAGCACTCCAATAATTGACATTTTTATTGAAGTAAAAATAAGTTAAAATAAAAAATAACAGATGTTAGTAAACATTTAATTTGACAACATGAATTGTAACTCATTTTTTTAGAAATTAGAACACACAACACTGTATTCTAGTACAGTCTATTAAAGTACACATAGTCGATTATCAATTTTATTAAAAAGCAATTGTGAACTATATTTTTCCCCAAGGCGATACCAAAACATTTAGACTTAGTTAGGTTACTAAAATAATAATAAATGATGACGATTGTAAATTTAGCTTTTAGCTTTGGGCTTTTTAACGCTATGTTTTCATTGACTTTAAAATACAATATCTGATTGCATATTATAAACAGTACAACAATATATATGTTGAATATTTTTCAAGTCCATTATATTTTGCTGTATCACCTTTAATACTATTAAACACCTTAATCCAGAATATGTCAAGTATATTGTTATGCATCATTTATAAAATTAATACTAAAATATAAGTATTACCTATTGTGGTATGATGAACCAATAGTATTCAACTGGGCTGTGTTGTCAGGTGGGTATGTCCAAACACCTCCTTGGTAATCAGTTTCTGATCCTGAGGTGTCTGCAGCTGCAGCAGCATCGTATCCCGTCTGTAAACCATTGTTATATTGTGCTGTATCTTTGAACTCAAAATCGTTTAAACCATCGCCACCTGCTGATGCTCCATGGCCAAAATTAGCAGAACTTGATACAAAATTAGTTACTCCTGTAAATAATCAATAAAAAAGTTTTTTCAATAAACAGTAATAATACAATTCGGTTAAATTAATTAAATATTCTAAAAATATATTTTGGTATAATATGATGCAAATATATTGAAAACATATTTTTTAACACAATGTTATCTTTTTAAACATTTTAATTTCCATAAAACAAGATAACGAATAAATAAAATATCTAAGTTAAGCATACTGAACTATAAAATGAACAACGCATACATCTTGATAAAATATTATGTACATATCAAAATTATATCTTATTGTCAAAAAACTGAATTCATCAAAAAAATTGAATTCCCGTATTTATGTAAATTAAGTTTTGCAATTTTTTTGATACTTATTGTATATTTAGCAGTTTTTAAGTGTGACATATAACTGTTATAAAAGTGTTTTTATAACTTAAATATACACATTACAACAATGTAATGTTTTTAAGTAATACCAACGAACAAGTCATTGGTTAAAAATGTAAATATTTATATAAATAAAAACTACGATTTATTTATTTTGATTGACACTTACCTTTTGAGAGGATTTTTCCAGCACCACCCAAAATAGTAGGTAAGAACGCGGCAATCAGTACAGATTTGAGGATTTGCGCACCAATGAAAACGGGCAACAGTAGTTTTTTCAAGCCGAATGCCAAAAATCCTAATCCAAAACCAGTTAGGAACGAATTTTTTCCCAGATTAATTTTAGCTGTAATGCAAGTATTAGTTAGTTAAAAATTTTAGTGATATATGATAAAAACCACAAGTGTGTAAAGTTATTAAATCTATACATTTTATTAAAAATAAAAAATATATCTTAGAGAATTATAGTCATATGTTTTATAATTAATTTGAATATTTTTGTATTAAAAATAATACAAAAAAAAAATGAAAATTAAGTGTATTTTCATAATTTTAAAATAAAAACCTAAAATCTTCCTACAAAATATTAAAGCTAAACGTGTATGAATAAGTCTTATTTATCTGTCTTCGTATAAAGTAAATATTATTCTCAAGAGTACACATTGTTTACTCAAGGACCAAGACAGTTAACACTAGTATATTTTAAATTATTCATTGATAACAATCTGAGCTGTTTTCTTTTGATCTAACTTAAGATCGTATGATTTATTTTAGACTATACTCATAGCAAACAAAATAGTCTGTTGTGTACATTAATCTAAAAGAAACTTAAAATTTAAACCAACAAACAAGGACAAAACGAATAACAAACATAAATTAAACATACATTTCAATTCTCACATATATTTGGATCGTACATAAATAATCTTCCATTACAATGCGAGTTTCAAAAAGTAAGTGTACATTGTTATATTTGTATTATACTCGGTACGAGTCAATTTTACCAGACCAAATTATTTCATTTACCCAACGCGATAGTATTTTTTACAAATTGACAATTTCTGATGAGTAGAAAAAATTTCAATTAAAAATATACTCACGTAAGCTAATAAACATTCGACCAGTGCTTTTAAATAATTCTGTGAAATTAACATTTAGTACATGTGAGCTGACAAATTCGATCAGGCTGTCAATTAAATATTGTTCTGGATCTGATTTTCTATCTAAAGCTCGACTTTGGCGGCCATTTGCCTCAGTAACGTCCACATGCTTTAGATGAACTCCAGTGACAATCTCTAAGTTGTCGGCCGGCTTCAGAGTCTCGTCAACGATGTTCATCAGCTGTTGGACATTATCGTCAGAAGACATTTCCTTGGACAGTGTTTCTGTGCATAGCACCACAGTGATTATGGCGACCAGAAACGTGGCGATGAATGTCGTTCTACGCACCATGGCTCAGTATCTGAAAAACAGACTAACTTAGCTCTTCAGTTTTTTATTTTCCCTCAATGTCACACAACAGTCATAACGATGCACACACACTGCGACTGAAAGAAAAAAATTAATTTTAGTATTTAAAAAGAAGAGTAAATATAAAAAACGGATCAGTGACCACAGTTTGATAATTATAATAAACTATCTAGTTAATTATAATATCGTCTTTAGTAGTTATTTTTTATTACTGGTAGAGCGTAAAAATTTGATATTACTAAGAGCATTCAATAATTATTTTTTGGCATTCAAAAATTGTTTACCGCTTTTCTGAATGCCTAAACTTAGAAAAATAATTATGGTCTTAGACGACCATAATTACTGAAATTCTATTTATAGAACATTTTAGAAGTATGGTTTAGTCACTGTTGTTACAGTTTATCTAGTTACTATGGTAAAAGTAACTAGGTGAAGTAAAAAAAATTTGGTGGGGCTAATGATAATTTTTCTCCAACCAAAAAAACAAAAAAAAACCATATATTATTATATATAATTTTCTGGAATTTGAAGGACTAATTATATTTTTGAGATACTAGGTCTCTGAAGCCCACCGTCTACTTCGTCTATGATTATTACAAAAACCCACATGTAATATTTTATGGGTTAGAATTCATAAAATATATTTTTTATAATATCTATAACTAAATCCACGTGATAAATATAAATATAGTAATGTTGTAACTTTCTCAATGACCGAGGTCTAGGTCAATACCAAGTCTAGGTCAAGCCCTTTCACTGAGTACAATGCATATTGATCAGCTAGTAATTATTAAAATAAAATTTATTAAAATTCATTTAACTTCAAAATTATATAATACATTTATTATGATAAATTAACTTCTAATTTCTGGATATAAAATATGTTTATTTAAATGTTTACTAGAAAATTAAAATGTCAAGTAACATCGTTGGAGTTCAATATTGGGCGGTGATTAACAACTGAAGCAGTTTCTCGATATAAAAAATTTTTCACAATCACATCCAAACGACAAAAATTGTAGCCTCATTGTGTAAATAATTTTTCTTGAGGATCTATAACCATCGTATTCAATGCGCGTTTATTTGTCATAAAAATCTGAAATTTTGAATTTGTTTGAAATACAATATTCAAAAAAGATTTTTATGAGCAATGCGTTTTATTAAAATAGAACATTTTTCTATATATAAAAATTTAAATATAAAGAAAAATACTTTCTAATAAAATAAGTTCAGTTAAAATTATAATAATGGTAGATAGGTACCATAATATTACTATTACAAATAAAATGCTAAAGAAGTTACTTTTTAGGAAAACATAACGAAGAAATTGACTTCTATATTTTTAGGTAATTACTAAGTTTTACGTATAATAAATTTATTTAAAATGTTCATGGAAGCATAAAATGTACAAAATTATACTTATACTAGATTATTGTACTTTGATTAAAAATTTAAAAAAAAAATTAAAGTTTTATACACGTTTAAATTAAATTAAACTCGCAATAAAAAAATCGAGAAAAAAATTTGTTTTTAAAAAAATGATTTATATATAAAAGCCAAAAACTGATACATAAGACGTTGAAACCGATGAGGATATTTAAGAAAAAATGAGTACAAATCTAAAAAGTAAAAAAAACTCTCTGTGAGTGAATTGAAGATTATAGTTTATTTTTTAAATATTATTATTTAAATATTCATCACGAATTTCCTAAACCACCTGAATCGATGTAATTTCTCTATTTTTAAATTCCATTATCTTATAATTATTTATTACTATAAATATTTTTTGTCTCTTTAATCCTTTCAGCTAATTGCCTAATATCCTAAGAATTAGTAGGAAATGTGATTTTCTAATATGCTGTCAATTGTTGGCTGAATATTAAACACTGCAGTCACAAGTTAAATGAAATTTAGATATCTTTTAATTTGTACTACGGCGACAACATGACACAATAACAATATTTTTTCTATGTGTGTGTAAATTACACATATCCGAGTGTTAAAACAGTAATATTTTTTGTGAGTAACTAAAGTAAGATAAAACCTGGTGACTAAACGCTCACGTTTTTAATTTTTATGGTTTTGAAACGGATATTGTTATACACGGGGCGAGCAAAAACAGAAATGTTGTCCTAATTTGTACATCCGATGTAAATATTATGTTGAATGACGATTTTGGAGAAAGTATTCGACTACTGAGTAAAACTATAAGTTTTACATATGACAGGTTTTCAAATAAACTTTTTTTATTTGGAATTTCATAATTGATCACTGTAAAGCCGATTTAGAATACTAGAAAAATCGGATTGGGACCACGAGACCTTGAACTTAAGTAGACATATTACTCGGTCTGCGCTTTTATAATAACATTATTAATAATGCATGTCGTGGGAGAAACGCGGCGTGTTGAAAACTAGTGTGATGCGCATACTCAATAGAACAACTAGCGTAGATTCCGGAAGAAAATCGGTAAACGCTGGACGAACCAGTTTTGGTTTAGCCGTCTAACAACAGGCTTCCGGAGTCATGACTTAGCAACAATCCATAGAAGACGAACTATTTCCCGCGGTCACAATGCAGCCTTCCTATTATTGAGACGGACAAGTTCAAATAAAATAATTTTGAATATGATTACTTAGAACAGTTCAGTAGAAGGCGACGAGAATAGCCGTTTTCAGGTCATTGATTATGGATATTAAGTTGTTTTTTGATAAATTGCAATTAACGTGAGAGCAATAAAAAATATTAACTACATTCTTTGCTCATATACAGAAACGGTAGTATCGACGGTAATATAAAATAAACAATAAATTAGTGAGTCTAATAATATCATCTTATTAAATTAGAAAACTTTTACCGACAAAATCCATTGACAGGAAAGTTAACATTTTGGAAATGTGAATAGCTTTAATTGCTAATTATACCAACGATAATTTTAGTTTATGTTTTTCACTAACAATAAATGCAATGTGTGTTAACAACTCATGGGAGATGGCACTGGGTTTATTTCAGTAATAAAGAGAGTAATAGCAAACGACTTGCTAAAATTATAATTACTTTTAGACGCTTGGAGGTAATGATAATCGGCAAGACGATTCATAATGAAACATCGTATAAGAATATCGAATCTGTGAGTTACACTTTAGTATTTCGAATTTCTAACGTATAATTATAATTATGACCACGATTACCGCATTAAAAAATATAATCTAATAAAACTATACCGACACCTAATACTGTTTACAAGGCGTTTAACAATTTGTTCAGTTCATTACCTTTCAAAACAATAAGCAGAAGAAATCGCCAACATCACCATTACAAAATATATTTTGACAATATTCATACAACAACTTTGAATGGTTATATTACCATAAAATAATAACTAGTTAGCGATCCGTTACACACGACAAAAATCAGTTTAAAAGGTTAAACAGTTTTGGTTTTAATAGTAACGATACTTTTTTTAATTAGCAGTAACAACGGTACTTCACTGCAAGTTTAAACCGGTAGACAGTTAACTATTTTTACAAATTTATACGTTCACATGAAATTTATAAACTAATGTAACATTTTATGTCATTAAGATCTTGATCGCAAAGATCCATTACGTTATAACACCGTTATATTACTGTTAGACTAAACAAGTTGAATTTTTGCATCCCAATATGATATCCAAGTTTTCAGTTATGGTAAATTAATTGCATTTTTATTATTAGAACACGGAATTATATGAATTTTACATTTTATTTAAGCCACTCTGAAGGATTCCAAGTTTGTGCATCTTTGTCGTAAGAGTGTATAGTGGCGTAGAAATATATTTCGTTTTATGGAAAGATAAAGCACTAACTCCTCTCAATACTATAACCTCTATAATAACATATTATTAAGTCAATTAATAAAAATTCGTACTGGCTGATAGTGTGTCCGGAATATCAAAATTTCTACATGCATATAATTCCGCACGATAGTTATTATTAATACTGGCTATCAAATTCTTAGATTTTTGAAAAATATTTATAAAACTGAAATTTTAACAGTAAAATTTCGTACTTAATTAAAATCGTGGATATTTTAGACGTTTTAAAAAAAATTACAAAAATTCACCCATTATTTTGTTGATGAATTTTATTTATAACATTTTTTTTTTTTTTTTAATCATTGATTTTAACTTGGGGACTTTTAAATCATATTTAGAAATTAAATGAATCCCCCAATTTTGTTTTTTGTTTATAAATTATACAACTGCTCAATTTTAGTGATGTAGGTCATTCATACCAAATAATGTATGCATACGTTAAGTCATACCTAATCAAACATATGTAGGTGACCATTAGGGGCGTTAGCGTAGCGGAAACTGCTAATATTCGTAGAAAGCTATGGTCATCAGCATAAAACGAAATGATTAATAACTTATTTTTTAGAACCTCATTTAATACTGTTAATTAGGGCGAATAATACTCTTATTTTAAAGAATCGCGACTTATAAAGACTATTTGATGCATTACTTATCAATAATGTATTTGCTGTTTTTCTATTATCACTTTTTTTATTCATTTAAACAGAGTAAATATAAATACTGAAACAATAATTAAAATTAAATAATCAAATGAACAAACAGAAAAAAGTAATGGAGTTGGGTATAAGTAATTGGAACAAAACAAGAATGAAGAATAAATGAAATGAAAAAATAGTGTACACAAGCAGTAAAAAATTTCAAGAGTTAAACCTTCTTAGTGTTTCAGGCTATGAGTAGCCAATATAATACTTACTATTACTCAATAGAATCAAACAAGTAAAATTTTAACACACGTTTAATAAACTAGAAAGATGATGACAAATATAAAGGAATTTATGATTCCCTTTATTTAAATTACCTTTCTAATATTATAGTTTAACACATTTCAAAATGAAATAATTTTGGCTATTTTTCTTTTTTTTTAATCTGCTAAACTATAATATTTTGGAATGATAATTTAAATAAGGTAGATCATAGAAGGTATCAACATCATTGAACCCACGCAATTTTAAGATCTTAGTAGATCTGATACTGAAAAAAATATCATAAATTATGACTAATGGTTGAAGAGCTCTCTAATTCTGTTATTACTAACTCTCTTACAGAAGTTATTATTTAGTGCCGAAATGATATCTGATTTTGTTTAAAAACACATCACACTATAGATATAAAGTTTTTAGAGTAAATATGATTTCTAATAAATAAAAATAAACGTTTACTTTTATCAGTTAAGACATACTTAATCTTTTAGTACTATTTAATAAAATTGATAACGAGAAAAGTTAATGAATTTCAATAAACTCACGGTTTTTCGTATACATGATTTACTTTTTTAAACAGTGTCGGATTAAAGGAGCTAGGTGTTTTTTTTTTGTTCACGGAAGCAACATTTTCAAGAAATGAAGATCCATTTCAAGGTACCATTTCGGGACTCAAATAAGTCTTGATTTATTTTCACGTAGAAAATTAGTTAAAAACTATTATAATTACATTTAAGCGAATCGAAAAAAATATGTTTTAACACATTCCCAAATCAAATACAATGTCTAGTAAAGGGTGTTTGATAAATTAAATTAGCGTAATCGCTTTGCACTCCTATAATGCATACCCATATTCTCAAGTAACAATTTAATGAAAAAAAAATATTTCAAAAAAATATGTTTATCATTTGGATGATACTGCATTAAACAATAAGATATGTTAAAATGTTTGTCCATAATTTGTTTGTATTGCAGTTATTTTAATGTAATACTATACAATATTTGTAGAACGTGTTCAAAATTAAGTCTGGTTTTACAGAACTCACCAAGATGTTGACGAATAACAATCAACAAATCTGCATTATCACTTTAAATTAATTAATTAACAATCATAAATTTAAAAAAAATAATTTACACACACCAAAATGAAAAAGTTCAAAAATCGATTAGAGCGTAAACAGATTTAACGAAAAACAAACCAGATAGCACGCGTAGTGGTTAACGACTGGCCGGCGTATACAGGTGAAACCTTCGATAAAACCAACGTTCAAGAGTCCTCCACTCTTCGTCGTATAACTTCTGTCACATATCATCATTTTGTGAATTATAACTGATCAAAAAAGATTAATAATTGACCATAGTTCATTAAAACTATATTAAATTTAGGAAACTGATTTTCACCAATCATTACTAACCTAGGACTAAAAAAAAAAAAAAAAAAATTCAGTATTGTTATTTATAATTTATTTTATTTTTATAAATTTAGAAGATAATATTTGTAAAAAAAATCTCAATAAATTAAAAAAAAACACTTTAGGAGCCAGTATTTTTTGTTAATACTAGTTTAAAATTATTTATATTTAATAATTGAAGTTAAACAATGGTCTTTAATAAAAAGTATAAACGCTGTAAAAATATTTACAACGATTAGAATTTCTAATATTTAGTAGTCAATGCTACTTAATAGTAAAATATTAAATAAAACAGATAAATATAACATTACTTTGCATACCAACAAAAATAGTGATACAACTAAAAAATGTTCATTATTGTACATAAAATGTCAAATTTTAAGCTAGAAATGTAAACATTGATTTAATCATTACAATTTTGTTTAAAGTATTGTGGAAAAATTATTTTTAATTTAATATAGATTTGTCTTTTCAGTAAAATTTATTTGTTTTCAACTAATTTCATTATTTTGCCAATTTTCAATAATGGATGTAGTCAATTTTATGTAGATATTAAATAGCAATTTATCTATAAAATGGGATATACTATTTTAATATTAATATATAAAAATATTTATTATTCAATAAAATGGATAATAGCATGTCATCATTTAATAACTATTTACTTTTTGTTATAAATTCAAAAGAATTAAGTATATTCCTTACATGTTTTTTATTGTCTAAGGTATGGTCAAAGAATTTAGGTGAAACAATGAAAGTACAACATATAGTCAATGCATGTTTAGTGTATAATGACGCCCACTCATTTCTTATTATTTAAACAGATCATGATTGTCTTTTAATAGTATTATGATGACTAGTGAATGTTTATTTTTAATTAGATCCGTTTGCAGTGTTGATATTGTGTTAGCTTTAAAATTAAATCGATAAAGAAAAGATATAATTCATTATTATTTGATATAACTCATCTAACTTTTATTTGTAAAAGTGTTTTTGTAAATGTACATGTCGAATGGTTTAAACTTTGTAATGATCTTAACACTTTTCAACAGATATTAGAGTCAAATAAAAAATGCTAATAAAAATATCTTAATTGCTCCCTCATTTATGTTAATCTAAATTTCATCCCACGAGAAGAATCTCGTGTTCTAATTTTTTTTTTGCGGTATTATGAAGCAGTTGCGCCTAATATATATATCGTGGTTAACAAGATACTATCTCATATTTGAATAACCTATCAAAAGTTTATAATTCACCTTCAAATAAAAAATCAAATTTCGAATGCATTCAGTTATTATTTTAAACGTTTGGTCAACATCAAGTAGGTAGGTCGGTTTTTTTTTATAACTTAATATGGAAATCGGTCAACTTCTTTATCTCAACCAAAATCCAACAGAACTAATAAATATATTACAAAACTAGTTTCGTCGGCCAACTTTTTGTCAGTATAAATCTAGTAAATTCAAACAACTTATTACATTCACCAATAGAATTAAATGCTTTAAGAATTATTTCTTTAAAATTTATTTTTAATTAACTTAAATGATTTTATTTTTAACATATTTATGAGAACTATATGTATACGATGTTCGATTACTATAATATATATAAATATACATACTACATATGCAGATATACTACTATATTACTAAAATTGCATTTCGTTTTTATTTGACAGATTTATTTTTCATAAAAAAACTTTCCCGGATTTTGTAAAAAAAAAACTGTAATGGTCAGTTTAAACGAGTTTTATTTAAGTGTATGGAGTAGATAGTAATATTTTTTTTTAATTTTTCCCTACAACCAAAATCGGTATGTTTTCCCCAGAAATGTATAGCATTGTTACATGTACTATATCTACTAATGAATCACTAGGTTTATTTTTGTTTATACCACCTTTATAAGTTATTAAGAAATAACAATAAAATTTAAAAATTTTTGTATCAAAATTTGCTTTTAATATGAAACAAATTTTACAAATGGCATAAATAGTTGTACTATTAAACTAAAACCTAAATTAATACAGTAAATTTGTATAAAATAAAATGATTGTTTGGGTCATGGGTAATAAGTGGTGGATTATTACGCGGTTACTACGCCTTTTAATTTTTAATCTAAGTTAGTTCTAGGTAACTACAAGGGCTGACCAGTCTGTTAATATGGAATGAATTGTAGTCATTGAAGATGAGAGGCGTCGCTTGAGCAAAACAAGTGGTATATGTGATAATTAAGTGTGTAAATGTGTATATATGTATAATATGTGATCCTTAAAATTAAATAATAAATAAATAACTCCAAATTTAATGACTAAAATTAATATTAAAAAATAATATTTTCAATAAATAAGAATTTAAATTAGTTCTTCTGGCGTAACAGAGAGAAATATAAAACTCTGAAAATATAACATTATAATTTTTTTTTAACAACAATTATACATTTTCTAACACTCGACACACAAGTGTGTCGAGTGTTAGAAAATGTATTTTTGTTATATGAAGTCCATCATTGCTAAACTATTTATCAAATTAAAATCTAAAATCTAAAATATATATCAACCAACAATAATTGTTTAAAATGCAAGCATATTATTTCTTAGCAATTTTGAAATTTATTCAGAATTTATATTATGTTACTAAAAGTTTAACTATTTACAAAAAAAGATTCAATCCCAATTATGTATGAATTCGTATAATCAAAGCTTAATAAACTTTTTAAGGTTTTTTTTAATAATTTCAAAAGACTTTTACTCTTTAGTTATTTTATAATCACAACTTGATTTGTTTCAACACACTTAAAGTTAATTATTTAACACTTTCTTTAAATTATTTAAGTATTGTACAACAATGAGATTTCACTAGTATTGTATTACTATAAAGATTACTTATAGTTATATCTGTTAATCACTATTGTTTTATATTAAATAGACATAATCTTCTAATTTCTTATTAACATGTGATTAAACTATAATATTACTATGTTAGTAATAATATCATTATTATGACAGTAATTAAATGTATTTAAACACTCTATGGAATGGAAATAAAAAACATAATTTTTGAAAAATAAACTGTAAAAAAATATAAACAGATATAAAAATTATTTATGAATAAAAAGAGATAGTTAAATTCATCGTATTTTTTTAGTTATTCTTCTCTGGTATAGATGTTATAACAGTTTTGACTTCTGTATATGGTTGTAGACCATATTCAGCCATTTCACGCCCATAACCTGACATTTTAAAACCTCCAAATGGGGCTTGAACACCAAATACATTATAACAATTAATCCTATCAAAAAATAAGTTTAAATATTAATAAAAAGTTATGACTAACCACACATATTAGTTATCTGTTAATTATTTAATACTAATTTATTTTATTAGTAATATTACAGTACAGTCAAATATTTATAAATAAAAATTTCAATAAAATAAAATTAATTTCGTTCCCTTAAGAAAGCCACGATTGCTAGAAGGAAAATCTGTAGGTAACTTGAATAAATTATTTATAGTATATGATAAATTATTATGATTTTTGACAGTGATTTATTTTTATGCCTTAAAGATTTAACTGTTGTAATTTAAATTATTTCTTTTATTGTGTTAATTATTGTATTGTACAACAATTTATTGATTATTCATTAAATATGGTATTACTTATTGGGATCTCTCAGTCACTTGTGTGTGGTGAATGCAAAAATGATTCAGATAAATTCTTAAGGCAAAACCTTAATAAGTAAAAAATTATAATTTCCTAATGAACTTCAACTTATTGATGTAATACTGTAATTATATACAATAATTTTACAAAATGAATATTGTAACCTACCAAACAGTTCCTGCTCTAACACTTTGAATAACTTTGTTAACAGTATCAATATTTTTTGAAAATACAGCAGCTGCCAAACCATAATCAGTATTATTTGCTCTTTGTATGACTTCATCAATATCTTTGAATTTTAATAACTGTTGCACTGGACCAAAAATCTAAAAATATTTGAATCACTTTTCTATTAACAAATAATAAATATTTCTATATAGATTTACTTCTTCTTTAGCAATCTTCATATCATCTTTCACATTTGCAAAAACAGTTGGCTTTACAAAGTAACCTTTATTACCAACTCTACAGCCACCAGTAACTAATTCAGCGCCTTGTTGTTTTCCACTTTCAATTAAACTAAGAATCTTATTTAATTGTTCTTCATCGATCTAAATAAACATACTAATAAATACCTTTTAACTTTATCGAGTTTTCAAAACTTACTTGAGGACCTTGTTTTGTCTCGGGATCAAATTGATTACCTACACAACGTTTTTCAGCAAGTTTAGCACTTTTTTCAACAAATTCTTCATAAATTGACTCATGAACAAATGTCCTTGAACCAGCACAACAACACTGACCCTAAATTAAATATCGATGAAATATTAAAAATTTTCTAGTAGTCTATTATTTAATTTATTTTACCATATTGTAAAATAAACCAAAATGAGCTCCTTGTACAGCTTGATCAATGTCTGAATCACTAAAAATAATATTAGGAGATTTTCCACCAAGTTCAAGAGTTACTCGTTTTAAATTACTTTTAGCTCCTCCTTCAGCAATTATTTTACCAACCTATATATTAATATGTATAAAATTTAATTATAATCCATCATTATATGATTGATAATTATTCAGTTATGAGAGTTACTTCATACTAAGAATTAGGGATTCTATTTCATTTTAATATGAATTTTTCCTTTCACATTAACAATTATATTAAAAAAACTTTTAGGATGCTGGGATTTATTAATAAGAGCACAATTAATTTAAAAAATACAAACACTTTGAAGTCACTATAATTTTCTCTAGTTAGATCCCATCTTAAGCTTGGTTTAATTGTCTGGTCACCACACTATTTTTCTAATTTTTCTAATTGAAAATGTATACACAATTGTTTATATATTGCTAAAGGGTTTTATAACCCGTTTGTTATATATAAATAAATAAATAATAAAATTATAAAACAAATAATAATTACTTCAGTAGAACCAGTAAATGCAACTTTATCTATTCCTAAATGATCAACAATTGCTTTTCCAGTGGTTGGGCCATCACCTGGAACAATATTTATAACACCAGGTGGAAATCCAGCTTCTTTGATGAGACTAGCAATGTGTAAAGCTGTCAAAGGTGTTTGTTCAGCAGGCTTTAACACTACACAATTACCTAAATACAAATTATGATCAAAAAGTTTTATTAAAAAATCATGTAATTGTAAGGTTTTTTCTATTGAAATCATTATGTATTGTAATCATGTCAAAAAATGTTTAACTCAATTCTTAATACAATGAGTAATAAAAATCACTTAAAATAATTTTAATATGTTTAACCTTATCTTATTAATGTAAATATAGTCAATAGAGTACAGAAGGGTTGGAATCTAGAGTTTAAATATTTCCTGAATTAGTTCAGTTCTATGGTGAGTGGTGAGGTGTGAAGCCCTATTATATGGCTCTATTATCAATCAATAGTGAAAACTCTACCCAAACTAAAATCCTATGTATGCTATTTAATGTATTAATATAAAGGACATTCAATTAAAAAGGAATATATTTATAGGAACTATACTGGTTAAAGGCAAAATTTGCCTTACAAGACAACATAATTATTTTTAATTGAATGTTTATGTTATATAAAAATGTTCAAGTATAAAATATATTATGAGTGAATTTTATTCTAATATTCTAATAATATTAGAAGTCTTTATATACTGCATTAAACAGTAAAAAAATCTCATTTTACCCATGGCTATTGCAGGTCCAATTTTCCAAGATAACATCAATAATGGAAAATTCCATGGAATAATTTGACCACACACACCAACTGGTTCATGCCTTGTATAAGCAAAGTAATTTCCATCAATTGGTGTTACTTTCCCATGATTTTTATCTGCCCAACCAGCATAATAACGTAAGACACTAGAAGATACTGGAACATCATCAGATAAAGCAACACTAAAAGGTTTACCATTATCCAAAGCTTCCAAACTCTAAATAATTTATAAAATAAAATAAATAAAAGTAGTATGTGTGATTGAAGTACATAAAGTAACTTATGAAATATAATTTTTCAATGGTACTATTTTACATTACTATAGTCTACAAGGGAAATTTTATTTTATTTACATTATATTTCAATTAGATACACTAGATCTTATTTACTAAATACACATTATTTTAGACATGACATAAAAAAAATACTAATTTGAAAAATATTAGACATATATTTTATTCTTACGGCTAAATAAACTGAATCTCGATCAATCAAATCAGCTAATTTGTTAAGAAGAACTCCACGTTGTGAAGCATTTATTGTTCTCCAAGGACTTCCTAATTTGAATGCTTCCTGTGCAGCTTCAACAGCGTTGTTAACATCAGTCTAAAGGAATTTAGAAAATTAATTATTATATTGACATTGATTCTTAATATATTTATAAATTTTTAACATACACTATTTCCTTCTTGAACTTGAGCTATTGGTTCACCAGTTGCAGGATTAAGAGTTTCAAAAGTTTTTCCAGATGAAGACTTAACGAATTCGTTATTAATAAACAACTGAAAAAACATTTGTAGTATTTAAATGATGATCATATTAGGCACAGTTTTTAACAATTAATCCAACATATTAGTTTCATAAATATAACAAAAAATATTAGTCTTAAATGATTGTAATGAAAAAAAAAGTAGACAATTTGAATGAACATTTAGACTTGATATCATAAATAAGTTCACGCAGGAAGAAAATTTATAATTTTAATATTAATAATACTATAAAAATATAAAAAATTAAAGCCAAGAATATTATAAAAAATAAAATTAACTACTATAGTTTTGACCTTAGGCCGGTTTATTATAATTGAATATTAAGCTAATTGTATGTATTACAACTTAAGCCTCAATGAAAATTAAGAAAAAATATATGTGTTGACACATATAACAAAAAAAAATGACAAATACTTATAATTTTGGTAATTATTTAAATTATCTAAAATATTAAGAGAAAATTTTTAATTGTGAGAGAAATTTTTTAGCCCTTGAAGTATGTTAATGTGATTTATTTCTAAAATAGAAAAAACCCAATACATAAAATTTTATTTCTTAAATAATTATTACACAAATAGTTGAGTTAATTTGTTATTTTTATATTCTTAACATTTAACACTGTCCCCTATTTATGTTTATAACAAATGGTAGCAATTAAATGTAATAATCATTATATACATCCATAAAAATTGAAAAAAATATTCAAATTTCTATAGCAAAAATACATGTTAAAATAAGAATAATAATCATTTTTTGAATAATTTGAACAATTTACCTCTGTATATTTTATTGTGGGATTCACAATAGGTTTAGGCACACTGCTGACAAAACATTTCTGTACAATGATTGGCAGCGTATTGCGAGTTTTGATTATTCGAAACATTTTAAAAAATATTATTAGAAACAATAAATAATAAATTTAGAATAATTTATAACCAAATTCGTAATGAAAATGATGACACTTATTCTGATGACCAAGTATTAAAAAAATTGAAGTGGTGTGCCAATGCTGAATAACCCATGAAAGATAACCCTTGACAGAATACGTCAGACGAATACTTAAAAGTGACTTTTAAAATCACTGATTATAATAAGATATTATATTACTACCATATTAAATGTTGTTTTATTAAATACAATTTTTTTAAACTGGTTTTGGAATAATAAATTACTAATTATTTATATTAATTGTAATTAATCTTTATAATATTAATGAGTGATAATTTATATTTTTAAGTTGTTAAAATTCAAGGTCAAGTCACCGGTATATATTAACCGAGATAATGAAGTTTTGGGTGCATTAAATACATGATATGACCCATTTTATATTGCGTATTTTGTGATAAATATATTAAATTTAATTATTGTAGATCAATTAAATTATACTGAATAAAAAATTCTTAATACGTTTTGTAAGATATAATTCAGCAGTCATATAGAATAATTATTCTCTATCTGTGTTATTAAATATCAGCTGCTTTTATTCATATTTATCAATCATTGGAATCGAGAAACTCAGTTTCATGAAACATATGATTGGAGGCCACTCTTAACTACTATTTTCGTTGATACAAAGTATGTTTTTGTTTTAAATATCATATTAAGCATAAATAAAATGTGATAAGCAATAGGTTATAAGTATTAAGAACGCTTTTTAATTATTAACTTTTATTAGAACAATTATATTGTTTCTTATTATCTATTAAAATCGTTTTGAATCTGATATATGTGTTTATATTAAACTTATTTCTCTGCCTTCAAAATGGGCATATTTGGTAAATCTACCACAGTCGACCCTAAAGATCAAGTATAGTTTTAATCAACTTTCATTAGATAATAGATTAAACCCTTAATAATTCTAGGTAAAACAGTGGACTTCAACTATTCGAAAAGAAGGATACAAGTTAGATAGACAAATAAGAGGTAGAAAAAAGTGAATATGTTTACCAGTGAATAATAATTTCTCGTATACATTTTTTATAGGTATAGAAAGAGAAGAAGCCAAAGTTAAACAATCACTTAAAGAAGCTGCAAAGAAAGGTAACAAAGATGTTTGTATTATACTTGCCAAAGAAGTAATAAGATCTCGAAAAACAATTAACAAGATAATTACATCTAAAACTCATCTTAATTCTATTCAAATGCAAATGAAAAATCAGCTATGTAAGATATTAAACATATTTATCACAAATAATTAATTGTATTGTTTTCACTTATCTTTCTATTTTGAGAGAAATGTTAAAATATTTTAAAATTAATTTTTTCTTTAATATTTTCAACAATTGTGTTATGACAATGAGTAAAACCTTTTATGTGTAAAATTAGCCAAATAAAAGAAATAAATAAAAATTTTATGTTATATCTTTAATAAATGAATAATAAAATACAAATTTTAGTTAAATATAATAATGATTAATATATAAACTAGTTTTTGTATCTCTTGAAAGTTGAGGTTTTATACATAGGAGATTTTTCCTATTAACAAATACTTGGCTTTTTTTTATACATTATTTCATAATGCAGCTGTACTGAGAATGGCTGGCTCTTTGCAAAAGTCTACAGAAGTCATGCAAACTATGCATAGTTTAATAAAAGTACCAGAAGTAGCTGCTACTATGAGAGATTTATCAAAGGAAATGATGAAGGTATTATTATCTTCATACCTAAGTTTATTTAAAATCTAGTTTTTTATTAATAAAACTATTTTTATTCTTTCAATTAAAATTAATTGTGTTATAAGATTTTATTTTTGAAGAATAAAACTAGCAAATCTTTTTTTAATTAAGTGACAATTTGATTATATATATATTTTTTGTTTTTTAGGCAGGCATTATCGAAGAAATGTTAGATGATACAATGGAAAGTGTTATGGATGACCCTGAAGATATGGAAGAGGAGGCACAATCAGAAATAGATAAGGTAATATTTTATCCTAAAATTTCTTTAAAATAAAATAATTTTCAAACAATACTTTGCATAATGTTAAATAAATTTAATTGTCCTTGATTTAAGTTTTTTAACTTGATATTGATAAAACTAATAAACATAGCAAAGAAATTTATTTTAATATTTTCTGTCACATTTCATAAGTACATAGTTTGATATTCTTTATACTAGTTGAAAATAATGCCCTTAAAAATTAAAAAATATTCTCTCAATCCCTTTAAATGGGAGAAATCCTCAAACAAATTTTGATTTTTAAAATCTATAAATTTTAACAATTTATAAATTTTAGCTTTGATACGAAGCTGAGAAGCTACTAATTTTACAATAATGTGTTTTTTTTAGTCTCACCACTTTTTCTCAACTCTCACAGAACCGATTTCTTTCAACAATACATCAAAAGATCACAAACCATATCTAGTCAAAGAAATTTCCCTCGTTCCCCATAAATGAGGGAAGCCTCCAAAAAAATTACAAATTTATAAATTGCTAATTTTCGAAACTTTTTAAATTTTTTTACTTAAAACTACCATAACGTTTTCAAAAATGACCAAATCAATATAATTTTTTGATGAGAAATAATATTTATATACTTCTTTTATTCTACATGTTTTTTTTTAAATTGGACCATTTCCCTTTATATATTTAAATATTATAAATATACATATACATATATATATANAGCTTTTGGAATAATACACCAATTTTTTATAATTAAATACTATCTACAGATTTGCATACATTTTTTATGGTAGTGATTTTAATCACTGTCAGATATCATTTATACTGTATGCCAACTATGCCACGTCCTCATTGTGCTGGTTTTTTTTTCTTAGAGCTGTCATAACTTTTTTAAAAATGAATGTAATAAAATAATTTTGTTTAAATAATTACTTTTTATTTGGTATACATTTTTACAAATTCGGACCCTTTATCTGCCCATAGTGGGGATTTAAAATAGCAATTTTTGGACAAAAATTTTCCAAGTTTTGAAAATGTTGCAGAAAAACACTTTGAGCTTCAATCATATGTTATAATAAAGCTTATTTTATGTACTATAAGTTCAAAAAAATTTGGCCAACAACTTATATTTTATACATAGGCTGCAATAGTTAAAGAGCATAAAATTTTTGTGTTAAAATTTTCGATTTCATATTTTATAAACTTTAAATTGCTATAACTTTTTCAAAAATGTATCGATAAATACAATTTTTTTTTTTTTTTTCATAAATACTTTATGTTTACCTATTTTGCCATATCCTTTTTATATTAATATCAAAATAAATCATTTCAATAAAAATCATATTAATTATTTATATAAACCTTTTGGTACTTAATTAGTTGTTATAATTGAAATATTCAGAACTATATCCTTATAGTTATTATTTTTTATGATATACTAATATTCAATATTATTCCTGACCTAATATCACCTTTGATTTTTTCCATTGATGTGTTTTTAGATTTCATTTTAACATAGATTTTTTTGGTTTTTTTATTTTTTATATGTAAATATTTGTTTTTTTACTAATTAGTAATAATATCAAAAATAAGAGGTGTTATAGAAAATCTAAATGTAGATTTGAAATCAGTGCAAAAATTTTATTTAGAAAAAGTATATTTTTGTTACTGATGAAAATTTCTTGAAGACCAGTTTAGAACTAATGATTTTAAATTATTTTCTAAAAAGCGTTGTGTCAAGCACTTCAATTTTTGTAGACATTTGTCAAAAAAGTAACAAAATATACAACTAATTCATTATTTTTTTATAATTTCTTTGTAAAATTTTTAATATTAAATTATTGAATATCAATTTTGTACCAAGATTAATTATCATAATTAAAATTATAAATTACTAAGCATTTATTTATAAATTATACTTATAAATCAGGATACAAATAAGAAAATAGGAGTTCATTTTGTTTTTGAAGAATCGACCTATTTTTAAAATTATATACTGTGTACAGATTTGCATAGAAGTGTTTCTTATGATGGTGATTTTAAATACTGTCTATTATTATGTATACGTGTCCTAACTATGCTACAACTCCACTATGCTACCGTTTTTTTTAAATAATGAATTAGTTTAATAAAAGTTCCATATAACTATAAACTTGTTTTTATTAGTGTTAAAAAATCAACAACACCTTAGAGACTCTTTTTATTCACCTTTTATAAAGGTAAAAAAAAAATGACTTAGTACATTTTTGGTGTCAAAATTTGTGTTAAAAACATAGTTTATGTTTTTCTAAATAATAATGTATTAATTAATCATCACAGGTTTTATGGGAAATCACTGCAGGTGCGTTAGGTCAAGCACCTATGGCTGTTACTGAAACACCTGGTGGATCTGTTCAGCAACAAATAATAACAGAATCTATTGAAGAAGATGATGATTTGGAAGATATGAAAAGTCGTTTAGAAGCATTAAAAAGTTAAGAACTTTTAAAAGATAAGATTTTGTCTACTTTCCTAAGTCAATGCTTAATATAATTATAATATTGTTGACTATTATAAATTAAATTATGGATATTATTTTTTTAAATATTTATTTTACTAAAAGTTTAGCTTTTATTGTACCAACACATTTTTATTTTTTATAGAATTTGATACTTTTGCAAACATTTATATTTTTAATGTTTTAAAAAGTTATCCAGTATTAAGTAATTCTAAGATGCTTAATATTTAGCTTACAGCAATAGAAAATCTTATTCAATTGCAATATTGTATATTGGCATTATATTGATATCAAAATAATTTAATATAATATCATAAATTGCATGTTTGAGTGTATAAATATACTGATTTAATCAGTATTATTAGTAACTGAGCATTTTATCAGCTACTCATTGCTTTGAAGCATATATTGTTTTAAATTAAACATTAAATTTCAGTAAATATAGAAACTTAATGATTTTTTAATTTTAACAAACTAATTTTAAAACATTTACATAGTAAATGTAGGTATACATTTAAATTTATATTAATATTCTACTTCTTAACACTGTCTTAATTAAATTGTAAAAATTGTTTTTTGATTATAAATTGAAGTTATGATTATTTTTAACTTGTGTAATCTATTCATTTATATTTATAATAAACATTCTTTAAATAAATAAATAGTCTATTATTTTATTAATATAAAAAAAAATTCACAATGTGTATAACAAATATAAGTATGTAAATTTGAAAAAAATAAAATAATAATAATATAACAATAAAGTGTTATGTTTATCTTAAGATTTATAATAAATTATCCTTTGAGTTTGAAAATCCATCTGATGAATATCTTGCTTTTAAAGTTCTATATTTTTTAAGCATGTATAGAGCTTCAATTTCTTTAACTATATATTCTCCACGTTTAACTAGTGATTGAATTTCATTTGGATCAATAACATCTTTATTCTTTAAAAATGCTTTCTTCAATCTTGTCTTAAAAAAATCGTAGCCTTGTGGATAGTCACGGCCCATGTATAGTAACTATAGAATAGTATATTTCATAATATTCTATTAAAGTTAATTTTTTTAAATAATATAATGTATAACATATTTTAATACTATGAAAGTGGTTTAATTTTTTTTTTGTATTTAGAAATACTATTTTTAATAACATTATTTCATTATAAAAAAACCCTAAAATTTTCTATTAACATCTATAAATTTGATTTTTAATATAATTATTTATAGATCTCAAAATAACAAGTTTTAATAAAAGGTGATATATCTAGGATTTTTCAATAATGTGTCTTTTGTGTTTTTGGTAGTTTTTTCATTTTTTCTATTATGATTGTTTAACATTAATTATGTCAAACCATATTGTTTATCATCCCTGTTTATTATTTATCACGCCCTATGTTCGCAGATTTTAAAAATTCACTTTTAAATAAAACATTAAATAGCAGAAACTATTTTATGTATAGTTGCAAGAAATAGATATTTCATGAATATAGTTGTAATTTTAAAGTAAAAATATGATTAAAATGTTTTTTATAATGTTTTAATAAAATACTTCTTTGTGTTTGTGTCTCGTAAATCTTTAAAAAGTGGACATATCTGGTTTTTTGTACCATTGTTTTGAATTATAATATTTATACTTTATTATTTCACTAAATTCCTATTTCTTTAATAATGCTTTTAATATGTTTAGGACTTATAAGAAAAAATATAAATTATTATTATGCGTTATTAGGATTCTAATACTAGTTTTTAAGACTTAATATAAAGAGAATAACATCTTATTATTACACCTTGACTATTTCTTTGATACATTACATAATTTTATTGATTTAATTACTATTAAATATTATAACATAATGTTATTCTATTATTTAATTAATAAAAAAATAATATAACTTCAATACTTTTAAGCCTGTCAATCTGAATAATCACCAATCAAGATAAAAAAAAAGGGATAATAACAATAAATTTATTTTTGTATCCAATTTATATTGATTAATTTTAATGTGTATTCAGCACAAATTAGATATATCAAATAAATTTTGAAATTTAAGCTAATAACTAGATAGTCAAGGTTGTTACCTTAAATTTAATAAAAATAATTTTTTTTACTTTGTTTAACTTACTGTTTTATATAATTTAATCACGTCCTTTCGACCTGCGTTCATTTTCATAAAAATGTAGTAATTTACTATGACTGTGTCGTTCACTTAAAGGGTCATTTAATAGTTGAATACCACAAAATCATTGAAATCAATTAATGAGACCCACAAATTTACATAAATAATTGTGTGCCTTAGGTAAAACGTAATAGTTGAATAACATTTAGGAATCACACAAATTTAATTTCATACAAATTAATAATACATAATTTTCAATGCAAAATCTTCTCAGTATTATTGAAGGTGGTAATATGATATTATAGTATAAGATCTTATCAATGTAATTGCTTGTAAACAGATGTTTGAAAAATTTGTAGTTGTAGATAAAATATTATGGAGTAATAGCGTTCCCTAAATTATTTACAATAAAAAAAAACAAATATTAAGGTTTTTTGTTTGAAAAACAAACCTAATGATAATTATTTCCATTCTAAAATTCTATTCGTAATTAATCTTTTAAAATTTGTTTGGGCCTAAACACTATCTACTGTTTTTCTTCGACATTTTAAAATTCAACTTGTTTGGTAATTTTTGGCATATAACAAATGTGAATGGCAAAGGGTAGTAATAGTTTTTCTCTTGATTTATCGTCGCATAGTAAAAGGAAAGGATTTCGGGTAATAATTGAGTTTTAAAAATTTTATTTTATCGACTTTTTACTGGATTCCCCTTAGAAATATTCTGAATCTATACCTATTGTGTAACTGGTCAGTTTTACACATAATACATATTGAAAAAGACATTGTTTTTATTTTCTTAAAAATTTGTAAACGAAAAGTAATAAGGAAGATTGCACAATTTTACAGCGGTTTGTTAATATTTTATTGAAAGATACACATATGTGTATCTTTCAATACATTATATAATGTATTTCTTAATTCTTTAAAAAAATGTTTTCTACGCAAGAATATTTTTATTTATCTCTAATAAACATTGATATTTTAATACGTCTTAGAGACAGTGTCATTCCGAATCTTAAAATATAAAGAGGGGAAATTATTTTTACTAAAATAATAATTTATTAAAAATTATGTAATTTTTCTTTTTTTTCATTGGGGCCTTCTTTATATTGAAAAATTATCAACTAAAACGATAGAATTTTTGAGTAATGAGGTAATGTGACACCTTACATTCCCCTCCAACGACTGCTTTGTGGATTCAATCCTTCATACGCATGGGCGCAACTAGCGGGGTTGTTGCAGCACTCCCTATTATAAATCTACACCCCAAGTCATAGTTCATTAAAATTATTTGAAAATAACTTTTTCTAATTTTATAAAGGAATTTTTTTATCAGTAATTGTCTAAAAACATAAACAATAAACAATTTTTGATAATCAAAAATATGATTAAAAGGCGACCCGAAAAATAATGTTAATAATATTAAACAATGGCATTGGTAAATAATTATTTAAGGAATGTGACTTTATGGTATGGAGGTGGAGACCCCACGGGTTACTAAGCATAATATTATTTGAACGCCTCCAGAATTTTCGCTTTAGTTGCGCCCATGTTCATACGTATAAATGTGCAACACTATATTCACAGTTAATCTTAAAAACCCTTTAATTAGTTACAAAGCAAATTTCTATATTCACTAATAGTTAGAAAATAAATGTCTTTAGTAAATAAACAATAACTATAACATATGTTAACAAAATTTGAACCATATAATGTTTATGAAAATTAATATTTTTTATGCTAATTCTAAATATGTCATTCGTTTTTCTCTATCATCAATATTTTAGCTACAATTTAAGTATTTCCAAAATTCATTTTTTTTTGTTCATAAAATATGTGACTTAAAAAAAAAAACAACATTCTAGTATGTTTTGAATTTTTATAACATTTCCTATCGAAATAACTTATACTAACAACATAAATATAATTCTGTAAGCTCAACTTTAAAAGGATATAATAATAGAAAAACTTGATGGAATGACATCATATGTTAAACAAAATATTATTGTACACAATTATAAGGTATTCAAGAAAAATAAATTTTTTCTTTAAGTCACATATTGTGAATAAACTGCAATTTTTCAATTAAAATATAATAGTGTCTAAAATATATATAGTAGAGAAAAATTACAGACATTTTTGGAATTGACGTCAAAAACCTTCAGAATAAAAAAATTTTTATAAGTATAATACATTTTATCAAGCTGTGTAATAAAAAATACTATGAATATTGTATAAAATGGCTATTAATGGTGGTTATAAGCGTATAAATAACAATGCTGAATTAAGAGGATCTAGAGAGTAGAACATCCTAAAGCCCCATAGACATAAGAGGTCCGTTTCAAGTTTTTCTAGACATCCATAATATATTTACAATAAAAATTATTTTTTTTTTTAGCAGGTTATCTTTTTATAAAGTTATATATCTTTTATTTTTTCCGATCTCAATCGGAAAAAATACAAATCAAAATAACGTTCAGTAGTTCTGAATTTGTTTTTGATTATATAAAATTAAAATTTAATTTCCTTGACCAAACTATTTATTCTTCAACAGAATTACCCCATTTCAAGGAAGGCAAAATAAGAAAATTAACCCCAATCTCATCTCTGAGCAATTTTTTTTTGCTCATGGATAATTTTTATTCTACGAGATGAATAAAAATAATATATAATAAAATAAACAATAATAAAAATTACTCGAAAACCAATTATTGATAATTATTATATACAACTCTATGGTCTAATTTTCAATTGCAAATAATGAAACTACTATGATTTCAGTATGTCCATGGTAGATCATAAAACCTGACCATCGTTTAATATTCTTAAAAGTTCTAGTACCAAAAACTAAAATTTTTAGTCAATATTTAAAATTTCTTTGTTGTAAGATGCTTCTAATGGATATATTATGTGTATATATAATTAAAGAAAGTTAATATGTATTGACTATTGTTAATAATTTTTATTATTAATTTATTTATTACTTTCTTAATTATTTAAAATAAAATAAAAGTACATTTACTTTATTTTAAAAGTGTGAAATAAAAAAAAATTGTTATAAAATTTTATTATTGAAATATTTTAGTGTTTTAAACATTTTCTAAGTCTAACTTTAAATTGAAAGCCGTCTTTAACTCTAAAACACTGGATACCACACTGTTTAACAAAAACCAAAACCTAGTGTCATAGTCTATTAACTATTATTACTTTATCTACTCTTTTTCAATATTGTATTGTTGCCAACATTACATTAACGAATACTCGTTACATCAGCACGTTCACTCAAACGTTTCAAGCCTCACGCACATGCGGATTTTAATGAGACTGATAGCTACAATGCGTAAATAGAATAAAAGTACTAACAGTATATGTATTGTAAACGCATTCCGCGCAAACATAAAAACATGTGTGTGTATACAATATTTGTTCATTTACGTTAAGGTAGTTGCAATACGTATATGCATTGTGATAATACTGAATAGTAGACGTAACAGAATTAGCGCGTAAGAGTCGAAGAGAATGGCGCATGTTCAGCGTATCAGAGCAGGTATATACAACAGTAGTACCCGGTCAGAAGGGTAAAGATAGTAAGGGAAAGGCGGGAGCCGGAGACGCTGGCGGTATTTTTGCTAACGGGGCGAGCGCCTGAGAGTCTGCCGGAGCTTCAGTTTGTGTGACGGGCGCACGGCGAAACGCGGACGGCGATTTCGCACTCCATTTCCATCGTCGAGTAGTGAAATCAATGTAGGATCTTAACGCCACACAAAACTGATGTGAGTAATTTAATTTTATATATTTTTTAAAATATAACCAAGTATTTAAGAGTAGCCTTGGATCAATTTATTTTCTTTAATTTTCACAATTTATCAATATTCATTTGGCAATTACCAACAGGTGATTTCACGAATTGCATTAAATGCAATTCATGACACCATTTTGTACCTTTAGAAGTATATTTTACACTTGAGGTATACTTTTAAAAAATTGATTTGAATTAATATATATGCTACATTCAAATACGTTTTAAACGTTTTTTTTTTCTAAAAAAGTGGTATATTATTATTTTAAGAATTCAACTTAATTTTTAATATGTTTATTTTATATAAATTACAAATTATATTATTAATTAAATATACTGATATTATTATTTTAATAATAATTTCTTTGTTCAAATTTAATAGAATAAGAAAAATTGTAATACAAGTTAATTAATTTTATTGTATTTAATACTCATTGTATATTGGATCATTTTATGTACTGAAAAAAAACTTCTAGCGGCATCTTTTTTTAATATTAAAAAACATTGATAACTTTTTTTTTTTGCTAAATGAGCTGTAGTATATCCATCAATGACTACTAGGATTTTCCAATATTTTAGAAGACCAGTTTGTGCATGATTATGATTGAAAGCACCTGTGCAATTACAAGATACCTCCAATATCTGGCGTCCCTGTGGGTAAAAAGGGTAGTTTCTTATCCTTGATTTTTAACTTGGTCAATTTGTAAAATCGCTGTGTATTATAAAAATGTTTTTATTAAAAGATAAAAAATAATTGTATTTCTATTAAATTATATAATAAATGTCAAGATTAAGAGCATTGTTTTTATAAATTATTCACATGTAGATTTGGTTATTATTTATTTAGCAGCTAAATAAATAATATCAACTATATTATTTATTAGTTAAATTTATTGAAACTCTTAATTTGATAAATAATATATAAAACTACCAAAAAATCTTTTTTTATAATTTTTTTTTATGGGGCCCATAAGCAATTATTAAAATTACATTTTTGAGTATGCTAATTGTATTTTCTTCCTACCCTAAAAAACACTACATATATTTATATGACAAAATACATCACTTTTTAAATTTTTAGGCACTTAATCATTAACTGAGGGGGCCAAGCTCCTTCTTGTTGCTCCTATGGTAACGCCTCTAAAAAAATTCGGGTCCTTGGCTGAGAATTTTGTTCAACACGCTATTTACAAGATTTTATTTAGAGAAAAATGCTTTGAGCATAGGTATAAAAAAATATAAATTTTTATTAAATAAAATTATCTCCTGAAAATTAAAAAAAAAAAGACGTATCTGGTTATTGCACCAATTGCACCTTCAATTACTTATTAATTTAATATTTAGTACTTTCCAAATGAAAAATGCTGGCCCAAATAGATATTCATCAAGTCTAATCTGATAATGCTGCAGAAAAACAAACACAATCTAAAGGGTTTAGCATGTTTAATTCTATTATAGCTCCTAAAAAAATTACGAAAATATTTATTAATATAACTCATAGTAATAGAATCACTTTATTATTAAATGTTACCAGATTAAAGTATACATTAAATAAATGTATCTGTAGACTATGGTATAATTATAGATGTGTATAATTCTGCAGAATTGTATATGCAGCCTTATTTGTATGATTGACACGTTTTAATGGTTTCATGAATACTTATTACCCAAAATATAACTGTGATGTAATATTTCATTTTTGGGAAATAAAAGATCAATTCCATTAGTATGTTTCAATCTTGATAAAAGGTTTAATTTAGATATTTTGAAATAATTTTTCATAAATATCTATTAAAGTACATGAAAATCAGTTAAATATGTTAAGTTAAATTTTCTCTCAATAATTAAAAATAATTAAATGTTATACAAGTGAATTTAAAATTTGATTTAATGAATATAATGGAAATTTTTCTTAAATATTTTTATATTACACATCAAAAATATAAATAATTTGATAACTAATTTTTGAAATAGTTGAATATATCATATTGAATAATAACTTACAAATTAAAACGACGCTATATAAAAATAATTAAAATAATATACAAGCTTTAAGATGTTACATCTTTCAAAAATATATTCCATTAGAGTCTTGTTTAAAAGGTTAGCTTTTTTGTATTATTTTCATTTCAAATTAAAATATACTATAATTTTACTTATATTTTCAATGATCAATTTTAAACGCGGTACAAATATCAGCTTAAAACGATTATAATCAATTTAAGCATCATAAATAATTATTTATGTTTGTTTATACTTAATTATTCGTTTCTATTTCTATATATCTCATTGAAGTGTTTGCAGAAAACGTTATAAAAATGTGAACAGTTAAATAATCGTGCTGATAAAATAATATTTATATGTGTAAGGTAAATGTTAATATTAGAGAATTACACTAAGAGCAGAACAAAGCTTGGCAATGAATAGTATTAATAATCGTAATCCACAGAACAAAGTAAAAAGCTCTTCTGTCGCAGTATATTACCTCTCCAAAAATAAAAGAAATTTGCCTGTACAAACGTTCATGACTACTTAATTCTTTAATCGTTTTTTTGCTTGCTCTTAACCGTCATACTTTTTCCTACGTGTCCGATCTACCATTTTTTATTACTTCATATAATGTCTGTATCAATACAAGACGAGTTATTACGATTCCTAACACGGAACCGAGCGACCCACTACTTCATAATGTATACATACTAACATAGTTTGGCACTAATGTAACGTTAGTGGCAAACTACAGCAGCCGGTGAAGGGTAGACGGCTTGACGCCCTTTGCGTGCCGCCGCTTACACTCGCCAGTCGCTACCAACAGCCATCCCTAAAGGGGATATTATTATGTTCATCGAATTCATTCGCTAAAAAAAAGCTTCAGATGAGGGTCGATGAAAAAGAGTCCTATAAATATGTAAAGATCGAATGGGCGTACAAGTCGATCCCAACTCATAAATCTTATTGTATTCCTACAAATAGTATTTTTATTATTTTTTATTACATAATTAACATTTTATTCATTCTAATTAGGGGAGTAAAAAATAAGTGGTTTCCTTTCAAATCGTACAAACGTCCCAAGTATAAAGAAACCATTCGATCGAAAATAACTTAGCACCATAAATATACTCTTATCTTGCATGCTAAATCAAAGCTCATTGATTTTTTACACTATATATGTATATTGTGTGTGTGTGTGTGTGTGTGTATTGGTTGCTCTAAGGTCTTAAACCGTGGCAAGCAAACGTAGCCTCTGGGTCATTTCATACCCTCTCCCTTCGCCATCTAGACGACTACCGAGTATCAAAAGAAAGTAAATCTCTGCTACGCCGATTTCACAAACGGATGGGAGTATTGTCGAATTGCACTAGGGAATCGGTCGGCGGGGTGTAAAAATCGATTTGGCAAAATAGGTTTTTTTCAATCTCTATACTCTACCTTTCTACCCTCCTTGCCCCTTTCCCGACGGCCAACAGTGGCGTTGAAACGTCCCAGTTCACTGATAGTAATACGATTCGAAAAACATTTATCAATATAAAATATGTATACCCATAGTACTACTGCATACTATAATGAAGTAAAATTGGCAGGTACTATGTCAAGGCAAAAATTCCATGTTTACCATATAACGTATTTTATACTCTCACTATAATTCACTGCCAATGAGATTCGTCGTCAGAGACTTATCACCGACAACGAGACCAAATATAATGAAGATACGCTTGCAGCTGTGTACTGCGTAGTATACACAACAGTCAACCCTCACTACCCTACACCAAATATTTGCCCCATTAGCAGATTGATTCGAGCGTTTCATCGACTTTGCACACAACAATATTGTCGACTCCAAAAGGTTTTTACTCTTCCACAACTCTCGTTTATAACAATATGCGTCGATTCTTCATTTTAGGATTATTATTTCCACAGAAATTTAAGTTAAATTGTTACCGCATAAAAATCTCATCGACTTCTTCTCAATTTAATTCTTAAAAATTAATTAACGTAAAATTAATTTCTAATAAAACGTTTTAAATTTGTTCACTTTTCAGAAAATCACGTACTTCATTAAGTAGTGAAAAACTGAAATAAATTTTTCTAACATTCAATAAAATACTTAATAAAAATATCGTACAATACCAAGTTAGTTTGTTGAGTTTATAGTTATTCGATTTTCATTCAAAGATTAACGTCATTTCTTATATACATTTGAAAAGCATGTCGACGGTGTCTGAACCACTCAGCGGTAACGTCTGAAATACGAGTCTTTATTTAATTGAATTTCTTGAAGTGTTTTAGACTTTAATTTTTCGTTCATCTCCTATCATTACAAATCAAAAAAAAAAAATTAATATATCAAGAGATATAATATACAAAGAATAGATTTTACATTATATTACAGTTTTAAAAAATATTGAGTAACGTATTAGAGGCACTATCTTGGAGAAAGAACATAAAAATAATCTCACCACTTGCAAAAATTATTTTATTTTTTCAAACAGAAGATATTTTATGTTTATTCAAACCCCTCCTATTTTCCCATGACTTCCCCAACGTGTTAAATTAAAAATAATCATGAATAATTTTACCTCTTAAAAAGTAAAAGTGATTTATAATTTATGATAGAAAGCAAATGTATATGAAATCAGTTTTTTCAATAGTAAAAATTGTTATTTGAGCAACGTAAGCGTTCTCCTAACAGTTGCCGGAGGTCTGGATTTATGTTAAATAGTATTACTTGTTACAACTGATTAATCTTTTAATAAATATTTTTCGTTAGTTTCAGTGAGGTTCCGGGGCCGGTTAGTTTTCTCTACATGCGTGTGCTGCAACACTTCCGTTTTTATTACCGCCGACGACGGAACTGCAACAGCAGTCCGGATAACTATGACACGGTTGTTTACCACCTTCAATAATAATATCGTAACTGCCGTCTTCTACTTGGCTGTGTTCACTGCAAAAACAAGTAAGTTAATCGGATATAAATGCAATACTAAATTTAGACAAAAATGGATTCTCAGTCAGTTTATGAAAAATTTAAACCCAAATCAATACTTATTACCTCACAATAAATAAATATATAACAATTTAGAGATAAAATTGGTCTTATATTTAAAAGATAATTATAGATTAAAGTAAACATACTATAATTACTAAAGTACACATTTTTAAGAGAAATGAAAAATAAATACACAATCATAAACAAAATTTTCTAGAGATCAGCATAATTATAAAATCAATTCATATTATAATTTCTCGAGTACCAATGCACATAATTTTCTTTGCAGAATTGAGAATATCATGGTCAAATTAAAACCTATATTGGTTCATAATGGAAAATATCGTTACCACAAAAGTACTTATTTTAAATTATGATATCACGCGTGTTCTATTAATGCATTATTAGTAAAATCCATACAGAGCATAGGTTGAATAAATTTCAATATACGCCTTTATTACCAGAATGGTATGTTTTTAAATAAATGTTATAATTGAACAATTCATACTTTTAAGCGTTAATAGAAGTTTTACAGATATTTTGCTCAATATTTATTAAAGATAACATGATATGAAATAACAGTAGCTGTCAGTAGCTTATTCATTATGCAATAGTGTTATTATTTAACTCCAGATACCGTAACTTATTAAAAATACCGCTAGCAAAATACATTACCCAAATAAATTATACTTATTTTAAGTTTGGTTGCAATCTTAATGTCTCCAGTGCACTTTTTACAGTTTATGATCATAACTTATGGCACTTGAAAATACATTGGAACGGTTATTACACTGAGTTAATGCTACTATCTCTCTCTGAATATTTCATTAAAAGTTACAAAATAATTTTAAAAATCTACTACAAAAGAATATAAAACTGCTAAAAAATTGGGATAAAAAAAAAAAACATTATAGATATAACTTTCTGAAGAATAACAATAAAATGTAAAAAAGAAAAACTACAATGATCTTAATCAGGGGAATACTCTATTGTCAGTAAAATCTTTAAAAAATGTTGCATAGTAGTTACACCATTTTATTTTACTCATTTTTATTGTTATTTCAATTATATAATCAAAATAGTTTCATCATGACTAATTACTCTTCACTTAAATTTTATTTTATTTTTTACAATACAGTTTTAGTTCAATTTTATTGCCTTCCTAAAATTTAATTTTATCATTATTAGACATTTTCAAAAGATTATTGGTAAAAATTCAACATTTTTTATAGTAATGTTAATGATTATTATAGTCAAATGGTATTATAATTCCATTTAATAGTACATTAACATTAGTGTCGTATGTTGGCTTTGCCTAGCATAGACACTAAAACACACACACAAATAAACAAACAAATTATGCTCTTTAATGTCAACTGCGTTTTTTGGCTCTACCTGAGGACTCTTATCAGAATACACCGGTCAGCCTAAAATGTCCTCAAGTTAGTAAGCCACTAAAGGGGTAGTCAGTACAGTTTAGCTCGAAAATAGCCGACTGAAAGGTGGCTCCTTGTTACATAGCACAACTACTCTTACACTCTATTAACTAAGGACAGTTTACACCAGAAACTAGCCAGCTCATACACTATTTGCATTGACTGAAGAACCAGCAATCCAACCTTAACTCTGGCCACACACATATAATAATAACGAGTTTTTACGGTTGTAAGTAAATTCAAACATACAACTATAACACACACACACACAATACAATAAAATAGTAATAAATACACAATTTCAGTAACACCCCTCTAAACATAAAAATTAACGCATTACCGACAACGTAGACGATTGTAGTCCAACTATCAATCCCTCTTTCTTAATTAGGTGCCCTTTTTATAATGTCTGTTACCCTACTCATATTTTTATATTATTTGCTGATTCTCTTACACTTTACAATTTTTGCTGACGTCATCATAATAAATGTTGTTTAAGGAAAAAGTAATTATAATTTAACAACAAACATTTTCCTATATAACTCATAATGTGTTAGATAAATTTGAATATTTTAAACTTAATTATCATAGTTAATTGATAAGTAAAATTAAAATATTTGAATGAATTAACTATATGAATTTTTTTAAATACTATATTTTTTGGTTATTTTTTTATATGTTAATAGTGGTTTTTTATTAATTATTAATAATATCAAAATTAATGGCGTTAGAAAAAATCTAATTGCATATTTGAAATCAACGCAAAAAAGTGTTCAAGAAAAGTATATATTTGATTCTGATGAAAATTCTTTGTATACCATTAATTTATAATTAACAACAAATTATTTTCTAAAAAGTTTTGTTTCATGCCCTTCAATTTTTATACAAGTTTGCAATAAAATAACTACTTTATAATTTTTTTATAATTTCTCTGTAAAAATATTAGAATACTAAATTAATAAATATCAATTTCATACTACATTGAATTGCTATAATAGACATTTATTCTTACAAATGATAGAACTACTAATTAGGAATAATGAAGAAAATAGGAGTTAATTTTACCTTTGGAATAATCCACTAATTTCTTAAAATTTAACGCTATTTACAGATTTACATCGAAGCGTTTGTTACGATAGTGAATTTAATCACTGTCATATATCATGTATACTTGTCCTAATTATGTCACATCAATACTGTGTTACGGCTCCACAGTGCTACCTTTTTTTTCTTTTCATTAAATATAAACTTAACTCAACTCAACCTCCTTTCTAAAATGATTTGGTCGGCATAATTAAAAAAATAATAGTTTAATATTGAGCTTACTTTGTATTTTTTACATGAATAGTTATCAAAACAACTCTATTAATAAATTATTTCCGATATTCTTTATGACGTAGCGCCGGTATAACTATAGAAATAAATATTTGTAAAACAAATAATTAATTAAAAAGTATTTGGATTAAAAAAGTACATTTTTAATATAACTTTTCGATTAATTAAAATAGTAAACAGATTTTAAGTATTTTCATAACCCAGCTTAATACGTGTATAAAATAATTTTAATTAAAAATATTTTATAGTATTTGTTAGTCATAAAAATTTAAATATGATTATCCTAATTTTTCCTATTGAATAAATTATATGTTTAATTTTGTTGTTGTTTTTTTTTATATTTATTTATAAAATAAACTGACATAACGCCTATTAATTGAGACACGAGATTTAAATTCAGTATTGCAGTATTGCAGTTTTAAATTTAATAATTGTTAATTTGAATATTATTTTTGAACGTAATAAAAAACCATAATATGTTTCTTAATGAGGTAGTTAAAGATAGTTAAAATTTTGTTTGGTAGAGTACATTGTGTTTTCTCGTCACCAATTAATTATTTTCGTATGAAATATCTAAAGGTACAAATACACAAGTATACAAATATAAATAATTATTGTTAATAATATACCATAATAACTCATGACAGCCTCTAATAATCAGAGACTGTTATAAATTATCAATACTCTTAGTTAGCATTGCGAATGTTTATATTTTTTAAAATCTCATCAAAAATAATACTCATAATGTACGACTTGTAATACTTTTGAAAAAATAAATAAAAAATCAGTGTCCGTAAGTTATGAAATCACTAGTGAAACGGATTCTTATCTGACTTCCAAGAGTACCTTACATTTATAGGGGAGTGATAATCGGAGTCTCGAGAGGCGGAGTCAGGACGCTTGGGTATACATATCCAAGCTCGGCGCAAGGGCGGTTCCATTTTATGATCGATATCATGACCACGTTTTTGGCTAAAATACCCTCCCGCCCCCCTTTAACACAAGTAACCAGTGGTAACAATCTAATTTTTACTTTTTCTGCTACGTCTGGTCAGCGAATAATTTAATAATTTAATCTATCAAAGGAGAAAGATTACCCTAATGAAAAATAAATCTGAGGTAAAGTCTTAATATTATTTTAATTACATTAATTGAAAAATATGAACGTAAAAACTTTTATGAAAAGTCTTCAAGTTAAAACATGAGAATTTACTGTTAATTAAAAAAGCTTTTTATTAAATTAATATAATTTTTCTTCTACTTATTTCTTATTGCTCGTTGTAATTAATAAAACTTTATTCAAATTTTAATTAATCATAATTCCCATCAAACAATAAATTATACATGCAAGGGGATAGGAGAATTAACAAGTGTAGTTATTGTTTAATTGTTTATTTTTATGGCTTCATTACACAAGGTAATCATTAAATTCGTGAATTTTTTTTATTACAATTTCTAAGTTCAGTATAAATATTCATTTTACTCTAAATAAAATTTAAACTATTTATATTGACTTTTTAATTTTTTTTTAACTGCAGATGATTAAAAATGAATCCTAGTTTTAATTCTTGTATAAAATGAACGTTGGAAATACTCTAGCAATATTTTCATTTTAATTAACTGATCAAAGAAAAAAATTAAAATCTAATAATATGTAACGAATAAAAACTACAAAAAAACGAAATAAAAAAAAGTAAGTATTGACAAACATAAATCGAGCAGTAGACAAAAAAGCATTATTGTCAACGGTGCAAATACAAATGTATTTACAAATGTAAATACATTTGTATTTGAGTTAGCACTATTTATGACAAGAAAAAATGTGTTATTTTTCAGCATTAATTGTAACAATTGCATGATAATACATGTTAAATGTTAATTTAACAATGAAAAGTATATTTTGTCCAAAAGACAATTATATTTTATAACTCTTGTCCTATAATAACATATAACATTTTCATATGACATACATATTTCTCTTAAGTTATGTTTTAGCTTAACATGTAATTTATGTTTGTCATTATGAATTAAATGTTACCAGTGGCATATTGGAGGAAGGGGCTATCGCCAACATATAAATGAGAGAATTCAAATTTAAATAGTATGATCTAAAAATATTAAAAACGATATTTAAGATATGTAACGAATTTTGCCGAAATGAATAACAAATAAAACATAAAAGATTGGTTATACCTTTTAAGAGTTTACTGTGCATAACTACACTTGAGATTTGTGTGTGTAAATTTTAAAAATACTGAGATAAGAAAAGAAAAATCATCCTTTAAGTAATGCTCTTTTCGTTTACGTTAGTACAAAACAATGTGCACTATCTTGGTTTATTTTTGTAAGGGTTGACAACGAAAGGCTTACACCACCCTAATACCTGCACAAAACGGTCTGCTATCGGTACTTGGTTATCGGCTTAACACACGCCATTACGTCATTATATAGCGACATTGGTCGAAATTATTTTTCGTGTTGATTAATTTTGGATGGATGGAAGGAATATAATATCCTTAGCATTCGAAATACGCCACTATAAGAATATAATACAATATATTAATACCCGATAAGTGAAAAAAATAAAGTGTATTTTCAATGTAAGTGAACATCATCAGTTAGAAAAAAGAGATAAATTACATCTGTAAACACAGAGTTTTTATTCTTAACATAAACATTATTTTGTATTGTATTTTTATCAGCTTAATAGGGATAATAAAATATCATCAAAGTCTTTTTAAACAAAATAAGAGAGAGCAAAACCGAGTTATATATCATTGTTGTCGTTTCTTTGTCTTAACAGTAATAGTGGGCGTTTATGAAATAAACGATAAACTGCTAATAATAATCATCAGAGGGAATAAGGACCAAAAATCACACCCCACAATGAGCACACACAAGTTCAAAGTATTGTCTAACCATGATGGTCTTGATCACTCTTTGATGCGATTTTCACCCTCTTTTCATTTAATATATCATTGTATAGCTATACCGTGATTTTCCATCTGTATCAAACAGACTATAGAAAACCATTACTGGACAGTAATTAAATAAATTTGTAATTTTATCAGTTAAAGATAGAGTTTTGTAGTTTATCTATCTCTTTACATAAATTAAATATTTTCAACATTTTTTTTAATGATTTCAGCTTATGCATGGACATCAGATGAAAATTATGGAAGGTATGTCGGTCGGTTGACTGGTGTTGCTCACGGCGTTCGTGGTAACGTGTACGCTGTTGATGAAAACACACTGTACGTCCGAAGTTTCCACTATGATGGTATTGGTCCAAGTAAGTAAACATTAAAATTATTACAAAATACAAGTACTGAGAGAATTGTTTCATCCAATTAAGAAATAAACTTAAAATATATATTTAAAAAGCTCATTTAATAGATTCAAATAATTCTTATGATGGGGTTGAATATTTGTACGATTAAAAATGCCAAACGTTTCAATTAAATTATTTGTAATTTAATAAAAAATAAATAGATAGTTTGATTACCTACTGTTAATTTGTATTTTTTATACTTACAGCGGCGTATTTTTGGGCTGGTAAAACATCAAGACCATCTCCGGACGGATTTATTATTCCATATCCAGAAGACTATCCGGCAGTGTAAGTTTGATTACGTATTGTTATATGCCCTTCCATTTTTTTGAAGTTATGAATGTTTTATGACTTATAATAAAAATAAAACAACTACATAATTAAAAAAATTAACACATTCTTTACTTCAAATAGATAATTATACTATATATTATTTTTTAAGTTAATGCAGAAATAATATTTTATTTATGTATCATTGACTCATTTCTTTTTAAATTATAACATTTGAGTGTTCAGTAAAGTATCAAATAGATAAAAAAACAAAAACCATATTGGATTTTTAAAAAAAAAAATAGGAAACTTGTGGACGATTCCAAAAACTGATACGATACAAAAATGGGTTTGCGAGATGTTTTATAATTCATATTGAGGAAAATGTATCCGACTGTCAAAAAATTACAAGTCGATTTTATTGGAAAAGATTGTGTATTCCATTTCAAAAATATCAATATCAAAAAAAATTTATTGAAAAGGTTTTAATTTGTTTTTTACACTTAAAAAAATGCTTAAGACATATCAATTTTTGGAAAATAAACACAGAAATTATTTAAAACTGATGCTAGACAACGTTTTAAATATCTATAACTGTATTTTACTTTGATTTTGCTGAACAACATTTTATGATTTCAATTGTTGAAACTTTGAAATAGATTTTGACGTAAGCCAGCAAATTATTATTTCATGTATTAATGGATATAATTCAGCGGGAGTAATAGAAAAAAGGATAATGATGCTATGAAGATTTTAAGCTATCATTACTTAAAACGATGACAAGCGTGTTTTAGTATTAACTTGATTTATTAATAAAACATCTTATTTCTCAATTCTTAATATTAAAATATGAATATCTAATTAAACATAATATATTAGATTGTTATGTGAATATAATAATAATATTGCAATGTGTATTTTTACAGCAAATTAATGATTTTTAATATATCTTAAAACTCACACAATTAAAAAAAATTACTATAATAATGTTTAAAATTATGTATATTTTTAGGGAACCACCACCATTACAGACTCACAACAACTCTAATATAATTTTGCGATTACCACCAAATAAACGTATCAAAGACATAAAATGGCTTTCTGTGTGGTGTAGAAGATTCACGGTAAGATTTTTAATCAAAACCTAAAACATATTATTATTATTTTGAATACTTATGAATAAAATGAATAAAAAAAAATTCTTGAGATTAGCTTAGTTTACTATTAGAGTGTTAAAGTGAAAACATACTTTCTATCACATGATGTCTGTAAATAATGTCAGAAAGACGTATTTTTTAATAGTTTTTAAATTTCTGTCTTACTAAAAAATAAATTGGCGTATATTAAAGTAATAATCGAAACAAGGCAGTTGGCAAAGTTTAAAAAGTACGTAATATCACCTGTACATCAAGTTATGATTTCGTCGTTTAATGAAAAATAACATGAGAGAATTTTGGCACATATTTATGTTTTTTTTTACGTTGAAAAACAAACTTCAGTACTCCTTTTGCTTAACGCCTTTCAAGTGTACAATTTTTGTTTCGTTTTTTCGAGAATTAGGTTCAACATCTCTCTCTTGTTAATAACGCCTGATGGTCGTCACTGGAAAATACCATTTATTTTCTGAGACGAGAGTGGCAAAAATCAATATATTATTTTTCACCAACATTAGCATTATAACATTTTTAACAAAATTAATAAAACCACGAAGCTTATAAAAAAAAATGACTTAACTTTGTTTAATAATAGTTGATATCAGTACCTTTATAAGTTTAATGGGCAATAAGTATAGTTTTACATAAATAAAATATTTAAATATTAATAAATAATTTTGGCGATTGATATTCAACAACTTTCTTCAGAAAAATAAAATTTTTATAAACATCGAAAATTAATGTACTAAACATTTCTTTATAAATTGTTTATTTTTTAACATTAAAATTATATTTAACAACTAATCAATGTACCAAAATAGTACATTAATTAAAAAGTTTTTGATAAAACAAATTTTTATAAGTGCTTAAAATATTGAAGTTAGAAAAATAAAATATTAACATGAGATAGGTTTAAGTATATAGCAATATAATATAAGTAATGAATGGTTGGAATGCTTCATAAATTTTTTGGGTGGTGAAACTTTTTGTTTCGAAACGTCACTAAACTTTTAAAAAGTAAAAATTGGTATTATTGCAAATAATATTTACGTTAAATACTTTTCAACTTTTTAAATCAAACCAAATAAAAAATTTAAATACATAAAGAATTTTCATTGCTTCAAATATTTAATTTAAATTAGGAAGGTAATTAAATATGAAATCATTTAAAATCAAATTTGATGTCAAGAAAACATCGTTTATAGAATTTAAATTATGAGACATAATAATAATAATAATTAAATAAGTTCTTAAATTAGTTTATAAATGGAGTATTTACTGCTATATTATTAGAATGATTAATATATAACATTTTATTTTACTCATTTATTACTAAGATAATTATGAATCAATGACACATATAAATGTATAATTTCTTTACTTCTAAATATATACTGTAATTTAAGATTAAATGAATTAACTCATAATATTGTAATAAAGGATTACCGTTGTATTTTGTCCTTTGAAGTTCATAGTAAATACAAAATCAATAAAAATGTATTATACTCGGAAGGAAACCATATCCGGTAGAGTATTTTATATTTTTATTCTCCAAAAAAGTTTTTTAAAGGAGTAAGAAATAATTTCGTTTCATATTTTGTAATTGATCTTAGACAATTCATTGATAGGGAGTTGAATTGGGTAGTTCTTTTTTAAAAATCACAGTAGTGAATTTGGAACGAGGAGTCACAGTATCGGTCATATAATATAAAATTGACTCTCTGTTCTGTGTTTTCATATACAAAGGGGGATAGTTGAATTTATTGTTCTTATTTGGTTGTGTCGACTAGAGCTATTGAAAGAAACATATCTACAACTGTATAAAATATGTACACAACATAGATGTCGATTCGATGTTCTACTGGGACAAAACTCTATCGTGTTATGTATTCTTATGCAGTAGATAAATAACATTAGTTCGGTTAAAACAAAGGGAAAATGTTGTAATATATAGAGTATCTTTGTTGTTTATTCATGAGACATAAAAAGTCTTGAAAAATTCAATTCCTTGTGCCAAAATTTGTATCTTGGATTCTAGTTGAGTTTCTATTCTCAAAAGTAATTAGAAACGAATTTTAAATGTTTTTATCAGATATAATTATGTCAATATCCATAAATTAAATTCATTATTTTATGCTTCATTTTGCTAAATGTTTTTAAAATACAAAATTTCGTGAAATAGAATTCAATAATAATATGTTACTATCATACTATTTTAAAGTTTAATATTAAACACCATTATCAAAATTAAAACAATACTATTGATTTAAAAAAAAACCCTATTATTTGTTAAAAAATTTAAATGAATTATTTTAATAAAACAATTTTAGATAGTACTAAATTATGGATTTTAGCTAAAAAATTCATATAACATCAGTCATTTATAAATAATTGTATATTATATCATATGTATATTTATATTACCAACAATTTTTCCATATCAATGTTGAAAAATGGTTTGTTTTCTCAGATGGTAATTTGCTTATGTGTATAAATAAATAACTTGGGAGAAAATTTATTAAAAGAAAATTACAATATGTTAATTCTGTTGAAAAACTGAGTTTTTATTTATAAATTATGTAAATTTAAGAATTTAGTTAATTACTTTAAAGGAATAGTTAATTTTATAACAGATAAAGCTTGATATTTTTTTTAAATTATCACTAAGTTAAATTGAAGCACTTATACTTTTAATGTATAATAATGAGAATGAAATTATTTTATTTTTTAACTGTGTCTATTTCAAGTTAAGAATATATTATAATCACTTCAAATTTCATAGTTTTTATCTTTGATATCAATTTAATTTAGTGTGATCATAATGAAAACTGAACTAAATTATAACTTGTTTTTTTCTAATTAACTGCAACCACGTGGTGTGGTGGTATGAAAAGTATTTCGCGAGGGTTTATCCCTCGACCGACCCCTCTGATCAACGACGTGTTCGTCACGCTCATGTACCCTTATGTATAATAATGGGGTTGGCACGCTGTAGTAAACTGAGATGTTATTAAAAAACATTGTGCGATTGTAAGCTGTAGTCGTTTTCACGGGTGTCAGTCTGGTGGCGCGTACGTCATCGCCCGGATATTATGTTCATTTCGAATTAATGGCTTGAAATAACATTCCATCGGATAGTGAATACACTAGATATCATTTAAAGCTTAAAGTTTTACCATTAGGTGTTCACAAATGGCTATGCTGTATGTCAACAAACCCTTATTATCGGCATACAACTTTCATTAATGTTTACTGCGTGTCACAAATCAGCATAAAAGTACATTAATCATTTTAAAACAAACATTTTCAATTTGTTGGTTTATTCTAACCTACAATTTGTTTTTTTTATGAATTAACTTAATGCATAATGGAATTGCAGTAATCTGGTAGTATTAACTTTGTTATATTTAAATAATGTAATTTTAAATAGAATCGTGTACTAATAATAGACACTCCGACTTCTATTTTCGATTGAGCCTAGAAATTATTAATACCTAAATACTTGTACAGTGTCCTATATAGGTACGATCTAAGAAAGACTTAAGACTTACCCCCGCCAGCATAAAATTTATATATAAATTGTTATCTACAAATAAAGTCATGTTTAACTCTCTTGCAAGTTATATTTATATTGTGTCGGTTTGTTTCAAATACACATATTATGCAGTATACAGTTGTATAGTATAGTAAAATAAATACCTAAATTTTATTGCGCTTCTACGACATTTCCGGCCATATTTAGTCTCAGTCAATATTTAAAAAAATGATAATAAAGGAGCTTTTTTCATTTTTACGGATCAAAAATTGGCACAGACACTTATGTATAAATTAAAAAATTATAAACATTTTTATGTATAATCATATCCCAGAAATGAAGGGGTAAATATTTGGAGTATAACATATATTTTTATTTAATAGTAAAGAATATAAAATCTTAAATATCTTTTTAAATCAATTTATTTTTAATGTTAATTCAGTATTAAAATATGTATAAAATTTAATTTGGTATAAATAATATTGTAACTTATTTATAATAATTTTTGTGTATTTAATTTAAAAATAAATAAAACGTAAATATTATTTTTAGTTGTCAGAAGAAATTTAAACACTGTTACTGTTTTTCTGTTAATAAAGTTATTTAATCAACTTCTATTTAATAGCCAATTTATTTCATTAACAATTATATGAAGTTACATGCGACCCAATTTCATAATTGTTAAAAAATTATAAAACTCAAATTATTTCATCTTATTAAATAATAAGATAAAATAATTCTAAATATATTGTAAATAATATACATTATTGACAGTTATATTTAAAATATAACATATCATTGCATACATTCAGTTAATATTTCACTTATTAAATAATTTAATTTATCTGTGATACAAAAAAAATTTTAGCTATATTTTTGAGAAAAATTGTCCCAGTGAGAGCTAAGAAAAACTAGTGACAGACACAAAAAATAAAAAAGACATCTTGATAAAATTAATACCTTCTAAGCTTCGATGCGAAGCTAAATTTTGTATAAAGTATTTCAACCATATTATTAAATTTATCTTTAAACACTGAAAATTATAATTAAATTTTTACTTAGTATAAATGTAATTAACACATAATGTATATATTATACTTTAACATATTTTTATTTTAGCAGAAAGTTCACTTTCTAATTATTTCTTTTGATAATATCATTATTTTCATTTATTTCAAATAAATCACATTAGACTATATTTTAAAGAACTTTTGAGTTGATTAAGATTAAGTAACCAGGACTTGAGAATTTTAATTTTTACAAAAAGAAAAAAAGCGTAAATGATAAGAAAATATGCCAAAGTTTTGCGTATTTAAAAGGATTTCACAACCTCAAACAAATGGTTAAAGTATGTTAATTAACTCGTTGCCTGTCTGCTTCAGTTTCGTTGTTACTGAATACCGTCTTAGTACTATTGATAATTGCCTGATGGTTATATTGTAATTGTAGTAGAATAGATGAATTACACAGTTTCGATTAGTTTTAATATCTATTTTGTCCAAAATTTTGTTAATGAGCTACTTTTTTTTATACTTTTTTTGTATGTCTACTTTGTTTCATTAATAAACTTATTATGACATCAAAAACTATGATAAAATCTTATTAAATCTTGTACTTTTAAAAATTTAAGATATACCTTTAAAGTATTGTAATATTTGAATTAGAACTACTTAAAGTTATTACAATTCTTTTATAATATTTAAATATTATTATAGTGAAATTGTCGATTTTTAGCAAAAAAATGTTGTTTAACTATTTTTATGACATAATTTTTTTTAACTAAAAGAGTTTTTCAAAATGTTTTCAAAAATTAAAAATTTAATATTTTTTTTTATTTTTTTTTTTTTAGGTAAACTTTGGTGAAGTTTATATACCAAGTACGTTAGACCCACCTAAAATTCGAGTTTTACCGGAATTCAAGCGATTTGCACATAGTCTACGATCAGGCAACATAACTATTTTAGATGCTCGAACCTTCTATATACCGAATTTACATTATGATGGGTTAGGACCGGACGCTTATTTTTTTGTTGGTAACGGTTCAGAACCTTCACCATACGGAATCAAAGTTCCAAATGAAATTGGAAGGTAATATTTGTATTCAATAACATTAAATATTATAAACTTTTGTTTTTTCTAAACGTTGACCTAATTTCAACGCAAGCTCTTGTGCATTTTTTGATAAATTTGTCATTTCTTTGATGTCTTCATTGGACATTGTCATTTTCTTTATCAAATCTTTAGTCAAATGATCTGGTAAACGATATTGAGGCCGAGGACCGCTAGCTGGTCCTCCTGATAAAATGCAACGCATGATTTTATCATATAATGACCCGTCCCCGGACACTATGAAACAATTGTTACCGCAATAATAAAGCATCTTCTATACAATTATAAAAATAAATACAAAGTTCATTTTTTCTAATTATGCAGATATTCATACTATAACGTGTGTGCTATAAATTTTGTATTCGTTTAAGATTTTATTCAACTCCATTGGTTGTCTTTTTAAATTTTCAATTTTTAAAGCACCCGACTTTAAATCATTAGCTGCTTGCTCGAGAGTAATATAGGAACCAGTATTTTTGTTAATACATCTGTTCTCCAAACGTGCAAATAGTTTCTCCCAGTCAAGTGCCAAAAATAAAATGCTGCACAATAATTACGTTAAAATAAAATAAAATTCAACTATAAATAAGAGAAAAGACAGATGACAGGTAACTTATTATTCAGATTCAACTATTTCATCTATACATCGGCGCTTAAAATATATAAACACTCACCGATTTGGTGGGGTATCAATTGAATCTAACCACTCAATGTCGTTTCTAGAGCGAGGGAACCCTGTTAATATATATCCTTTGGCCAAACAATCATTGCTAGTAATCTTTGCCTAAAGACATTTATTACTATTATTTGAATGGTAACTGTTAGGAGACCTACTTTAATCCAATCATAAATTTTTGGTGTGGGTATACTGTCATAAGTGTAATGAGAATTTGAATTTATTTCATTAATTGTTTTTTGTGAACAAATTTGATTAGCGTCGACTGGAAAATAAATAGATATATAGTAGCATCTATTGTACTAGTATTTATTTAATATAGTTTTAACGTACTATGAACTATATTAAACTTTTCGGATATTTTTTTGGCAATTGTAAATCGCCGTGATCCTATTGGCCCTATCAGCACAATTTTAGGTACAATTGACGCTCCCAAAGACTTCTGATATAGAACTTGTTCTATACAAAGTTTTTTTATTGCATCTAATGATTTCCCATAAATATTGATGTTCTGTTAATAGTCATAATTATAGTGTTATTTTTAAATATGATAATAAAAAATGTTAATATTTTAATGAAAACTTAAAATGATTACTCAATTATAAGAGTAATTTGATTATCAAGTTGCTTATTAATATTACTAATTTAAAAACTCACACTTAGTGTATTTTCATATATAGTTTTGAGATCAAATGCTGTTTGTTTATATTGTTTATCATATGAGTCCAAATATTTTGATGATGTATTATTATCTAAACATTTTGTAAATTATTGTTCAGTGATTATTTATTAAAAGTAGTCTTTTGGATTTTATTTCTAAAATTTACATGAATGATTTAAAACTACTGTATGCGTTGGGATAATACCCATCCCAATAAGTTTGTCAGCTTCTTCTTTGTCTTTTGGTATATCTAAATCATAATATTTTATTTACTTTCTAGGTGATAACTTTTTCTAGGTTTTACCTAATAGTATCCATCCTCTTTTTGCAGTACCTTTTGCTCTCATATAATCAACCAATATCGTTGGAAAATCAGTTGGACAAATACCCTATCAGACGAAAAATTTTATTTTGAGAATGGTTTTTGATTTGTTGTAACGTAATTTTACTTTTTTCTTCCAATGCCTATGTAAGACATTTCGCCGATCGATGGTTACTGCTCCAGTACTTTTGGCTATGTAAAGAGCAATATTAACTTTATCTAAACAAAATCAGTGTGTTCATATTTATTTTCATCTCGAAAAAGTGTCCAAAGACTTACCTGTGTATTGGGGTGGAGCGATGAATATAATTTTTGGTAAATTTACGTGTAATCGATTTTTCAGAAACCATAAGATAAATTTTAAATGGTCAAGTGGTTGACACATGACAAGTGATCTCACAATATTCTAAAAAAATCTCAACTATGATATAAGCAGTGAACATATTAGTGATTTACAAAAGTCGACGTATTCTTTATTTAAAAAAAGATTCGTAGCTATTATTTAAAAAGTTATTAATATTTTTGTTTTTCAGGGCAAAATACTAATATTACTTTTTTAACGACAAAAAGAGCTTTTACTTACATTGAACATCTCGTAAAGTCTATATTTTTCCATGTAGGATACATGGCTTGCGTTAGCTAATGAAATCGATGAAAAGCTTTCCATTTTTATGGGCATTATAATGCCCAAATTGTTAATAATCTTAGCAACGCACTCGTCGTTTATAATGTCCTTAGAAACGCAAGGCAGTTACATACTTTTCTTTAAAATAAATTTAGATTTTTTTTTTTAGCCTAGAGCCATTAAAAGCATACCAGGGACAAGACATAGAAATCCAATTACCTGGAAGCTTAACAGTCCATGCCATCGACTGGTTAGCCGTATGGTGTGTACAGTATACACATAATTTTGGTCATGTAAATATACCAGACGATTTGGATGTACCACCAGCTCTGGGCCAGACCAAGCTTACTGTGAGTAAATCGACTCAACCAAAAATTCCTCATGTTGGAATTAATTTTCCGTGGTTTTTTAGCTATCAGTTCCTTTCATGGAATTAAATATTTCTTAATTAATTTTTAAGAAATGGATTATTATTGTAAAATTCATTCGTTTAAGATTTTGATAATAGATATACTATTTTTCTTATTTTATACTTTATTTTTAATTATGTTATTTTTATTTTTAAATGTTTATGTTTTTTAATTTTTTTTTTTTACATGTATGTTTTTGGTGATTTTTTGGTAAATATATATTTTAGTAACTGTTTATTTTAGTTATTTATTATTTATCTAATTATAATTATACAAATTTATACTATTTTTTAATGGTAGTACTACTAAAAACATTTAAAAAAGTTTCTTGAAGCTATTTTCAATTATACATATTTATTTACTTCGACGAAATAATTACTACTCTATCAATAGAAAAAATGATAAAAAATTTTTATAACATAAGATACTTTGAAATATAATTAAAATTTCTAATATTTAATTGTATTAATAATCATTATATATATAATTATCATTTAGTAAAATCATTGATAGCAATAATCATTATAATTACAACTTAATTTTAAAAAAAATGTTTTAATTATGAAATTATTTTTATTTTTTGCTTTATATTGGACTTGCAGCCATCATGGTGGTATAACCCGGTGAGTATATTAATTATTGATAATTAATAAGATAATTTAGTCTTCAATGGTTAGTTATAAACTTTTCCACTAAAACTATTTTTAGCTTCAATGCGAAATTAATACCTAATTTTACTATAAAGTGTATATTTTTTTCTTTTTTTGTGTCTGTCACTACTTTTTCTTAGTTCTCACTGGACCGATTTTTGTCAACAATACGTCAAAATATCAAAACTTGTATTTAGTTGAAAATATTAACCTCAAAAATTAAAAAAAAAATTCTCTTGTTACCCGTAATTGGTCCACTAATTACGGCGAACGAGAAAATTATGATTTTTAAAATCAATAAATTTAGATAAAATTTAACTTTTTTATTAAAACTCCTATAACTTTTTAAAAAATGAACAAATAAAAATAAGTTTTTTAAATGTAAATACTCTAGGTAGTTCTCTTTCATTTAAAATTAATTTTATGAAAATTAAACCCTTTACCTAAGGAGATTCAAAATAGCTTTTGCACAAAAATTGTTGAAAACGTTCCGAAATACTCCGAGCTTCAAACATATGTTAAATTAAAACGTATGTTACGACGTACTATAAGTGCAAAAAAAAAGACTTCTTATCCTTTATGTGTTAATAGCTGCAGTAGTTGAAAATCATGCTACTTTTGTGTTAAAACTTACGATTTCATATTTTATTTCTTCAACTTTATATTGCTATAACTTTTTCAAAAATGTATGGATCAATACAATTATTTTTTTTAATTTTATATATACTCCTTTCATTTGACATAATTTTTTTAAATCAGGCCATTTCCCTTTATATACTGAGGGTTTAAAACTTGAAAATACTGATAAAAAGTAGAACTTTTTCAACTTAACTTTTAAATATGTTTCGAAAATACTCCAAACTTTAAACATGTGTTAAATTAAAAATTATGTTACATACTATAAGTTATAAAAAAAAAATATTGACTTGTCTTTTGTATCTAAACGTTCCTCAAAGTTAGACAAAAAATATTATTTTAGTGTAAAAAATCATCGTTTTTTAAGTAATTATTTTTACTTAAATTACGTCATAACGATTTTAAATTACTATTGAAATAAATCATTTCAATAAAAATCATATTAATTATTTCCATCAAACTTTTTTACTTAAATAAATGCTACAATTGAAATATTTAGAACTATATTACGTATTTTTGTCTTAAAGTTACATTTTATAGTATACTAATATTCATAAATATCCACCTATGATATTTTCTGCTGATGTGTTGTTGAATTTCATTTTAACAAAGATTTTTTTGGTTATTAGTTTTTTATATGTATATATTTGTTTTTTTACTAATTAGTAATTATTTCAAAAATTATAGGTGATAGAAAAAATCAAATTGCAGATTTGAAATCCGCATGATAATTTTAATTTTAGAAAAAATATAATTTTGTCACTGATGAAAAATCTTTGTTGAGCGGTTTAGACCAAATTATTTTCTGAAAAGTTTTGCATCAAGCACTTCAATTTTTATAGATGTTTGTCTTAAAAGTAACGGAACACTCAACTACTTCGTAATTTTATATAATTTCTCCATAAAATTTACAATATTAAATTATTGAATATTAATTTCTTACCAATATTAATTATTATAATTAAAACTATAAATTACGAAGTATTTATTTATAAATTATACTTAAACATCATAGAACTTGTAAACCAGGATACAAATAAGAAAATAGGATTCCATTTTGCTTTTGGAATAATCACCAATTAAATGCTATCTACATATATGCATCGAAGCTTTTCTTATGATAATGATTTTTATCTCTTTCAGATATCATCTATTCTTGTTCCAACTATGGCAGGGTACCCTTCTGTACTACAATTCCATTGTGCTAAATATTATATTATTCCTTGATATAGTTAGGTAATCTGTACATTATCAAAAATATATTATGTTATAGACAAGTAGTACTACATCAGATCCAGAAAGCCACTGGGAAATGAATAATTGTCGAGAATTACTACCGGGTCGACTACAAGTACAATGGGAAATTCAAGGTGATTGGATACAAGTTCAACTTACGGCTAGAATTCACGAAGATCAGTTCATAGCATTTGGTTTAAGCGGAGACCCTAACAGGTTAATATCATAAGCATAGTGTTTGAGATTTGGGGAGGACTTAAGCCTAGAAAAATTCATCTCGCTACCCTCGTTATCAAGTACCATACATTATTTTATATAATATACAGTACCCCTATAACTTTCTGTTTTCATAGGAAACAATATGTCCTAGGCCTACTAAAATGTCTAGTTTTACCATTGTCTGTATTTATTATAACATTTTAACTATAAAAGTTGTGCATTTTGTGGTATAAATATAGAATATACAATATGTTTTGTTCAGTTGTAACTACTGATAATTTCACAAAACCACAAAAACAAAGCTTATACTTTATGTCATAATAGATACTAATATTATTTTAAATCGCACTTTATACTTTTTTTTACTACAGCTTACGATATTTATTTTTAACTAATAAACAATTGTGTGTAAAGTGCAAGAACAATATGAAAAATAGGGTTAATCTACTGGACAGTAAAAAACCTAGAGTAATTTTAAGGCGGCCAATTTATTATCGGGGCACTATGGCCTCCCTATCCCTCCCTATTTGCACCTATGATCACATTAAAATAATTCTATTAGAAAAAAAAAATAACCAAGCTATGTTTAAACTACAATAAACGAATTGAAATTTAATTTTACAGCAATTCAATGATAGGAAGTGACGTGGTGATAGTATATTACGATAAGTCCAAGAATTCTTTTCATGCCGAAGACTATTACATTACGTCAATGGTGGAATGTGATGGCAACAACGGCTTATGTCCTGATGAACGGTTGGGGGGTAGAAATGATGCAGTTCTTATAACAGGAACAAGGAGAAACGATGTAACGTGCATTGTATATCGCCGACCGCTTCAGACTAATGAAGCTATCAATGATCAATCAGTACCATTAGATTCAGCTTCCTTAGTAATCGCAGCCATAGGATCTTTGGGAAAATCAGGTCAACCTAGTGCTCGATTTTTAAAAGATACTACTTCAGGTAATAAAAAGAATTAATAATATATTAAAAATATTCATGTTAAACAAATTTTAATTAATTCAATCATCTTTGCTTAAATACTAAACTAAAAACGCATAATTAATATATTTTGTTTTTATTTTAGACGTAATACGAATAGACTTCAACTCAAAAGATGATCACAGCTGTTTAACATCTTTGTTCAATAATGTAGATGACGAACTGTCATTGTCACCGTGGGCTCCTAATGTAATAATTGGCGAAAACAAGTTTACTGCGAGACTAGGGCCTTCAGGTGGAGTTCGTGGCTACATGGGAATAACAGGTACATTATATTTTTCCATTAATGACAAAAATGAATTTTAATTAATTAAATACATTTGCATATTTACTTTGTTAGGTATACCCACGGGGGAAGTGGTGTGGTATATAAATGACAAGTTAATACCAGAAATTTACGTAGAAAGAAAGCAGACATATACGTTTTACATAGAAGGAGGTATTGTAAATTAAACTTAATACTGATTTTATTATATAAATATAAAACCTGGCATGATTGATTTTGAAAAAAGTAAAGTCGCTTAATGAACTTTGACTCAGTTATAGCAATATTCATAACTCAATTTAGTGTAAAAATATTTAAATTTATTTATTTAATATTAATCATAATTTTCTTAACTAATGACCGGAGTGTAATTTATAGGAGATAATCCAAATAAAGTCGGTCATTATCATCCGTTTTATATTACGGATAGTCACGAGGGTGGATTTGGTCAAAAAGACGATTTGGAGCAAAAAAAGCAAAGAGTGTTCGCTGGAATTAACTACGATTCTGAAGGATATCCGTTAGCATCTGCAGGTAAGATCATTAAGAACTCGCATTAATTGGAATAAATAATAAATCACAAAAAATCAATACATTTATTATACGAAATTTATGTTAAGCTGGTCGATATTGTGAATGGAAATTTAAGTCGTATGATCGTTCATCTGAAATGGAAACGTTCAATGCTTTTTTTGATTCGCTCAAGCTTTCTTGCGAAGATGGAAGTGCAGCTGAGTTAAACTGGACAGTTGCTCAAGAGACGCCCGATATTGTATACTATCAAGTAAGATGATTTTGTGTTGTTCACATATTATGGTGTGGTGTAGCTCATATTTTTATTTTTTTAATTTCGATTCAAAAGTTTCCATTTTAATGTAGGATAATTTTAATTAAAAGCTGAAGTTAGATAAATATTTAAAAACTGCATATTATAATATGATTTCCTAAAAATAATATAAATAAATTTTTATTTTATCATTTTTATGAATATTATTTGCAGAGCTACTCTCAATCTAATATTGGTTGGAAGATACATGTAGTTGATGCAGGTCATAAATGGAAAGACGAAAAAGATGATGCCATTAAATTAAATACCATAATAACCAATAATATACCTCTAACATGCATATTTGTTTTGGTTCAGATATTCATGCTTAATTTACTGTGATAAATCATACGAAATAATTTTTTTACTGATTCAGGCATCACTTTTTTAATCATAATTCATAATATTTAATTGCAGTATAATACTAAATACATTTTTAAAGATTTTCTTAATTTTACAAAAATTCTTCTATTTTTATGAGATTTTTTTCTCGGGCATTTTCGTTATCATCAATACTTTAAGTCCTGCTAATATCAAAATATTTAAATCAATTTCATTATATTATGATTAGTATTTACAAAAATGTTTCAATTGATATTTTGGTCTATTAGTCTTCATGTGTTGGTTAATTGATTCGAGTTATACATATCAGTAAAACAAATTTAACAAAGATATCTTTAAACTAAACTACAGCTAAGCAAGCAGTTTAATTATCTTAAAAATGGATTCAATAAATTTAATGCAAAAAAAAAAAATTGCACCAACCATTTATTCAAATATAATTATACATTAGTTTCGTAAACGCTGTTTTCCATCATATACTATTTGTAAAGCCAACTTTTAAAATTTTACTCGAATCATATCACCAATAAAAAGTTCTATATCCAACATAAGAATATCAAAAAAAAAAGAAAACATATCATTGTAAAAATAATTAAGATATAGATGTATGTGAATAGTAAATTAAGTTTTATGAATATTTGTTCAAAAATAAAAAAAAATATGCATGTTTTGTGTTAAATTATAATATAGTTCTTAAGTCATTGAACAAATGAGTCTGTTTTTACGATGCATTTATAGTGTTGCATTTATAATACTAAATCAATATATTGTTCCGCTTTAATATGAAATATAATAAATGGTCAACATTTATTAAAACTTAATATATATTTAAAAGTTTTCAAGAACTTAAAAGGCACGCGAATAACAATAAATATCAATAGTTGCTTTAATTTAATGATATTAAATTGATAATCTTAGATTTTTATACAAACATCATTAAATTTGTTCGAAATTTACTGTGAGTTCTAACTGCTTGTTCAATTAAAAAGAATCTACAAGTTATACATGAGTAGATTTCATTTATTGTTGAACAACAATGTATTTATTTCAGAAGTTACTTAACAAACCAAGATCAAAATGATTTAACTTTAAAATTTTCTTTACTATAATTAAAAAATATATTTGCTAACACAAAGTTAGAAAAAAATTTACTGGAATAATGGAAAGTTTAAGTTTGTTGACTGATTAAGACAAAATAATTGTGCTCAATTCATAAAAAGTTTAATAAGGGAATATCTTTTTTAAATTGATTGAAAAATTAACCGAATGTTGATAATACAATGACAATAATATTATCTAGTTTTAATAACTTATTTTTAAGACTTTTAGGGATAAATAACTATTGACAATAAAATAATGATGTTCTTCATCACAATGATAATCATAAGTGTTTTTATGATAAAATTATTAATTATTTAAGTTTAAAAATTTGTTTATTACATTAAGATACAGTTGAAGCTTTATATGTATTTATAAGCTAGTTAAGTATAATTTTTATTGTTTATTCAAACAATAAATATAGTTATCTTACTAATAAACTCAACTTTTACATGATTTTAATCATTTTCTTTAAAGATATGCTTAATAAAAATATTTTTTAGCTGACTAAAAAATGTATTGAGTCATTTTGTCTGATTATAAATTATTATATTTAAATTTACAAAAAATAAGACTAATTTTAGTAAAAAGACAAACTTATGACATTTTTACTATCAATGATTTTTTGATAAATAATTTTATATTTGTTTAATATCTTAAAGGATAATATGATTAATTTACTCAACCATTTATTATAAAAATTTTCTTAATACAAATGTTCATAATATACAAATTTAAAAACAATTCATTGAAGATTTTGATGAGCATATAATAAGTTCATACATTATGTCTATTTTAATGTAAAAATACTAGATATAATTGATTAATTTATGTTAAGTGTATTTACTATATTGTACTTAATTTATATAATGTTATAAAACTTATAGTTAATATTTAAAATTGAGGGGAAATGAGTAATGCACTTATATGTATTATTTATCCTATTTAGTTTATTTGAATAAATTTAAATTACATTTTTTTTTAAAGCGGAAGTGTTATATATCATTTTATTAACTTACTCTTAATTATAAAAATGAAAGGAGCAAAAATAATTATAAATTAAATCAAAATTTCTATACAGCAAAACATTTTACATTATATTAATTGACAACATTTTGTTTAAATTTTAAGTTTAAAACTCTAAGTTAGGATATAGTAAACAGTTCTATTATAACATATTTTAAATATTTTCTTATTTTTAAAATATCAATTGATATTTAACTAGATTCTTGAACCTCTTTAGGATGTAAGATTTATAATAAGTATTATTTTATGAAATGTAAAACTTATCTGTGTTTTTACGACAATAAATTTCGCTATGAATAATAGTATAATTAATAATTTTATTAAATAAGTTTTAGCTTTAATTGTGACCATTTAAACAGGTTTGAACTACTTGTAAACTTTGACAATACTTTTTTAATAAGACTTAACTTAAAATAAATTTAGAATAAGATATAAAAACAGAATGCTCTTAAAAATATGTAGAATATTTTTTTTTAATTGGACCTATCATAAAAAATGTATTTTTCTTCTAATTATTAGTTCAACTATAAGTGTACAAAAAATGTAGTTTATTTAAATTATGAATATATTATATTCATATTAGTTTTGAATGTATTAAGTTGTTTCAAATTATGATAAATTTTGATTGTCAAGTATATCATATTAACTTTAAAATCATAAAAATATGGTTATTTTTCTAAAACTTTCTATACAATTACTGTCTTTGTGTAACAAACGACTAAAATTTTTAAAAAAAGGTAAAAATATTCAGAAATAATAATGCTAATTTTACAATTAATAATTATATTTATTAAAAATTCTTTTTTTTTTTTTTTAAACTTTTTACGAAAGTTTAAAACAAATGGTTCTTTTTTTTTTATTGTTTTTGTTAAACTAAAATATGTTTTTTCTGTATTCATATTATTAATTAGAATATTAAGCATTAGAAATACGTCATTTAAGTTATGAAAGTTTAATTGAGTAAAATTCATATACTCCAATTATATTTTTGTTTTACATACGAGTGAAAAACTATGTTACTCTTGTGGACAATAGAACTCGATAAATCAATAACTTAAACTTAAATTGTTTGTTATTTTATTTTTAATTGTACCATTAATATGATCAAAGCTACATTTAATTTAGTATGATCATACATAATATTAATATAGTAAAAATAGTAAGCTTAAATTTTATTGCATTATTAGTAAATATACACACTAACAGATACGTATTTTATGTTTTTTATTATACAAAATATGCAATCCTATTGTGACTTTTTAGATAAAAAATTATCTTTTATCCAATTAAAAACTTATAAATAGAGTAATATAAATTACTACAAGAAAAATGTGCCTAAAAATAAAAATTAAATTAAATTCTTTTAGTCTCGAATTAAGTTTAAGAGTAACATTCGTTAAGAAAAATATAATGAATATTGTTGACATTGATCTTAACAAAATATATTTGATTAAGAATTCCCGATATAACATTAAAATTTTTTTTTTATCTTCTGATTAATGATGTCATTTACATTTTATATCAAATCTTCTAAAATCATTCTAGAGAATAATATTTTTGTACTTATGACATCATTTTATAACAATTAATTAATATTTACTTACATATTAACTTGTAGCACTAAGAATATGTAAATCAAATTATGCTACTGAGAGAACAATTAGAATTAAATGAGTACTCTTTTTTTACTTTTAACTTCATAACTGAGAGGAATAGATATATTTTTAATTAATTGAACACGTCTTACAGAGATAATACAAATATATTACTTATTTATATAATATTTCCATTAAGTAAGTTATTTTGAAGATTTTAGAAAACTTTAGAATAAATGTATGATTAATAAAACATTCCCCAAATAAACAAAAACATTACAATTAGTTTGTAGGCATGTTCCATTAATGTGTAGTTTACATAGAATGTATATGGAACTTGAATATATGAATTTCATCACTATCTTGCTAATGCCATTAAAATCGTCTTTTTTTAGTTACCCATATTGTCTATTCATATCTTAGTTCATCCGTTTATTAGGCGTTGAGTTCACTTAAACAATAACCATGCGATATGTTGAGGCACTATATGGGAACAACGGTACACGATACTCACAAGGCGGTAACAGATAACTACTTTATATGGACATTTAAAACTTGCGGGTTCCATTATATTTAAACCTCTAGTGGAGATGCAAAAAGCACTATTCGTACACGGGTCCCCAGCTTTTAAAAGAGATTATAGTTGCTTCGTCATGATATCATCAAAAGGGAGCAGATATTTATGTACGTTTATATACTCAATACATGTATTGATTTATTTTATAAGAAACATACTTAATATGATCCTTAATATATGTAAGTATTCAACTTAATAATTTCAAGTAGGACAAAATAATTTTTAATTTTGCTCATTATTTTATTTTAACCATATTTTAAAATAATTTTAAAAAGACAGATAAAATATACAATTTACAGAAAGTATACATTTTTTTAGAAAACATAATTTTTAAAATAATGCTAATTTTACAAAGGCATGTCCTTCTTTCCTCGCCAATAGATTCCTTTGTAATACATTATTATTCCAGACTGGATGCAGCATCACCATTAAAATCCTCGTTACCGAACTCATAATAATATATTTAAATATAATAAACAGTTTGTACATTTGCAAATAATATGCAAATATGTATAACTTACACATGCATCATGTTATTTTGAAGACCGCAGCTTAAAACTGATGTATTAATTAACCCTCGTTATTTTTCTCTAGGCACAACTAAAAATTTATTAGACTCATCGGATAGCACCATCTAAATAAATTACTTGAATCCAGTCTCAACATGGAAACTATTGTCCTCTACTCAGGTTAATTTTTAGAAGTTAAAAGCTATTGAATTGATTAAATAGTAATAAACATGCTTGAAGATTTCTTTTAGTATTTTTAATGTATAATAATTTAATTTTAAATCATTTTTATTTATAATAGATACAACTCACGGTAGTGAACAAATATTCGTTTTAATTTAAGAGACTGTCACCTCACACCAAAAAATTATTTGTTTATTAATGCCCATGGTTTTGTCTTGAATACTCATAACTGTACGGTATACACTTTAACTACAGTAACCTATATTATATGGTATGCGTATCTATATGGGTGGTACTTGTACTTGAAGCCTTGACTGTCATTTATCAATTACCGTTCTATTGCATATCATATACGTATAAGGTATACGAACTATATTCTGAACCGTTATGGTACGATTCTGTTATTAAAGTAAAACGATTTAAATAATTTATATTTGTCTTTTTTATGTATTAGTTGGGATACAGAAAGGGTACAACCAATATCTACCGCCGCACTTCTAATCTCACACACGCAGCCGGTGGAGAGGCTAACACGTTTATAAGTCCACTGTAATAATGAAAACAAGTTGTGAAAAAAATAAAAACATTTTTGTGTGCACCTTAGAAGTTACTGCATTGAGCTGCAGTAGTGGGAGCAATCAGTGGGTTATATTATTGTGACTGTGTTCAGTATGTACGCATGGCCTTCGTAAATAACTCTTTATCAGTAGTAGTTTAATGGCGCACGCGTGTGGGTAAAGTGAACGCTCAAGACAATATCGTTATTTCCGTCTCGACATTTCATCGCGAAATGTGACATTTTGGATTACTTTGCTTTTATAACATTTAAACTGAAGGTACGATATTTAATTTTAAAGTTCATGCAGTTAAAATTTAGTAAATAATTAATGAATTAGAAAAATAACGAATTTTGCATATGTCGTTATTCAGATCTAAAATTTTCAAATTTGTTTCAGGATGTATTAATATTTTAAAAATGGCTTATATTTTTTACTTAAAATTAACAAAACTTTGATATTATTTCTCGAGTATGGGTAGTGTTATATATTTGTATGTCTCTTTACTTGTTAAAACAGAATTTAAAAATATGTATTTTTATTAAATTTGAAAAATTGTTCATCATTTGTTGTTTCTATAACTATTTTTTATATTATTTAAATATACTAATCTATTTAGAAGATATACTTGTACATATGAAAAATAACTTTGAAGGATTAACCAAGATTAACTAATCTTAAACTCTAGTTTGGTATTTCATTATCTAATAATATCTTATACTGAATAATAAGATAAACTAATCAGACGTTTATCAAACAATATCAAGTTGATTTCTATTGTGAGTAAAAGGCATATTATGAAAACAATTGCATATTATTTTATTCGATTTATATACACGTTAGTAGATATTTCAATCCATCGATTACATTAATTAGTTAACTAGATCCACTTACTATTAATATTTTATAAATTGTTTACTAGGATTTATTCAAAAATATTTTTGTATAACACGTTTAAGGAATATAGTTAAATTGCACTAAAGCTACAACTTTGTGGTAAAATTACTATTTTAGAGTATTTTTATTCTACGTTCTGCTATTAATATGCTTATGTAAATTGCTAATTTTTTAGAGATTTGTTATTTAAACATAATTTTCTACGTCTATTTTGTAATAAAATAAAACATATTTATGTTTATACTTCCTTTTTTCTACTCATTTGATTTTTTAATTATTAATTATTTAATACTGCATTATTGGATCACTGAATGTTCTTATTATTGGACTGTAAGATAAATTATCGTATCACTTTATATATTTTTAATGATATTTTGATGTCTTGTATAATTTCTTGAAGCATAGACATTTATTTACTATACCTAAATTATTAAATTCCAAAGAAGCGAAACCTGTAATTTGAGTTAATATATTTTTAGGACACATAATTAAAGAACAAAAGAATAAATTCTAAATAAAAAAATCCTTTTTTAAAAAGAATCAAAGAAAAAACAATATATTTAAAACTTAAGGCACGAGAATAATATTATATTATTGACTAAGCAATGGGCGACAATAAGAAACCTGCTATTATTTTACTCATTGTGAAATAATATGTCACATTATACACGATACAACACACATTTTGAATAAGTGGGAGGAGTAAGTCATAACCTTTCTTATAAAGTTACATTATTAATTGTTAAGTTGATTTATCGTCTACACTTTGCAAAAATAGTTTCAAACGTAGAACATTACAAAAAAAAATTAATATTTCCATGGAACAAAAAATTAAACTCATTGAATTTTTTTCGTACTTTATCATTAATATTAAAGGCTAGTATGATACGTTATTTTTTTGCAGTAATTATAACATTATCAACTGGACGATTAATTCTATGTACTGTAAACAATGATCTTTCTTTATACTTGGGAAAATACGTTTCTTTTTAATGCATCTGTATCAATTCTATGTATTTTTTTACAGTTGCTTGTTACCATAGCACGCTATAATTTATTTCTATGATTGTAATGGGTATACCGATTACCATAACTTAACAACATATATTTATATTGTAAAGTTATCAAATGGAATACTATAGCGAGCCTAGATAATAATTATTATCTAAGCTCTCTAAAATACTATTTCATATCCCATGTATTTTGACGGAAATTCATCTAGTAAGAGTTTAGTACAATTTTACAATCTCTGTACTCTCTGAATTACTATTTTTCTATGTATTTCTCATCGTTGGTTCCTGCACACATTAAGCTACTTAAGTATTAGTTTCATCGTCGCTTTTCAATGAAATATCAATTAAGAAAGAAAAAAACTGTGAGCCGTCACGGGACGCCTGGCTGATGTGAAACATCGAAATTATTTTTTACAAGTTATACGCACAGAAGATTAGGTTACAATAGGAATTAAATATGATAAAATGAAAATATGAAGTATTACAAATATTTTCTATAAAATAATGACAGTTAAATACATATTTATTCATTTTTTGTTAAGTACAAAAATTAAAAAATTTATTTCTAATTGTGACACCACTCGCAACATTTTAATAAGTGACTTCTTTTATAAATTTTATATTTTATGTTTCTTCCGACGAAATTACAGTGACGAGTGGACGATGATAGCTAAAGTACGTAACAAAAGTATTTGAAATAACATTGCCCAGGTATCTTGTAAATATACCATCTATTGTCGTTCCATATTTAGTTGTAGGTTCTTTGGGATTATTATTCATTTGCAACTGAAATTCTTCTTCGAGAAATGTAACTAGTGGCAATGATTCATTTTTACCAAAATTTATATTGAAGTCCCCAGCTAAAATCAATGGTTGTCTATCTTTGTTAGTTTTCAAAATTATTGACCCTCTGTGACTATACACAAATAATCTCTCGTGTAAAAATGAAATGATATCATTTATTTTTTTATTGGGTGAAATGTATAGAACAACCATAATTAATTCACTTCCATTTTCTAATGTAACGTGTGAAGCGCAAATATCGCCAATAGATGTTTGGGAGACATGAACATCTGCAGTATTTTGAATTGCTAGATCCATGTTCAATGTAGTAATATGTGAAATATTATTTTTTTTATAAATGGCAACACCAGCAGCTCTCGCATTTTGCCGTTTAAATTTAGCTATACAATGAAAGTTTGGAAGGTCAACTGATTCATTTGCAGGAAGCCACGTTTCAGTTAGTAGTAAAAAGTTACTATTTTGACAAACAGAATCTTGTAAATCAGGGGTATGTTTTCTAAGACTTTGACAGTTTAAGGTATATATAGTTAATTTATTTCTGGAGTTCATAAAATCAGTGATTCCTTTTTGCAATGTAGTAAGTTTATGTAACGATAACCTTTCAAATTCTTGTTGTAAACTTGAAATGGATGGATCAACTCTTCTTCCATGATAAAACCTTAGATCATCCTGACTATTACAAATAAATAACCCTTCAACACTTGTTACTCGTGTTAAAGCTACATAAAGTAATGGAATACTATGACTTCTACTATACTCATAGACCACCTCGTCATAAGTACCTCCTTGAGACTTATGAATAGTCATAGCACATCCTGATATTATTGGAAAATGATTTCGTTTGGCCATAATAGTTTTATTATTATTAAGTGATACACTCGAAGTTCGACGTCCAATAGGTACAGCACGTCTATCGATATTATGTTCTGCAACGAAAGCTGTCGCTTTTCTTCTAGCCACCATACCAGTGTTTTTTTCTGGAAAAATGAGCCACACGCGAGTAACTTGGTTTTCTTCATTTTGTTCTATATAAACAAGCTTTCCAACGGCACCGTTAGCTAATCCATCTACCACGTCTATGTTAGTTGTAATAATATAGGGCTTTCCAATAACAAAAATAATTTCATATGGCAAACCTCCTGTATCAATCACTGACATCTTATGTAATTTTTGTCTCATCTTTGCTTCCTGCTCATGATTAGTACAACCAGAAATAATATCCATTGCAACAGAATCTATTTTATTTTCAGTTTGTAAAGCTAAAATATTATATGCATTAACGGATGCATTATCATGGAATNGTCGGTATGTCATCAAAAAATGGAAGCGGCATCTTTCATTGTAATTGTTTATTATTCTTCTCATTTCTGTATACGAGTTTGTTAAACTATGCTCTAATATTTTTGTTATTTATATATGTCATTTTGAATTATGTTTTCACATACATTATGTATAATTATTATATACGAGGTATAAATGATAATGAAAATAATAAGATTTTTTGAACGTTGATATGAATTGTAGAACTATATTCTCATAAGCTTCGATGAAAATTGATCAATACTAAGGTAGTTTTCCTAGACTTATTGCAAGAATAGTAAACTTTTGTAAAACAATATCATTAAAAATTTACATTATTTTAATCAAACAAAAAATTGTGTAGTAAAACTTTAATTCTATCCGACCATTTTATCAAAACATTTTAAAGGTTACTAACCTAAAATAACAATTATTAATGTACAATATTTTTTATTTTATAGAATGTGATAAATGTATTCATTTAAAGTGTCTCACTATTATATTTGCCTTACAATTGTTTTGTGTTAATTGTTTTATTCGTTTTATGATAAAACTTCGTAAATCTTGATATGTGTAGACGAATAGAATATGTAAAAAATTACCTTGATACCTTTAAGTAAATTCAGATTTATTCTAGTTGTGCAATTGATGCGTTATTTATTTGCCTCTTAGACATTCCACGAAAGCTGTTAAAAAATAATTTCGTATCATTTGGTAGAAACGTGACTCGTGAACACCTAAAGGCAAAAAACGTTATCTAAAAAACATTTTGTTAATACTTTTTAAAGCTCGCAAAAACGATCATTGCTCATGATATTTTCTCTTCTTCTGGCTATTGCTCCTAAGTTTTTAAGCGTAGCTATACGTAAATCTTCATTTACAGCAGCATTCGGATTTCTGTAAAATTCTTCAAAGGGATTTGGCTCTGGAAATCTTGTCGCAAAATCTTGAATTTCTGATTCGTCATCTACCAGCTCATCCTCATGGCATAATTGTCGGCAATTATCAATTATCTTTTGAATATCAATATTTTTCTCAAATTCTTTTCTTTTTTCTAAAATTTCGTTTTCGCGCTCATCGTATGTAGTTGTGAATTTCATATCTGCTAATATTTCTGTGTCTTCATTTCTAAATGGTATATGTAAGGTAACCATTTCTCTTCTATACTCATTGTAATCCTGAGTCATACTATAATTTCTATAACGAATAACTTGAGGATGCTGTTTTCTGACGTACTCTCCCTTTCTGTTTTTAGTATATTTTGAAACAAACTGCGCTAAAGAAACTTCTTCCAATTCTTGTGGCCGTTTTTGATATTTGTCGTGCCAATCTTCCTTCCAAATATCAGTAGAGTCATCATCAAGTTCATCTATTTGCTTTTGTGTCTTTTTTATCCTCTGTCTTTCAATCGGCCAACAAGTGTTAATGTACTGAATCGCAACTGATGATTTAGACATTGGCAACCTTAAAAGATACCAAGCCGCTTCTTGACTACTCATCTCAATAGTATTCAGCATGTCAACGCTCATTTTACGAGTTATTTCAACGATGTCAAATTCTGGATTCTCATTCATAACTTCTATTATTTTGCGTTGCAAATTGCTAATGCCTCTGTTAGTCTTATTTACATATTCGACGACATATGCAGCGCAAGAATATTCTTCAGTAATTATCTGGAAATCCATATTTGACTTTAAGACATTGAAAACAAATGGGTTAAAAGTATTGTGCCATTTTTCTGATGGATGACGTTTATAAAATATTTTTGGTCTATTTATACCAGATCTTAGTATATTTTTATATTCTTCATCTGATCTGATATTATTACTTTCATAATAATCATCAATACTGTCATAGTCATTACTTTCTAAGTTGATTCTAATTTCATTATATCTTTTCAAATATTCTTTGTAATGTGGATTCGTTTTATCCATCGGTATTAAAATTATTGTAGATTTACACGGCATAAATGGTGCTTCAAATCGGCACTTTTGTACTGAAGTTGGGCCAATTTTTTTGTAGCATGTAAAAGTGTGCTTATGCGTAAGTAATTTGATATTTCCGGATGCTTCCGACGTTGATACTGACACTAAACTATCAATCATTTCTATAGCTTGTTTTTGATCTTCTCCAAGAATATCTATAGCAGCGTTGTCAAGCCACAAGAGAATATGCGCATGTGGACTTCCACGATGTTGAAATTCAATCCTCAAAAAGTAGTTTATAACTCTGAACTTACCAAAAGGACTAAATTTCTTCGATTGTAAAATTGACATTATAACATTAACTAATTTATTAAAATAAATAGCACATGTTACGGCATCATTGTTAATTAATGAACTTTTTTGGATGAAACTAAGTTCTGATGCGTTAATATTTTGTACATCTTCTTTTTCTTCAGCTAATTTATTCAACAATGTTAATAAATCCGGCCACCCTATTTCATTCGCGCTTAATGTCATAAATGCTGTTGGCTTTCCTAGCTGTCGAATCATCGCAAATAAATCTTTTTTTCTTGTAGACCAGTACCATACTGAATTGGGTATTGACCTTAAAAAAGCTAAATTGGACTCTATACAGTTATGAATATACTCTTCGGTTTGAACTTGTTCTTTAGTTATATTGGTATCTGTACCAACATGTTTGAATGCAATTGTTAAACAGTCACGAACTCGCAGTCTCATAATTTTTACAGCCATGTATAACAAATGATAGGGATTGACTCCTCGGCGATCCTTACGTCGCAATTCACTAGATGCCATCATAAATGGTGTAACTTTGACTGTATCTTTAAATTCCCTAAAGTGTCCCATATAAATACTCGGAAATGATAACTCTTCAGCATGCTCATCAAATAATAAACTATGTGGAATATTTTGTTGCCCCGGTGCTAATCTTAAATACTTGTCTTCATTCCATACTAAAGTTTGTTGTTGAGCAGAAAGACTTTCTTCAATATCAATATTTTCACTGAATTCGTCGATATTCTGTTGTGTAATCAATGGTGTTTCTTGATTAAAAAATGATTCATCAATTGTTATTTGGTAATGCTGATATAAAGGAGTATTAATCAAATAATGTAACCATGTTTTAATTGATCTAATGCTAATTAAGCCCTGAACAAAACTACTTTTGTGAATCAATTTTTTTTTTATATGAACGTAAATGCAATGTTCATCATTGACATTTCTCGGAAGTGACCGAACCATAGTGTCAACAGAAACAGGAACATTAATAATTTGTCCGTATATACCAAATTGTCCTTGAACATGTCTCAATCTACGTATTTGCATGAAAGGTATTCGAGGAGATATAAGCCTTTCGGTGATAAAATCTATTTTTGGCAAATGTTGGGGTATTTTTGGATAGTGAAATCCATTATACACAGACATATTAGGAATGTGATTTTTATCTAGTGCTGATTTACAAGTAGAGCATATTTTGAGAACATCCACATTTTGCCCAACGTTTATTATATCAATTATACGTCCAGATGCAGATGGTGTCTTCAAATCTTTTGCAAACCATAGTCGGTCGCAAATTGAACAAGCATGTCCAAATTCATTATTTTTAAAATTATTTTGAAAATATTCATGAGCTAATTTATGGTGTCTAAATTGGCTGTACGTATTTGACATGTCTCTTAAATTTTGCTGAGGTACTTCATTCACTACGTGCTGTATTTCTTCAAAGTCACGCCCAGAATCTGTTTCTGTTTCATTTATTATTGGATCATTTATAATTTCTGTAAATTCATTATTTAGACAATTGGACACTTCTGGTATCATTTCTACATTTCGCAAACGTCTCCTTCTCTCCGCTTCACGCTGCTTTAATTTTTCCCTGTTTTGCTCTCTGTATCTTTTTTGGCGTTCTCGTTTTTTTTGGAGAGCATTTATTTTATTAGCTTGCTCATTATTTTGAATAGAATCTGTGCATGTATTTTCCAAGCCAGAAGAACATTGGGAAATAACATTTATTGTATCTTCATCATTCAATTCAATGGTATTAGTGTTTGAAGAAGTAGATGGCCCGGCAGTACTTTGTAAACATTTCATTCGTTTTCTTCTTTCCGCTTCACGTTGTTTTAATTTTTCTCTATTATTTTCCCTATATCGCTTTTGACTTTCCTTTTTATTATTATTTACTCTAAAAATTGTATAAAAATTTTAGACAAGCATGACAAACTATTTTTTATAATATAATATAATAATATAAAGTTTATGTAATATAATTCAATAATAAAATCCAAACCTATACTATTAACAACCAATGATTCAAAGTATTGTAAATGCAAAGACATAAAATTTAATAAAAATGTATAGTAAAATAATAGAAGTTGATACTTCAGAAAATTTTTATTTTTAAAATGCAAAAAAAATATTGTCCTTATTGGGATTCGAACTTGTCTCCAATAGTCTATTACACATCCACGCTACCAACTAGACTATGACACTTGATGACTGTTGGTTATAAAAAGGCCATACTTTTAAAGTCTATTTTAATTTTTAGTCGATTTTCTCGGCTTAAGGAAATTGGCAACAAATTCGACATAAATGTGGTTTAATATTTAATGTAGAATAGACCTATGTAGATTTTATAAAAATTAGTGAGGCCCACACCTTGACCTCTCCTTATTAGTATATTTTGTGGTACTAGTATATTGATAAAATCTTACATAACATTAATGGTGTGTCTTGTGTTTAACTGATCTTGACGTCTAGCTTCAATAATGATATTTTGAGACCACTGAGATGATTGTTGGCTACTGAAATATTTATAAAAAAAATAAAAAAAACTTTGCAAAGACATAAATGAATAATAAATTAATAGAAGTTGATACTACAGAAAATTATTTTTAAAATGCAAAAAGAATTTGTCCTTATTGGGAAATGAACTTGTGTCATATAGTCTTTCACACATCCGCGCTACCGACTAGACTATGACACTTGATGACTATTGCTAATAAAAAGGTCATACTTTTAAAGTCTGTTTTAATTTTTAGTCGATTTTCTCGGCTTAAGGAAATTGGCAACAAATTCGACATAAATGTGGTTTAATGTTTAATATAGAATAGACCTATGTAGATTTTATAAAAATTGGCGAGGCCCACACCTTGACCACCTCTCCTTATTAGTATATTTTGTGGTACTAGTATATTGATAAAATCTTACATAACATTAATGGCATGTCTTGTGTTTAACTGATCTTGATGTCTAGCTTCAATAATAATATTTTGAGACCACTGCGATGATTGTTGGCTACTGACATATTTATAAAAAAAATATATAATAAAATAAATTTATGTGACTTTTATATATTGATGAATACAAACTTATAACTTATTATATAAATATAATTAACTTACTCATGACTTGATAATATGTCATAACGCGCTTTTTTTGCTGGAGGCTGCTCACTTTCACTTTGTAAATTACCACTGTCAGACATTTTGATGCGATTTTATTTATTTATTAATTAAAAAAAAATTATTAATAATATAAATAATAATAAAAATAATAAAAAACAGGTATGTTTTATGTTTATTATATGTACCGTAATCAAACAACACTGTACACTGAAGACCAAGATCGGTGCGGTGGGGGAAATGTCACTTCCACATGACGACGCGTCGCCACACTATATATATATATATAAATATATATTTACTATATTATAGTGTGGCGACGCATCACCACGGCAAGCGTCACCACACTATATATATATACCGTTTACAGTGTGGCGACGCATCGCCACGGCAAGCGTCACCACACTATATATATATACCGTTTACAGTGTGGCGACGCATCGCCACGGCAAGCGTCACCACACTATATATATATACCGTTTACAGTGTGGCGACGCATCGCCACGGCAAGCGTCACCACACTATATATATATACCGTTTACAGTGTGGCGACGCATCGCCACGGCAAGCGTCACCACACTATATATATATACCGTTTACAGTGTGGCGACGCATCGCCACGGCAAGCGTCACCACACTATATATATATACCGTTTACAGTGTGGCGACGCATCGCCACGGCAAGCGTCACCACACTATATATATATACCGTTTACAGTGTGGCGACGCATCGCCACGGCAAGCGTCACCACACTATATATATATACCGTTTACAGTGTGGCGACGCATCGCCACGGCAAGCGTCACCACACTNGTTGGTTCCTGCACACATTAAGCTACTTAAGTATTAGTTTCATCGTCGCTTTTCAATGAAATATCAATTAAGAAAGAAAAACGTACGACATGCTTTTTTTAGATAGTATCAAATGAAACCGTTAGCACTGTCTTTCGAAACAATGCATAGTAATTCTTCCAACTTTTCAGAAACTAGTTTTAAACATTTTTTTTAAGTTTCATGTTTATATTTTTATCCAATAGCGATAAGAAAATATCAATTGTAAACAGTCCAGATTTTGTATTAGACATTTTACAAAACGGTGTTTTTAATTTTGATCTGTTAAACTGTTTAGGCGGTGGTACCATTTGGATGGAATTTTAATTTTCAAAGTCGTGCATGATTATTTGTTTTATTCTTTTCTTGTTATTCGAAAGCCCTTCTACTATATGTTCTTTTTTATACTTTTTTCATTATTAAATTGAAATCTATACCCATTGTGGAATATGTTTCCTGTTGTATAATTAATTAATCAAAAATTACTAAATGTTAATTAAAGAAATTTGTAAATGACGCTATAATCATTTATTAATACTTTAAATTTTTAATTAAAAGTTTTTAAATTGTCCATTTTTTTTTTTTAATCCTTTCAGCCCATTAAGCGGGTTCCTACAAAGAAGTTTCTTAACCATTGATACTCCGAAACCGGTGGTGAGTCCGTCACTAGAGATAGGGATGACCACTCCAATTACCAAACTGACCTCTCACTCGGTAAATATAGCCGTTCGTGACTGAATTTCGATCCTGAGACAATGAACGCCAAGCACTGCCGCGTTCCGACTCAGCCACTCCGTCCCTCAAATTTGTCCAAGAATTATATATTTTTAATTTAATTTTCTCAAATAAATGAAAAATTCATTGCTAAAAAAATGTTATTCGTTTATCTATTAAAACATGTTGACTTGTTTTTAGTATTTTATTTACTTAATATATAAACTTTTTAATTTCTTCAGTAGATATAATATAATTTACTGTGATTTTTATTCTCGTCATTGTGTTTAAATTTCTAACAGTTAACTAAGTGTTCACGATATTTATTTTACGTACAATCAATTATTGGATTATTAAAATAATATCGGTGAATCACTTGCTATGATAATAAAATGATTCTATCATAAAAATTTCACTCATTGGATTGTTCGAATTTTACGCAATTTTCAAATTAGGTACAGTCTAAAACATACTTAATTAATAAACTTCATAGAAATTATATTTTTCATGACGCTCATGTTTGTGACAAATGTAGTCATTAAGAGAGTAAATTATTTATAATGTAATGCTTAACAATATTGCTTATGAGCACTAGTAATATTTTTTTTCTGTGAAAAACCAATTAGAAATAAAATATATCTAATTAGAAACTTCAAAGAAGTTAAATATAAAGCAATTGTTGCGTTTAGTATAATATCTCATGAGGAATTAATATATTTTACGATTTTGATTTTTGTCAATTTTACAAAATTGATAAAAGTTTTTAATTTATAAAAATTATTTTTATAGTGCTCACTTGTACTAGAAATAATATTTAAAGATCTGATAGATATGAGCGCCTTAACAGTGAATTTCTTTTTGTAAACTAGATTAATGTAAGTTCATCAATACTTTGTAATACTTAAATATTTTTATTTATCGCCCAGTCTTTAAGTAATTATTAAGATCAAAACCGGATTTGATATTCTCTTATTGTCTATTCGAACAGTTATAAAAAATAACTATTTATTGGTTGACGTACTTAGTGTTTGAAAACAAATCTCTATAATTCTGCGGAATAATCAAACTGTTGTGTATCTGACTCATGCGAAATGGCCTATGACAATTCGTGAATGACTCACTTTCGATCATGTTTTACATACGCAACTAACACCGGGCATGACTTTATAATTAACGTTATCATACTGCCTACACGAATCCAATCGGTATGTCATCAAAAAAATGGAAGCGGCATCTTTCATTGTAATTGTTTATTATTCTTCTCATTTCTGTATACGAGTTTGTCAAACTATGCTCTAATATTTTTGTTATTTATATGTGTCATTTTGAATTATGTTTTCACATACATTATGTATAATTATTATATACGAGGTATAAATGATAATGAAAATAATAAGATTTTTTGAACGTTGATATGAATTGTAGAACTATATTCTCATAAGCTTTGATGAAAATTGATCAATACTAAGGTAGTTTTCCTAGACTTATTGCAAGAATAGTAAACTTTTGTAAAACAATATCATTAAAAATTTACATTATTTTAACCAAACAAAAAATTGTGTAGTAAAACTTTAATTCTATCCGACCATTTTATCAAAACATTTTAAAGGTTACTAACCTAAAATAACAATTATTAATGTACAATATTTTTTATTTTATAGAATGTGATAAATGTATTCATTTAAAGTGTCTCACTATTATATTTGCCTTACAATTGTTTTGTGTTAATTGTTTTATTCGTTTTATGATAAAACTTCGTAAATCTTGATATGTGTGGACGAATAGAATATGTAAAAAATTACCTTGATACGTTTAAGTAAATTCAGGTTTATTCTAGTTGTGCAATTGATGCGTTATTTATTTGCCTCTTAGACATTCCACGAAAGCTGTTAAAAAATAATTTTGTATCATTTGGTAGAAACGTGACTCGTGAACACCTAAAGGCAAAAAACGTTATCTAAAAAACATTTTGTTAATACTTTTTATGTAGGTCTATAATCTAGGTATAATGTTTTACTATTTTATAATAGTCTAGACATTCACTTAATTTATTGAAAGTTTAAACATGTGGTTAAAAGGTATTACATTTTCATTCAAAGACAGAAGTTGTCTTCTAATACACTACAACTATTGGAGTTTATTATTTTTACTTACCACAAGAGATAATATAATAATAAGTGTGTGTAGTGTTTTACCAAAATCTTATGATAAAAGTAATATAAACGCAATATTGCAGTATGTTTTATAGTGTTGCTTACTTATTTCAACTCTCGAGTAACTATTATCTTATAAAAAGAGAAAAATTACAGGAATCAGGATTGTTACATTTTTAAAACTGTGTGTTTTAAACAGGTTTTTTTAACTCGAGTATCACATAATATAAAATTAATGTAAACCCAATAACCCTGGCTGAGACTATAGTTCTAGCTTGCCTTAAATTTAATTCACCATAAGGATCTTGTGGATCCTCGAAAAAAACTGCCCTGTGATTTTCTGTCCGTTATTTTATTTTATTGTTAAGCCATTGGTATAGCAACACATTTTTTTTATAAAATAAATAACTTATTTGATTATACTTTTTTTTTGTTATGTTTAGAAATTTTGGTTTTTTTCGGTTTCAAATTACAAAAACTTAATTCTTTTACACCTCATGTGTTCCTCGTTTTCAAATATTCCATTGTGAATATATAACTCATATTACACTTCTATCATAATTATCTTTATTGTTGTAATTACATTTTTTAACAACATTTTGACAATCGCCTTACCGACACCTTATTTCATTTTTTGCTGTGTTCGTTTACAATCTATTGTAATTGATGCCACGGCGCCTATTTCTTCACTCAGTAGTTTTATGTTTGGGTGTGTTGCGATATAGCAATATTAAACATAATTGCGCCACAATATTATTCATAATAGTTCTTTGTTGACGGGTTTTCTATCACTTTGCAAGTAATTGTATCACTTTGATTTAACTTAACTGCCAGTAAATAAATTCAACCCTCAATAATTAAGTATGAATACGCAATTTCATTAATTATTCAGACTAACTGACTCAAGTAGTTTAGATAGAGGCGAGAATGAAGAAGAATAAAATCATAGTATACGTATTTTACTTTATTAAAAAATATATTACATGTATATATTTATATAATTACGTATAGTACTAAGTCATTTTTAAATATTTCATTCAGTGTTTATTCTAAAAATTATGAATTTTACCTCAGAACTAAAAAGTATTAAATTTAATTGTAGAAAGTCTATATTTGGTATTTTTATTGTATTTGTAAACTTAAAAAGTAGTAGAAATGTATATAATTTAAATAAGCCATAGAAATAATAAAAATTTGATGATGCCTTAGAAATAATCAAAATTTGAAGAAACCATAAAAATGTAGATTTTTCAAAGAGGTTCTTGACTATAGTCGTGCTGTATATTAATCTTTTTGCCGTTTTGTATAAGACAAATCCCTAAAAAGTTTCTTTATAAAGTTATAAAACCCATACAGAATGATTTTTTAAAATATTAGCTACTTGATTTCTCTTAAAATAATAATTAAAAAAAATTATTGGTAAATTTTTGATTTTATATATTTTTCAATTTAATTATTATTAAGTAGAGATGCAAGAAGAATAAACTAGGCTAAATTTCCATTCCAGTGCAAGTAAAATATATTTATATTAAGAAATATTAGCATTTAAGTAAAGAAAAAGTCTCTTGGCGTTTGACGCATTGTGTGTAAACAGGAGGCTGCTTAGAATAAGCTGAACAGAACACATAACAAATGATGAAATTTATCGAAGAACTGGTATTGTCTTCATATTATTTTTACAAGTGCGAAGAACATTAAATTTATAATTAGACCATCCAAAAATCCACAGGAAGGAAGGTCATTGAGATATTAGTCTTGTGAAATTAGAGACGATAAAGAATTTGACTGCGAGTACATTACATTAAAATATTTTTAACTTGATATTGTTCACAAAATCTGCGATGAACCTTATGAGGACAATTACCATTAGACTCAAGTTATTAGCAACAATAAAGTAAATTCACTTTGACATTTTACTAAACTTTCACTTGTGTAAAACGGAAAAAAATTGTTTGTAACAACATGAGAACCTATAGAAAAGGATAACACTTTCATCTGTAGTAAAACGGAAACACATAAAAAGAAATGCGTGGGGGAGGCGAAGGTTAGTCTAAAATAGAACATCCAAAATATTCTTAGCCGTAGGATTATTGCAGTACTTGGTAAAC